CCCCCCCCCCCCCCCCCCCCCCAAACTTCAAGACACGACTGTTGGTGTCCAGAAAGCTGTTCGTCAAAGCATCAATGATGGGCAAGGGAGCAGCTTTTCCCTATGCTTTGTGGTTGTTTGGGTGGATTGTATCTAACGAGAATGACCAGAGCGGATTTTGCATAGCTTCGATATGGCAGTTGATGGCCCAGCATCTGTGCTCGGTGAGCCTCTGCGGTGGTATCCCGAGATGGGCATGTAGTGACCTCTCCACTGCTTTCCTGCCTGTGCTGATATGACTACAAACTATGCTCAAGTAAGCTTACAAGATCGCTTGAAGCGGAATTGTGTGTCCTCCACGGCATGCAGTCATCGCGGCACAGAAAGTTACCGAGTGTTCTGTTTTACCCGCTTCAGATCCTGGTTTGGGGTTGGGAAGCCATAGCTCATAGCTAGGCAAGGATCAAGACAAAAGTAGTACCATTTTGTGATAATGGTAAACGGCACATGGTGTTTGTACATGCATGTCTCTATCACTTGGGGAAAACTGCTTTTGGAAAAATCGACTACAACTTTGAATTGTTCGGTCGAGTTGGGCAAGCTCGTCGAGCTCAAGTAAAGTCGAACGGCAAGCCCAGGCGCAAAAGGGTAGCTGCTCGAAAAGCTCTTGCAAGTACGTAACCATTTAAGGCAAGTGATGAGCAACTAGCAAAGGTATCCTGGGCGGGTTGTATTGGACCCTTGAAAAAATGAGGGGCATTCAGAGATTCGCGACCAGTTTACTCCGTATCGATAGAGCTCTTATCGATGAAGCTCTCATTCCAAGCTTCATATGCTCCAGCTTTTAGTCGAGCTTTATGGTGAGCTCATGTCAGCTGGAGCTTGGATCTCTGAAAACACCAGCCATGTAATGCAGTCACGGTGAAGTTGTTCGAGGCACGACCGCGAGCTGCTGTACCTTGCCGAGACATCATGCCGAGGAAGGATTCTGGATACTAATATAGAAAAACCCAGACATGTCCAGATGAGACTTGGGCATGCATTGAGCGGCAGCAGCTAATCTGTTGCTGCGAAAGCACTCGCAGTAGCTCGAATGGGGCCCGCACCGTTACGGGTCCGTCTTTGGGGGCAATTTTTCTGGGGACTCAACTCTATGGTTGTTGCATGCGATGAGCGTACGACTGATGTCCGTTTTCGTTTCGCCAACTCGCAATTCAAGAGGGCATGCCCGCCAACCCGGTTGTGCAAAGAATGCTCAGAAGGCATCGTCATTACCAGGTATGAATCCAGGTTCGTTCGTACGCATTTTGTGTGGCAAAAGGGACGAGGCGCATTGTCGCAAGCTCATTGGTGATGTTACTCGCCAACATGACGCCCAAGCTTCAGAGCTCACATGGGGTGCCTCTTCCAGAGCCCAGGCTTGCTCACTAGTGAAGTAGAGCTCGAATGCTACGTAACCCACGCTTGCCCACGCTGCAGATCGAGCTCTTCGCGTCGGGTGTGACCTGCAGATGATTTGACCCAGTGAGGACGATGCGACCTCTCAAAAACTCATGGGTGCTTGATGAATTCGGGTCCCTTTAGCGCTTTTCTGGAGAAATCTGAATCCGCGTTCTTTGCAACCCAGATCAAGGTGCGTGCCGTTTAATACAAGACTCGTCATTGCCGAAGTAGAAGGGCGGTGTCGTCTCTGAAAGCACCGTTTCTCCTGCGCAACGAGTAACAGTCGAGGGTTGTTCCCTGGAGCTATCATCGGTCGCCCCCGATCCATGATTCTGGGCGGCATGTGAACATGAAATGAATCCATGTCGGCATCAAAATTTGCTGGTCCCCGCTTGCCCGCCGCCGACCATAAGTCTCTGCACTTGTGGGGGTGGAAGAGGGAAAAAAAAAATTAGAGGCTCTCTCTAGCGCAGTAGCAGTGGTGGCAGAGGTTGAGCTCTGGGCGTTTGGTAGCAATTTTCCAGGGCGAGTTCACCCGTAGTCACCGAATTTCGGTGTTATTGTATTGGTTGCTCACGGGTTTAGCCATTCCGGGTCCAGGGGGAGGAAGAAGTATGACCCTGCCAACCTGCCAATGCTGCCGAGCTGCTTTGACGAAAGAGCTAGGAGGGGGTGAGGAGAAGTGCTTTATCAGCCGGGTCAGTCGCCTCTAATCTTGATCCCAGCTGCAAGAACCCCGCGATTCGACCTGACTTGCATGCCCGTATAATAGTATTGAGCACTAGCTACTGTAGTCAAGCCAGTCAGTAAGTCATATGGTCAAAAAGCAACATGTCAAGCGTATGTAATCCGACAGTTTATCGGCAAGAAGGTTTGCAAGAAGCTGAAACCTTCCGAGTAATGACACTCTGAAGCATCTCTGACAACCAAGTGTCCTGTGTGTCCGCTGCAGCACGGCCTCGCTCAAATCTGCCAGTCTCAGAGCGGCAAAAAAGACAGACGCCCGGAGTCCCAGGGTCAGGGAGCCTTTCTATGTCAGGCTTGCAATTGGTTGATTGGCTAGCATCCCTGAACTGCTCAGCTTCCTGACTCGATCGAGGATCGGCTGAGGGGATCATCTGGGTGGCCGGCTCGGTCAGAGTGGGGAGCCAAAGAGCTTCAGAATGACCGAATGAGAAAACAGCCCGGAGCGCTGAAGGCGGCTCATGGTAAGGGAGGGACATTAGGTAGATGCTCGAGCTTTGCCATCAATTAATTCTCTTTTTGCAAGCACAACAAACATACCTTTGTCAATAAAGACCAGTCATTAGACAAGAAAGAGAAAAGTGAAAGGGAAGAAGGGAGAAATTAACTTGTCAACGGTTGCCCCAGTGTATCTGTGGATATCTCGTGTGAACCATATGAACGGGGGTGGGTGCTGGGCACTGACTGCTGCACTGGGCAGTAGGATTACTATGCGCCTGCCTACAAAGCCAGAGAGTCCCTGGTATTTGATCAGTGCTTTTCGTTAAATAGGAAATAGATTGTAATGTCAAGTAAAATTGCGATTTTAGGTAACAATTCATGGAATGGATACCATGGAGAAGAATGGACTGTAGCATGGCACCAGACCAAAAGCTCAATATTCGGCATGGTTATTTTTTTCCCAGTCAACTCGGTCAAAAAGGTAGAGAAAGAGAACAAGCTTCAAGTCCGGCCGCTCAAATTACAGATTCGCCTGAAGTGGTCTTTTACCAACAGCCACCGTTTCCTGCTCCTTCCTATTGAAAGGTCCCCGGACTTCCTGTCTTTTGTCTGGTACTGGGCTTTCCGTCACCTCAAATAACAAGAGAAGGAAAAAAAAAAAAAAAAAAGAAGGGACATTAGCGAGGGGCCCGACTCGAGGGTCTGTCTCTTTTTTAGTTTCCCACACAGCACAGCCCAGCCCAGGTCCAGCTACTACCTACTACCTGCTACCGGCCTAGGTATCTATTACCTGACCTGACCTATCTACCTACCCAACCCAGCGTCCCCTCCCCCTCCATTGTCTGTCTCAGAAAGTGTAACACTTTGGCAGTGCAAGAAGTACCCAACCTAGCTTCTGCCTTTTATTACTTCCTCTTCGCTGCTACGTCTCACTCATTCCTTCACACCCACACATTTCACACGCACACAATTCAACGGAACTGGTCAATTAGATCGGTCGATTGAGCGCCAATTTCCAGAGATTGCCAACATTTGTACAGCAGTTACCGCAGCAGCGTTTGCCCTTTTTCCAAACCGAAGTTTTGTCAAATGCGAATTGAGTTCAGATCCAATACGAAGACCCCGATTGCTATCGTCCTCTCGACGCTTATCGCAACACCAATCTCACAAGCCCCCCCGCCTCGACCTCGCCGCCCAGCGCATGGTGGGGTTTGGCTGAACTGAAGAAGATGCCTCCGAGACAGTCCCTCACCTCGTCCTTTTCAATCATCGATGCAAACAACGAAGTTGTCTGTCCTCTACGCAATCAGGATGGCTCCAGTTGTCGCAAGCGTTGCATCGGCGTGAGTTCTTACCCTATTTGCCGGGTTCAGCTGCTCCCAGCAACCTGCCCACTGTTCAGATCCCTACCTGAGCTTTCGCAGCTGTAGCTCAGGTCCAGCTCTATAGCTACAGCTCGGCTCAGCTTCGCAAAGCTGTCAGAGCTATCTGAGCTATCGCGATTCTACAAAGGGTGTCTTGTCACTCTTTGTCCCTACCGCAGCTGGTTTGAACAAGATGATCATGTTCTTCCCGTGTGATCCGAGCTAGCTAACGCAATTTTTCCTCTCGGCAGGAAAAGAGGTATCGCTCCATGCAAGAGCATATCCGACGAGCACACCCCGAGCATTACATCCCCAAACTCCCTGCCACGGAGGAGAGTTTTCTTTTGATGATCAATACGCCGCCCCAAGATCGATCGCAGATTCCACAGCAGAATAGTGTCAATGGTGGTGGTGTCCCTCATGGCAATCATCCGGTACAGCAGCCGCCCATTCGGCCACCCAGAAGTTATCAACAGATGAACCATGCATACTTTCGAGATGATTCAAGTGCACCAGATACCCCAAGAGGCCTGGCAGATTTTGCTGGCGGTGCCATGTTGCCCACGGAGAGTGCTGCAGCCGCCTTGGCGCAGCTAGGCCAGGCACAAAGAATGGATTCGGGATGGGACTCTGCAGAGGTAACTTCGGCCACGCTTATCCCCTTTCCCCGTTTCAACCGATTGGAGCTGTATTTCTGACACTGTTCAACCGATAGGAATGGCAGTCCGATACGGACGGCCCTCGAATTCCTCCTCGAAGTACCATTGAACTGCCGCCCATCAATGTTGAGCCCACAAGCGAGCCCTTCCCGCCCTTGAATGGTGCAAGACCGCAGCCACAAAGGGACTTGTTGCCGTCTATTCTACCTAATTCACCTCCTACTGGGAGATCCTCGACGCTTCCACCTTTGCAACGCTCGCTCGGTCCCCATCGGCGTAGAAAGCAATCGGTGACCAAGCCAGGGCATAAGAAGCAAAAGTCCAGAGGCCAAGCGGCTGAATGGTTAAAACGAATCCAAAATGATGACCGTATGAAAACTGGGGGGCTGGATCGTAAGGCTCAGTCCGTTGAACCTTCCACGGATTACGGTAAACGATGGGAGGATCTTATCGATGCCGCTGCGTCAGCAACTGAAGACATAGAGGATGATAGAACTCCTGTGGGTTTAACCCCTTTTGGGATCGATCCTGTCTTACTGACATATCAGGTGCCTCAATCACCTATATCCATCCACCGGGCGTCTATGCCCCCCTTCCCTCATAATAATATTCAATCGTTCCATGGATATCAAGCTTCGCCTTTGCAGCAAGCTCTGACACCTCCCTCGTTCCATCAAGGAATCCCCGAGCCTTTCCCTAGTGTGGAGAGCGGCGAGAGCGGCGATCAATTCCATATCGGAGCCACTGGCCTTTCGGACTCGTCCCCAAGCTACTCATCCCAGGATGTTCACATTTACTGTGCCGCCTGCCAGAAAAGCTCCAAGCTGCGGGAGTCTTATGCATGCACGGAATGCATCTGTGGCCTCTGTCGTGAGTGTGTCAATATACTGATGGAAGAACAGGGTGCCCGAAGGAAATGCCCGCGCTGTGCCACTATTGGTGGCCGGTTCAAACCTTTCCAGCTGGACATCCGATGAGAACTCGCCCCAGCACAACGTGCGCCCTCTCTCGAGCGGTTGAACGTCATTCGTTACTTAGATCCCCTTCTTCAGGCTATACCATAGCCTACTTGATTTTAGGATCGGATGGCGGTGAATGATTCCAACCATACCAGGTATCACACTACGAAACAAGTTGGCCTTGACTGCGTACTTGGCTCTTTTGGATGCCCCAATATCTCGACGAACTGCCGCAATTTTACGCACGTTGAACACCATGCTGGGGAGGCTGGAATAAGATTCATCGGAACTGAACACTTTACAGCGGCAACCACTCTGCTTTTTCGTCTTCTTCTTCGTCGTGCCGAGAAATCACGTCCTTCAATGAGCACATCGCTTACTATATTGACATTGGCTCAAGAAGCATCTGGGGTTGAAATTCTCGGCACGATTCTCCACGATTTGTTCTTTTCGCTTCACATGGCGGCATGACTTCCGCCTGTCCCTGAGACATTTTTTGTATTTTTTTTTTCTTCTTTTTTTTCCTCTGTCCATTCGAATCTGGTTTCCTGGGGGAGGGTATAAGGCGTTTGAAAACGGTCAATGATACAAGGCGTTTTTGTTTACTAGTTGCTGCCACTACCTGTGCTTGAAAGCCAGGTGCAGACGAATGAGTTTTATTGGCATGGCTGGGGCATATTGACATTTTTGGCAAGAAGCGAGTTTGGCGTGTCATGTGATGATGCGGTGGCGGAGTCTCCTTCAAGAAAAGGCAGACCACAGACAATCTGGGTAAAGTTTCTATATGACTGGCATGAAACAGACATCTATTCAGCGCTTATATATCTTAAGTTGCAATGATTGCAAACAGGAAATTTGAGAGGCGTCATCAAACATGAATCTTCACTTCTTGAGATGCGCGTCTGATCAATTTCATGTGTAGCTGATTGTTTAAGCTGCATTGACATGTAGGACAAACCAGGGCAACCCTGTATAGTGGTCAGGAGGAGAGGCACCACGTTTTTGGGTTGACCAACTCAGTAATGACGGTATATTCCACCTTTGATACCCGGCCCAGCGTGATGCTAAAGGCACACGGCTTTCACTCTTCAGGGAAACCGTAGGCCGTCACTTGCAGCGGTCACCGTCCTTGATCCAAGTATCCTGACAACTCAGGCAGCCGGGACTGTCGATGTAGCAGCCTTCGATGTCACCGCACCAAAGCAAGCCGTTGCGGTTCTCAACGTGGGCTACCAGACAGGAGAGCAAAAGACATCTTGTTAGCAAGATGATTGCCAGTCTCCTTCGATTGGACAGGAAAGAGAGGAAAGAAGAGGAATTGAGAGATTTGTATAAAATGCAAACTCTTACCAAGCATGATGTGAGAGGTGACGTTGCCCTTGCCGGGTTGGTGGCTAGGACAAGTGATTGCGGTGCTGTTACCACCGTTGAGAACGGGTTCAAAGGTGCAGTTGCTGGCGGTGATGAAGTGACCGTCACCAGCTTCAATAGTGTCATCGTCCATGAACTCATAGCAGCTGAAATTTCCGGGGAAGAACATGTCAGTCAGTGCCAATTTCCTAGAGTATAGGGTCCGTGATGCTTGTAGGCAAGGTACGGAGCACTTGTTGTGGTGGTGTGTGGGCGAGTCAAGGCGGAAAGAGAAAGGGTATTGCCAGATTCTAAGAGAAAACGTACCGGTTCAGATCCATGACGGACGTGGCTCTGTAGCCATTAGCAGGACAGTTGGCGACGAGAAAGTCTCCCGTGGTCATCCACTCAATGCAAGGTACCTCGGGGCCGTAAAAGGCCAGCGTGGCTAGAGTCGGGAAGGGGAGGCTGACCAGAATCAGAGCGACCACGGCGGCGAACTGACTCATGGTGGGCAGTTGATGCTGTATATAACTTATTTATATAACCTGTCGTCTTGAGGGGTTGAGTAAAGGTGGGCTTGCTTTGTTTTGTTGAGTTTGACTTTTGATCTTTTGGCTTGGCCGTGTTTGCTTGAGAGGGCTCGTGTAGCTGTAACGCGAGAGCAATGCGATGTGATGTGTGGAAGAACGAGTGGATTTTGAATGTGATTTCTTGCGCCGATTGAAGTTATAAGGGCAACCACGGATAATTCGTGAATAGCGGACATATTGGAGGAGAGAGATTGCTTGCCTGCGTCAGCGGCAGAGTGTTGCTGAATCACTGCTTTATTGACGATGGGATGGAATGACACCGGATCGATCGAAATGAGCAAACACGGACGCACTTGTATTGTTCTTGTCACAGAATTTCAAGCACCGATTCATGATTTCAAAAGTAGTAAAGTTTGACATTGTTTGAAACCGTCGAGATGCCATTCCTCCATGTTATAGGCTGGAACATGATTGTCCAGCCTCATTTCATTTTTCCAGACAATTACCAAGGTTGAGGCTTGACAAGCTATTTGTCCATAATATATGAACTTGGCGTCTGTAAATGTAGCCGTGTCTGTCGACTTTAAGAAGGCAATGTGTTGGTCTCGGAGCACGGAGGAATGTACACAGAAGATATGGCATACTCTACTCGCCAGGTTCCAACAGACTGCAGTTGTGATGTTGGTTCTTGTTTGAACAAACCCATCCAATATACTAACAACAGGAATGTGATAATGCAAGTTGGTTACTTGAGACTGGGTAACACCGCAGTGCCAAGAGATGCTGACGGGATGTGCGGCCGCCATGTAAAGTTTGGGGTCGCAGCTGGGGAAGACGGTAATGGGCTGTCCCACCCAGATATTGTGCTAAATAATCGCAATACTGGTCATTGTGCATGGGACTGTTAGAATGTGGAAAGAAGACGGCAGATACATGTTTCTCTTCCTCATTGCGTGTATCATGAATGGTGAGTGCATTGAATTATAAAAGGACGTGGATCTGACCCGCAAGTATCGTGTATCCTGGTCAACTCAAGTGTAGCCACTGATGCAACCATAACGCAAGCTAAGTTCTGACACCCCTATGTGAGTAGTATTAGTATCCAACCTATCCCTTGCATACTAACTCAATCTCCTCATTGCATGTTCTGATGATTCTCGCCCTCAGACTTGCCAAGCGAGACTAAGATAATCTGACTGCTTCCCATATAAACTCGTTCTCTTCTGTGCCGTGTTCTGACTGTGGCCTTCCCCGCTCCTTACTTTCCTTTCAATCGAAACCTACCAAGTCTCTGTATTGTTTCTCTGCCAGTGATCGAAAGTCTTCATCATGGGGCTATATACCAGGCTGCCAGTCGAGCTCACAGAAGTAGACGTAATCGTCGTAGGAGGTGACTCCCACCTCTCGCCAAAGATTTATTACAGCTCTAAACGAGAAAGGTTGCTGACTGACGGTATCTAGGCGGTACAGCTGGCTGCGTAGTCGCAGCAAGACTAAGTGATGCGGACCCAAATCTGACGATATTGGTGATTGAAGAGGGCAAGAACAACGACGGTGATCCTTCTGTCATGTATCCAATTCTGTGTTTCGGCTCCATTCTTCCGGGGAGCAGCACTACCCGTGCATATGTCAGCAATGCCGAGCCTCAGCTAAGCGGACGACAGGTCTCTGTGTCTGTTGGAAACGTTCTCGGGGGCGGATCCTCTGTCAATTTGATGATGTATAGTCGAGCGCAGCGACATGACAGGGACTCGTGGAAGACACCAGGGTGGACTGCTGAGGAAATGCTTCCTTTTCTAAAGAAGGTAAAGTGACGCGTTTACAGCAATTCTCAATCAGATGCTCACGGTGTGTCCAGCTCGAAACCTACCATGGACCCGACCCAAAAGGCGTCCACGGGGACCAGGGACCAATTGTCGTCTCCCGCGGGCCGTATGAGATGAAGAAATCCGAGGACGATTTCATCAATGCGGCGACAAAGCTTGGCTGGGCCGAGCAGGCTGATTTGCAAGATCTAGACAGCAACAATGGCGTCCAGCGTGCCAAGCGTCTCATCAGCAAAGATGGGCAACGCTCCAACACGGCTCATGCTTACATTCATTCGAGACTCGGCGACGATGCTCACTCCAATTTGCATGTCCTTGTAGAGACACAAGTTGCCAAGATCCTCTTTGACGGCAAGAGGGCAGTCGGCGTCGAAGTTCGGGCGAATCCAAAGTCACAGAGTGACACGACGACGCAGAGCATAAAGGCCAGGAAACTAGTTGTGCTCTCTGCCGGCGCCTTGGCGAGCCCGTTGATTCTAGAAAGATCAGGGCTTGGTGATCCCAATATTCTCAAGGCGGCAAATATTCCCGTCATTGCCCCTATTCCGGGTATTGGCAAGAATTATCAAGATCACCACCTAATCTCATACAGTTACAAGTCGAGCCTCGAACCACACGAAACTATTGACGGGATTTTCGGCGGTCGTGTCGACATTGGAAATATGATACAAACAAAGGACCCCAGACTGGGCTGGAACGCCCAAGAAGTGACCTGCAAACTGCGGCCCAGTGAAGCCGATCTTTCTGCTCTCGGACCTGAGTTTCAGGCAGCCTACAAGAAAGACTTCAATGGCCACCCGGATAAGCCTCTGGCCTTGATGTCCTTCTTGAGCGGGTGAGTGCATGACCCATTCCCCTCTCTCCGAGACGCCCAAACTCGCAATCTAACAAACAGCAGATACGCAGCGGATCCGACTGGGAACCCTGCAGAACAGTACATGTCCATAACGACTTTTACAGTGTATCCATACTCTCGCGGACATGTGCATATCACGGGCGCTACTCTGGACGACCCAGTCGACTTTTCGACGGGGTTTTTTGCCGACCCAGTCGACGTGACAAAGCACATTTGGGTGTACAAGAAGCAGAGAGAAATTGCCCGCCGGATGCAAGCATACCGCGGAGAAGTCCCGGCTATGCACCCACCGTTCCCCCAGAGCTCGGCCGCCGCACTGGTCGAGACGGACGCGCCGCTGCTGGCTAATGTGACTGATATCGAGTACACGGCAGAGGACGACGCCATCATTGCGCAGTGGGCGCGAGACCATGTCGGTACGACGTGGCACTCTCTAGGAACGTGCAATATGGCCCCGCTGGAGCAGGGCGGCGTCGTTGATGAGACGCTCGGCGTGCATGGCGTGGAGGGTCTCAAGATTGTCGACTTGTCCATCGCTCCGGGAAATGTTGCCGCCAATACCGCGGCTACAGCCATGGCTATTGGGGAGAAGGCGGCTGACATTATCATCAAAGAATTGGGTTACTGATTATTAATATTACTCGATAGGAGGATATAAGCGAGCAGTTCATATTCTTGCAGTATTTCAGACAATCATACATTTAGCTTGTTTGTGGATTTTGCTCCTGTCGTTTCTACAATGCTGGACTTTGAAAGGTCTTTGATCGGAAGTGGTTCAGTCACATACTTCTCTGTGCGAGCCACGTCATCCCTTCCTGGTTCATCTTCAATGTCTTTATTCTCATTGCCTCATACCATATCTTACAATAATCCATTTTCGAAACAAAATAGAACAAAATCTTAGCTCATCAAGGCACGGTCTTGAAAATGTCAGCCGGCCAAACTGGAGGGATGAAGTACAGTGGTTCACGGGCAGGACGAGCCTCGATGCTACTCATTGTGTGGTTGCTGTCAATGTTCTTGTTTCTCTTCATGTTCCCCCTCTTCTTCTTGCTGGGCTGAGGTATCGTCGCCGGGACTTGAGGAGGAGGAGGCGTCGCTTCTGCCCTTTGCCTGTCCTGTTCGTGCTTGGCGGCGACGTTCTGGATCAGCGAATGAAGGTACGTTTGTGCCTGCTGCTCCTGCTGTTCGGGACTGAGAGGAACAATGTTGGCCTTCTTAGTACCCTTGTTCTTTCTCTTCTTTTTGCCGGTCGGAATGGTCTTGGTGGTCGGCTCGATCGTCTCAGTCTCTGGGCCAGTGGAGTTATTCGAGGTTTTGGCGTCATTGAACAGATTGGATGCGCTGCTTCTCGTGGCACTGCCGCCCACATCGGCATTGATCTCCTCGTTCGTGCTCCTGTTCTTCTTCTTGTTGTTTCTCTTCTTTTTGCTGGGTTGGGTGACTCCGGCAGTCTGCTCCAGCTCCTGAATTTGTGATCCGCCCACGTTGCTGCTAGGATTGACATCTCTTGTGACATTGGCGGTGCCAGTGTTGTTGATAACACTGCCCGTATCCGTGGCCAAGTCGGTTATCTTGGCTTTGCTCTTCTTTTTATTCTTTCTCCTCTTGCCAGTTTGAGCATGCTCGTTACTTTGATCAACAATTCCCGTCTCAACCGCATCCAAGTGGGGTTCAGCATTCGCACCGCTCCAGATATCGACACTGCTGGCATGTGTAGCATCGCCACTAACGCCAGCGGTGATGGTCTCACTGTTAGCATTGCTCTTCTTCTTCTTGCCACCACGCCTGTTTTTCTTTTTCTCTTGCTCTTGAGTAGGCTCCTCCACATGCTTTGGCTGAACAGTGGCCAATTCTTCATTGCGCTTCTCATCCATTTGCATCATGTTGCGTGCAATGGCCCGTCCTTCCTCGCGCTGATCTTCCTTGTAGATGCTGAGGCCATGCGACTGGAGGAATTTGTACTCATTTCCGTGGTATTTCTTTAGCCATGCCTTTTCCTCAGTGGTGTAGCCGCGTCTACCGGGGCGATTATGGGCCAATAGCTCGGAAACCGTGAATATACTTGGCTCTGTGCCCTGCTTTCTGCTTGCCAAGGCTGCTTTATGCCTCTCGAACCGGACACGCTCCGTTTCCGGCCACATGATATGTCCTACGATATGAATCGATTCCCCATCGAATTGTGTCGGTGAAGTCACGGGTCCGTGAGGAGGGCCACTGAGCCGAATGCAGGACATTCCATGGTTTTGTCGCATATAGCAAACTTGCAGTCCCTGCTGGTCGAGGATGGCGGCATCCTGATCCTTGAACGGTGAGGATCCCTCATAGACCCAGTCGTTTTTGCGCAAAATCTCCATGCCGACAACGTTGAACTTGTAGTCGGGCACGTATATGACATTCTCTAGGCGTAGAACATGGTGCGCGTATCGTCCACTCAAGTGCGGCGAGCGCTTGACCGGCAAGTCGACTGTCCCGACGCCTTCGGCTTTGGTCTCTGCCGGCTTGGTCAGGAAGCTCTTTTGCACCACGGCCGTGGGAAATGGCTCCAAGGTCTTGAACCATCGCTTGTCATTGCATACACTGTCGGTATATTGGTTACTTCCGTGGATTCCGAGATATTTCTGTCCAATTTGCGGCTATACTTACTGGCTCGAGTTGAGAGAAAAGACCCAGTCGGAACTAAGCCCAGCCTCGTCCGGTCCCATCTTTCCAAATTCCTGTCTACCAATGGCACCAGCCTATTTTCCACGACTTGATCCAGGTGATTTTTCTCTCAAAGTATAGGGATGCCAAAGGAAGAAGTAGATTTTCAAACTGACGGATAAGATGTGATCGGACAACCGTTACCAACCCCCTGTTGTTCTCCACTGTGGATACGTTACCTTTAATATTTCGATACGCGATAGTAGAACCAAGGGTTAGGTGCAGTAGTCCAGGGTAAAAAAGAAACCCGTTCCTTTGTAGTTTGAAATGACTGACTCGCAAGTGTGGATGGAATTGAATCGTGAACTTTTATGAACAAGGGTATATTTATATATATATACCCCTACTCACTGCATTATAACCTGTGATGGTGAATGTTTGTCATTTGTTCCTTTCCATGGATTGATCGGATTAGATCCGTTCAATTCAATGCGACAACGTCCGGCCTCGGAAGACAGTTCCACAAGGGTCTTTCCAACGTATTTTCCATGGGCAGATATCCACCTACACCTCATAAATCGAGGCAGGCCGCTGGCCGCAGGACCGCCGGCATGGGTCGGAGGGGGAAGTCATTCGCTCGGACCGTAGCTCATCTGTTGAACCCGATTTCTCCTGGACTTGCTTCTTGAAGTGAAGCGGGTCGGAGAGCACTTGCTGCGTAGTTGATGGAGTGCATAAGGGTGCTGGGCCGCTTAGTAGCAAATTGTATTCTATATGCGTGGACAGATAGATGTTGGAGTACAGGTTGAATTACAGAGGCCATTGGGACATGATGTGGGAGCCTGGATCATCTACAACTTTTCTGAGAGGATGAGGATAGCGTCAAAATAATCATTGTGATATACAGAAGTATAGCGAGCATGGAAGAAATTTCAAATCCTCCATCGTTGGTGATGGAGCTGGTGCGTAGTCAACAGCTTTATCAAACCCCTTGCAGTCAATTTGAGTGACACTTGCATCTGCCCATTGGAATAATTAACCGTCGGGGCGGGACCCTCTCGATGGCTCAACTTTTGGCTCATCGATCCTGGGTCGAAATAGAACACCCCAGCATGAGTGTTTGTAGTAGTCATCTTAAGCGATTTCATGCAAAGAAGCATCGAGGTCCTATGAACACTCTCGATTCTCGACGATACCTAAAGTCGGAAGTCCCATGCTTGTTCTATCTTGTTCAAAATGAGCAATAGCCCGTCTGAATGTTACTTACCTAGGTATGTACGTGAGTCTCGAGTTTTGCGCAACATTTCCTGCGATATCAGGGAGCAGAAGCAACCGCCAGCCACTGATGTCGTGACGGCTCTTTACGAAGGATGAACTTGGAATATGCTCAAGCCCGCTGAAGGTGGAATGGTACAAACTCCAAGCGGCGGCAAGGCTGAGACTTGATGGCTACGTTTTCTTGGACGTGTCATTTTGTCAAAAAAGTCATGACCGCAAAGATTCTCATGAACGTTCAAACCGCTGACTCGAAAGTTTCTTTGGCAAATTCAAGTTTTCATGATTTCATGGTGGAGAGCTATCAAGTTGGAAGCCATCAACACTCTAATAAATCACTTTCGAGATATCCCAATGGATGAAGTCGTTGCGACATGGTTTCAAAGAAGCTCTATAGAACAAGTCTAGATGCATCCACCTTTGTTTCATGTTCAAGTGCCGTGTCTTTTAATCTAAATAAGGAAAGTTCCCGTCGACCCACTCACTGTTCTATTCGTTTTGGGTTGTCCCAACCGCGGCAGATTGGTCTTTTACAACCAGCATTGAGATTAGCAAAAGGATCGCGTGCCCAGCTTGGCAACACACTGTAGGCTGTTGTTTACATGGTTTATCTTATTCACTCAGTTCTGCAGGCCATTAGAGCCATTTATCATCCAGTCAAGCGTGAGAATAGCAAGCATGTGGCGGTACAATGACTGGCGTATTAGATGACCAGCTCGTATAGAGGGGCCCATCAAGCAACTCCACGTCCGGATTTCGGCATCTCTTTCATCGTCGAATGTCATTCAGACGACGTGATTAGGCTCTTTGAGAATAGAATGGTCAGCACTGGTCCGTTGTGATGGACACAATCAAATGCATGTATATCACCACTATGCCGAGCCGATTGGAATATGGGAATAAAAAGCGTAGGTCAGCCAATCAAAAAGATAAAGGGGTAATCTTGGCACATCATACTTTTCTCCCTGTAACTCGCCCGTTCCGGAAGATGAAGCTAAAGGGACCTGCCGCCCACGCCGTTTCGTGCGTATGCAAAGTCTACAGAGGCGGGTGGTGATTTAGGCTTACTGATATGTCTCGGGCAACATTGGATTGGGCCCCATGTCAGCGCCATGTGTTGAATGAACACCATTTGCCCTAGGCAGTGATACTTTGAGACTTTGGTATTGTAGATCTAGCCTTGCTAGTACTTGAATATACGTGTACCTTTGAGGTACTAACATGGTGCAAAAAGGAGGAAGTGGGTGGCATATTGACGGCGGTCAATAAGCCTGGAAAGATCTACCATCGTGCATGCTTGATACATGATCCTCAATGCATATAGGTCTGTATGGAAGAGGGTTCGGGCCTTTGACTGTCGTTTAACGTACAGTAAGGGCAGCTTCTAAACCCGTTCAGGAACCAGGTAGGTAAAGTCTCTAATTTCACTTGAGTGTAGACAACGTCACTTTCGTCAATGTTGTCGTGAAAGCTCATATTCAAAAACAAGTATCACATCCTGCAGAGTTAGCCGGGACCAAGAAAACGAATATCGAGATATTTGTTGACTTATCGCCTATATGTACAAAGGCAGCTGCTAGAATGATGAGTGCAGGTAAATCCGTTTTATTGCCTCTCTGCAGAAAAAGAAATCATGAAAAGGAATGGACCTTTTCCCCCATTTGTCGGCATCTGTGCTGATACACATCCAACTCCACCTCGCTCAGCAAAGAACAATACACTCGTCTGATGCAATGATGGTCCAAAAGACAAATGGGTTGGGTCGGAAAACTCACCGACATGACCGAGCACTGAAATCCTGGCTGAGACATCAAATTTCATTGGCTTGGAAAAGGCTCCTCCTCCATTGCGGATTGGCTGTATGCAGCCGCAAAGATTGCGGCTAGGGCACAACTTTAGTATACTTGTAGCATAAATCTACAACGGTTTCTTTGCGTTCCGCCTTGGAAAGTGCCAAAGGCTACCTACCTGTTGGTCGCTTTTCAAAATATTACCTCGAAGCAGCGAGGTACTAGAGACACTCTGAGGCATAATGGCTACCTGTCCCGTAGAATTATCCAGCCCTGCCGGCGAATGAGTGTCTCTTCACGAGAAATCATTTTCTGCGGCAGTTGGACTGCATGACAGACAGTAGCCATTTAATAACTAAGCTTTGATCCCGGATACTGCCAAGGCCAGTCACCAATATTGATCCGCTCTTCCCCTCGACTAAAATGAACCCCCAGCTACACACCTGAGGACCGTCCCTTCTAGTGACCAGCTCGAACTCAAGTCTCCGAATGCCATCATTTTGGTTGTGATCTTCGTAGGCAAGAAAATCTTTCTTTTATTTATCGCCTATCGGCACTTTTCCGTGCTCTCTGTATATCCAGAATTCCATTACGGTCTTTTTGGCCTTCGAGGGTCGATTGCCTTTCAATGGAACTGTACAGAGCTATCATGGCAAGCAACAACGAGATCTTTTCCAACCACGGCGGTCAAGAGCCATACGCCTCTCCCTTTACTGGATTTCACGACCACGTCACTATAGACTTTCCAACAACACCTGATGCCCCAGCCTTCTCCCCTGTTGTCTACTCTCATATTGCCGGCTATGGAGTTGGACATGGGGCCAAGGAGTCTGGTGCCGACTTTTGTAGACCAATCTACGTGAGTTTTCTTTGGTTGCGCAGTTCCGAGGCGCCTTTGTTCGACCCTATTCGACTTGTCCTCTGCTTCAACACGATAAGCCATCTACCGCGTCTGAATCCCAGTGCTGATCTACCGCCTATAGAACGCACATTACCCTGATTTCTGGTTTCAGCAAAATCAGTTTCAGACAGAACCGCCACTACCTCAGAACTTTCCATACGCCACGTTCCCACAGCATAAAAAAGCAGTCCACGATCAAGCCGCCGTTGATGGCTACACCACAGAACCACTCCCTGGTCACACTTCCCCAGCGGATTGGTCAAGTCCGTTCTGTAGCTCATCCCCTCTCACACCCGGGCCTGAAATAATGAACGGCGATATCAGCATGAATGGAGGTTACATTCCTTCGCGCCGACCTAGTTTTGCACGCCGACCGAGTGTGCCCGGCGACTTTGGTGGAACTGCATCACCCAACACAATGGACTCGCCATACAGCAACAGCAGCTACTCTGGCACCATCCGATCGTCACAGAGCAACGTCTCGTCGCCCACGGCATCCTCTGGCCCATTACCACTGCCCCCTCCTCCTCCTCATCCTCCTCCACCGCCACCATCATACCCGCGAGGAGGGGGCAACAGCGTCGTCATCTCGTCCCAGCACGAGCAAAACAAGCAAAAAAACCGCGCCGCAGCCGCCCGATGCCGCGAAAAAACCAGACACTACGCCGACGAGCTGCGCGGGCGGGAGCGCGACTTGTCGTCCAAGAAGGAGTTTCTGACGGCGTGCGTCGCGGATCTACGGGACGAAATCCTGGCGCTGAAGAATGAGATTCTTCGCCACAGTGACTGTAATTGCGATTACATACAAAAGTACTTGACCGCGGCTGCGAATCAGGTCGCTTGATCGGATTGCAAAAAAAAAAACTCCTCCTCTGGAATGAAGTGGATAACATTGGATGGAACTCGACTATCAGCCTGTGGCAGTTTCCCTGTTCTCCCTTTACCCACATTTGCCAGTACTTGAAAGTGTCGAATTGCATTTAAACAGAAGGACATTCAGTATCATGGAGAATTGCCATCAATCATGAGTTATGATGGATTTTGTTTGGTGAGATGTCCAAGGAAAAAGGCGCCATGGGGAGTAGTTGACATTTCTTTTTCTTTTTTTTTTTTTTTTTTTTTTTTTTTTTCGTTTTTTGGTTTTTCGGTGAAGCATTTCGTTGGAACTGCGTATTATTGTAGTTCTTCATCACTCAACTTGTCAAAAAATCCCATGGCTTTTACAAGTCAGTATACTGTTTTCCTGTTTCTCACGGAATAGTTTTCAAGACTTGGGCTTCGGTGGGATCTTGACATGGGCGGACCATGGAATATTTTGATTGTACGACTGGTAGCTTTGGTCAAGCAATGTCCTACGCGATCAGTAGGATTGTCAAAACTACTTGGGTGAACATGCATACGCATGAATCCATAAATATGATAAAAGTGCAGGCTGGTGAATGGTGGTAAATATAGCACAATACCTGAGCGACTTGTAGTCGGATTACCGGGTACGACTTTTGACCTGTATGTTTTTCTAGTCAATGCAAAAGGAGTGACCATCCTTATGAATACCATTCAGTCAACTGGAGGTCATATAAAACTATCATATAACAATCCACTTTATCATGCGTCCGCAGGTATTAAGCGCTTATGTATTACAACAACGGCTGGCTCCAGCAAAAATGGATCCCCCGCAACCTCGGTAGCAGCCGAGGTGCCATTCTGGCCTGGACCCTCGAACCGGGTCGCTAATGCAAGGTTTAGCCAAGTCGGGTTGCCAGGCAAGGTAAGGCTCCTCTTCTCTCTACCTAGCTCCAATTGCCAGTCCATTTCATCTTTCAGCTTCTGGCTGACCTCATCTCTTGATCAAATAAGCAGATCGACTTTCAAAGATCCCCCTTTTCAGTTCCAAGGGCCAGAACAGTATCTCTAATCAACACAACCATTGGCGAGTGAAACCAGTCAAAGACTTGAAGAATATCGAGTGGCTGGTGATATTCACAAACAACAATCACAAGCCCAGCTGGCCGATATAGGACACACCTCGGCAAGACAATAAAAGGGAGAGAAAAAGAAAAAAAGGGGGACGAGACCTTGAAGCAAGATCGAAAAAGTCCCCAACACCCACAGCCAAATAAGTTCAAAATCTCAAGGCAGCCATGTCCACGGTATCGTCGGGATCCAGCTCGCGCAGCGCCAGCAAGCGCCTCTTGCGCGAGCTCGCGGCGTGGGAGAAGGAGGCGCCGTCCGAGTCGGGCATTGAGCGGCTCGGGCCCGTCATCGAGGAAGAGCTCCTCCACTGGGAGGCTGTAATTAATGGCCGGGGAATCGGTAACGGCTATGATGGTTGGTCTTTTCCCTCCCTTTTTCTTTTCTGTATTTCTGTTTCATTTTATCGTCCACGACTCCCCAGGCTTCATGAATGAGGTCTGATTCCACATGCTCCGGGGGGGGGGACGAAATCGGGAAAGAAAAGATAAAATGCCATGGGCCTTGCCATGAAGTGAGACTGTAACAAACGGCAAATAATGATTTAGTCTTCCATGATTTTGGAAGGGTTCAGGCTGACATGATGACCTCTTCTTTTCCACGCACAAACAGAAGGCCGCTGGCTCCTACAAATCCAGATCCCCGCCACGTACCCGCTGGCGCCTCCCGCCATCACCTTTGCCACGCCCGTGGTGCACGCCAACGTGGCGCTGCGGACGGGCGAGGTGTGCCTGGACCTGCTCAAGGACGCCTGGACCCCGGCCTACAGCGTGCTCGAGTGCGTGCGCGCCGTCCGCGTCCTGCTGTCGTACCCCGAGACCGACTCGCCCCTCAACGTCGACGTGGCCGCCCTCGTCCGCGCCGGCGACCGCGTCGGCGCCCGTCGGCTCGTTGAGTTTTGGGTTCAGGATCCCGATGGTCGGTATGATGGTCCGTGAGCTTGGGCCTTTTTATTCTTCTTCTTTGTATCAAGCGAATCTGTTTCCCCTCTTCCCCTTCCAGAGGGGAAAAGGGAGCAAAAGAGTGTGAGAATATGAAAAGGCCTGAGCTCTCCAACTGTGGACCGAGTAACGGCTAAAGACGTATGGTATGGTGGATGTGCGGGCAGAGGTCAGATTAGGATCTGATCGTGCTGAACGGACCGTGCTCAAAGAGTGGCCGAAATTGCATAGCAAAAGCCGCCCGTGTGGGTTGCGTTTATTGAAAATGTTTTCCTTGGCGCGAATGTGGTAAAGATATATATGTCCAGGGCGGTTCTAATGGCAGGGAGTATCGGCTTTTACTCCATAATAGGGATACTAAAGTCATGAAAATGTTGATATCAATCTTCAGCAAAGAAAATGTGACATTTTCAACATATACTACCATCACTTTTGGAAGATTCTCCCGCACAAGTCAGACTTGACCATCATATTTCATGGCGGAAAAAAAAAATCAATTCGATTGCAACCGCGAAACCCGTGCGGTGGCCCACGAAGAAACACCTGTCTATGCGGCCTTATGTTTTTATCTTATAATCATACAATGCTCCGCGCCGAATCCCGCGCTCCTCTGTCATGCCCAGCCTACAGGTTTGATGCTGCAGGAAAGCAGACAGGTGCCCATTTTGCCCTTATTCCTTAGCACCGTGACTGTTCCTGATGATGATAATGATGGGTCGGACAATGTCGTCTCTCATATCGGACGTGCATATTCAAAGCTTGTAATGTCGCGAATGTCGTATGAAATCATGACGGGGGGATGCCCCGCCGAAGCCAGAGTGAAGACTGACTAGTATCGAGCCACTGATCCCTCTACTCGTTGTAATGGTACACCTGTTTAATGAGTTAGCATGAGATGCCTGCAATTAGGATAGTCTGCCTTACCTTGTAATTCGGCAGACCTGTTGACTGATATCCCAACCGCTTGGCCATCTTGGCAAAACCCTCCGTCTCAATGAGATGGTAGAATGGGAATGGCGGGAACATTGCTCCATCGCGATGAACCTCTGCTCTGACCATCAAGGCCGTTCCTCCAACTCCATCCAAGTCAACCTCTGCGCGAACATCATTTTTGTTTTCCAATTCCATATATGCCATCAAAGTTCGGTACGTTGGCAGCTCTGCGTAGCCTTCGAGCAGAAGCTCATCATTGCCCATCTTGGCCCCAAGCTCCTGAGCCGTGACACTGTCTTGCCAGCTGTTAAAGTCGTATGCTCTTTCGGCCTGGTTTCCGCTGTCATCGGTAAACCTCTGGAAGCAGTTCGGAACAATGACCGGCTTATCGTGGGCTGCAAGATCCTGGATCAGGGAATGCGGCGTCTCAATAATGTCAGAATCGAGCCAGAGCACCCACGACGTGTCTGGGCCGAGCGTGGTGAAGAGAAGCGAATTGCGCGCCCGTGACATGGAGGCGCGACGTTCTTTTTGATTTTGTAGCTTGTGCCTCTCTGCTTCGTCCTGTGATGCCAGTGGGGGGTCAAAGTCTTGTCGCTCGATGATGACCCTTCGGAATCGATCCTTGGCGGGGCCCTTCTGGGTCTTGGTGATGGCAGCCTGCAGAGCCGATGTAGCAGCATTTCCCTCCTTGTTTTTGGGCAGTATAAAGCCCAGGGTGATGAGCTCGTGAGGGTAGTTGAGCTTCAAGAGGTTCTCCCAGTACTCATCGTAGAAGCGAGCCATTGGCGTAAGGATGAGCACATGCTCGCGATTCGCGGCAGGGTCGCTGGTGATGGTGATGTGGTTGAGATTGAAACGCTGCACGTCGCGCCGGATGTGCTGCACAGTCGACTTGGGCGCAGGCTTTGCTGGGCGATGCTTATGTGTGTTGGAGTGCGAGCTCGAGCCCGAGGCGGATAGAAAGTAGATGATGAAGAGGCAGAGGACGGCGCCGATGAATAAAGTCAAGTAGTTCGTCCTCCGCATACGAACCGGCCCCAAAGGGCGCGCCATGATGTCTCTTGTGCTGCTCACTTAGGCAGTCCGTGGAGAGAACAGACGGAAATCGATTTCGAAGAATTGATGCTGCGCAGGAGAAAGGGCGGTTCACGATTGAGTGCCGGCCATTGGGAAATAAAGGGGTCCACTCGTTTGATAATTGTGCTCCCTGCAAGAGGACAGGTTGTGCCTGGGCAGCCTTTTTGGAACGAGTTGCGTGCAACAAAACCAGCAGATGATGTCTTCGCAGGTAGGGCGCGGCTCGGAGAGAGATTCGGGGCGGGCGTCAAAGGGTATGTCGTCGGTATGAGCGGGATGGATGACGGACCTAGAGGTAGGTATGTAGAGGTTGACAGCCAGCAGCAAGGCCCCCGAGTCGAGATGACACCTTGGAAAATAATCCCTGGACGGGAGATGGTTGAGCAATGAGCGTGCAGCTAGCAGCTTGAGGCTGACTGGGTATCAGGCCCAAAGAGGCTTAGCGGCCTCGCATAAGCAGTCAAGGCCCGTTTTTTGATCCCCTTGCCAAGCCTGAAACCTAAGATGATCTTATTGTGAACCTTAAACCACTTGCGAGGCCAGATAAAAAGTCGATGGTTTTTCTTCTCCTTCTGTCACAAGGGAAGAAGCATAGCCATCATTCCTTTTCTTACTCTTGGACATTGATAAGACGTGGCCTACAGCATCACCGATCCAGCAAGTCAGCAGCATGAAGCAACATCTTATCGCCCCGGAAAAGCGACATCATCCCACCACAGTCCGTCTCTCCTCGTATTTCAACTTCAAATAAGCTCTCGCACCTCCACTCGAAATAGTAGTCTCCCCTTCTCGTATTGGCGCAGGACACATGTGAGAACGGTGCTTATCTACAGCTGTCCGCCGGAGGATGCATATTTTCAACAAAACTGGCTGCAAGATTATCGTGCTATTCTGGCGAGGGGGTTGGTCAATTGCCCTCTTGTCGCTTTCCGTTGCAAAACTTGAGCTTGTTGTTACCAGTAGATATGGCAAAACCTGCATCCAATTGCCATTTCAATACTCCCTGCAAACTGTGTTTGTTCGCTGTGATAATGAGTAGTAGGGGCTTGGTAAGTATTCCGCATCGATAAGATCGACGTGCTATTTTCTGTTTGTTTATCAGACATTTTGCTTCATTCATGTCAATCATTTTTTGGAGACCACTAGACAGGCAAGTTTCCAAGGCAGGGCAAGCCCACTTCTCCTATCCTCCCTTGGGCGTTCTCCCATCGGGCTCCTCCCTTGAATGAAGATGAGCACCCGAATTGGCATGATCGCATTTTACTGTCGAGGTAGTGCAGACAGTAGAACACGTTGTCCAAAGCATTAGCGAGTGCTAAGTAGATCGCATAGATTTGGGCTGCACGAAGGAAGCACAAGGGATTGTACGGTAGCCGTTGACCATACATTTGCGCAACATGACTTGTGCGTAAACGGTAGAGGATCGTCCACTCTTCTGCTATGTATACGCTGTTGTCGAACCTGTCCCCTCGTATGATGCAATCGCCAGGAGGGGGGAAGGGGTTGCTAGCTCTTTGGGATCACCAGGGCCACCCACGAGCAAACTATTGTCCCCATGAAAGAAGGAGTGGGAGAAAAAAAAATTCTGCATCGCATCTGCATGTGGACGCAGTATAACGATATGTAGGTAGGCTATCGCACGGACGCGGACGGGGGCGGGGCGCTGCACGTCGAGATCCGGAGTGTTTCCTGAAGTGATTCGAGGTGAGAACAGACAATTGGGACGGGGTCCCTGAATCGTTCATGAACCATGTCGTGTATCACGAAGTTCAAGTCTCAAGACACTCTTTTCTGAAGATGGTAACGCGCTGGTTGGTTCGTCTTTTTCAAGTTCCCCAAGAGGAAACACATTGGTTGGGTATGGTTGATTCAGAGATGATTCACCTGACGGCCGCTCCGCAGTTGCGCACATTACATCCGCTGCTACCTTACCTTTGCCTGCAACTGGCACGCATGGAAACGAAAAGAGGTTACCCCAAGGTCTGGGCGACCTGATAGTCATCTACCTTTTGTATTCCATGGTAGCGACCGGCCGATACCAAGAGTTTGCCAAATGTTTTAGATGCTTTGCGACTTGCTAAGTACAGATCCTGGAACCACGGGAATGTCGGAGAGTCGTCGCCGTTCCTAAGCCGCTAGCTATGGCACGCGCTCTTTGAACTCGAGTCAGGGGGACCCGCGACCGCTTAAATATGATGGCTGAACAAATGCCTGTTTTGTAAGGTGTTTCCTGTACTTTTGCCTGCCTATGTGAGTGAGGGGTTTTCTGTTCTATATCATTTAGCATGTTCACAAAACTGTCAGATTGTCAAGAAAGGCGGGAGGGAGGAGCGCAAAGTGAAGCATGCACGACCTGAGAGGTTTCTGCTGATGCATGTGTCTGTATGTAACGAAACGGCTGTGCCACCGCTTCGCAACGCTTTTTCCGGCCGGCTACCTAGCTGCATACCTTTAATGTAGATGAAGCAGTAGATTGCTGCCAACTCAACTGCTCAATTTGCTTGCCGCCGGCTCGACCCGGTCCCCCAGTATTCCATGGGCTCTAGGGCCCGTCTAGTGTAGAGTTCCTAATGTAAGATGAATTATTAGTAGTAGTATACTGATACTAGCACGTAGGTAGTCTGATCCTGACTTGATCGGCTCTGGAGTCTGCGCGACTTTTCACCGTCTTAATTCCGCCTATACGATCTGCGCCACTTTGACAGATGGCAATTTCGACCCCAGGGCACATGACAATAAATAGCCAAGACGAACAGTAGGGGGATATGTATTTTGGACATTCTCAGCGTCCAGGGACGGGGATCCGTGTATAGGGGTTTGACCTGAGCATCTCAGTAGGCCTTGTACACATTTAGAGATGAGGATGAATGGACCCCTGAATATGCGGTACAGATGATGCAAACCCAGGAATCTAATAATCCTGCCTGCCTCTCTCCGTGTCCGTCTACGACATGTAATACCAAGCATAATGCATCTGCCGTCTGCATTGAAGAGTCCCAGCGGGTCTATGGAATCGATCAGCGGATACGCATGGTCCACTCTCATGCCCTGGGGTTCAATTATGGGCCCATGGGTCTTTGGTGACTGGAGACTGGAACGGAGACAAGGACCGCCAATGCGCCTCCCCCAGCACTGAACGGTGGGCATGGGCACCGCTGAGCAATGAGCATCAATCCTGGCATCCGCTCATATGGTAACTGGCTGCACTACTGGCACTTGAGCCGCCTCCTCGAGTCAAGCGGCCAGTTGAGGCGCATAAAAAACAGCCCGCTAATAAGGACCCCGAACCGCCTCTCCCAGGCCCTTGAGAGCCCCTCTCAGCTCCAGCCCATCCGTCGTACATTACCTACCTACGGCCCATCCCATCGCCCAATATAATAAATCTGGGCGAATCAATCAACAACAAAAACAACCAAGGCTTCTTTTCCACCCCCCCTTTCGACTTCCTCTTTACCAATTTCCCTACCAGCCTAAAACATTCCTGACAACAACAGCAACATAGATCGACTGGCCTGTCTGTGATTCGTTCGATCGCCCTACAAGTTCTTGTCGTCACTTCTCTAGCTTTTGGTAGTCGCAGTTCACGCCGCGCTTCCACCGTCGTCCATGGATGCACCTCGGTAGCAATACGCTTCCGTGGCCGCTGGAGGGGATCCAATAGTGCAGAGTACTCAACTGCCACCAAAACTCAAAAAACCCGAATCGAACCTTCGTCATCCTGCGCGCACCGGTTTCAGACCAATAAGTTTTGGGACCTGCATCAATTTTTGGTCTCCCAGTTGCGAATATTTTCAAAGAACGAAAAAGGGCGCCTTTAGGGTAGCAATACGGGCCAGACCTGTCCAGTCCAGTCCTGCCCCGCCTACCACGCCTAGGCCTGGCTTCAACACCACTCCACGCATCTTGACTACGTACTTCCCGGTAGTCGCCGGTGCAAACGAATAATCTTTGGGGCGATCGGGGCCGGCGCGCCGCTTATGAAATTCTGACGATACATTACATGGTCACCCTACAAGCCCATTCGTCTGGCGTCTTTACGGGCTCTGCCAGTATGGAGCCTGTTCCCGAGACCGAGAGCCTGGAGAGCTTCCAGTCGGCTCCTCTGCCCACATTACGACTGCAGCAACCTCGGGCTATCTCTACCAACGATCTTGACTTCAACCGCAAGCCCCCGACAGTGAGGCGGTCTACTGAGCCGACCTCTCCGAGCTCGCCATCGTGGTCTCATCCACCGGCCCTGACTCTACCATACAGACCCAGGACTACATCACCTCTTTCTGGCACACATACACGATCCAAGTCGACTGCCAGTCTCACCCTTCCGAGCATGTCTCGCACTAAATCCATGCCTGGCTTTGATGTTGCCAATCGCGCCTTGTCCTCGCCTCTCCTCCGCCCCTCGAGTCCCTCGGGATCTCCAAATCGCGTCAGGCAACGCAAGAAGCCTGTTGACGAAGCCTTTCCCCCAACTTCGCCTATTCGATCTTCGGTCCTCGACGGGTCGGAGAAGTTGCAGCATGAGGGCGCCGCTATAGGACATCGGCGTACAGCTTCCCCGCTTCGCAACGTTTTGCCTGCGCCCATGTTATCCCAACCGCCCAACATGTCTCTGCCATCCACGCCGTCATCTGTCGCAAGTTCTCCCATCTATCGGTACGATTCCATGTCTGGTGGTTATAGCTTTCCCTCCAGCTATTCTTCGTCTATTCCATCTACACCAACGTCAATCAGGTCTCGAAGTCCCAGTATCTCTAGTTTGGAAACGATTCCAGACTCCCCAGACGCCGAGGAGGCAGCGCTGGAAGATGAGCGCATCGCGAAACTAAGGGCAGCCGCCGAAGCTTCTGATGGAGATGGAGAAGACTCTTTGGGCGATTCCAAGGGAAAGACGAGCCTGGATGTTCCTAGCCGTGGCCGGACGTTGGGATTAGGGACCAGGGACAAGCGAAAGCGATGGAGTGTATGCGGAGCTGAAAGGAGAGGCGACCTCGACCTGGAAACGATTTGGGAGGATTAAAACAAGTGGCCGGGCACTTTTGATCCGTGAACAAGCGCAGGTTGCTCGCACGTGCCGACATCCTGGCCATGGTCCTGAGCATTCGAAGGGACTGATGGGCGCTTATCACAACTGCATTTGATTTTACTAAGGGACAAGGAGGCGTTTGTTTGTCACAGCTGCACGATACCCTGCTGCATTTGCATTATTTTAGCATCATGGACTTGGGGCAGATCCAAGGAGACTGTACAGCGAATCTATTGATTTTTGTTCAAGGGATGTGAGATTTTGTGGTGCTTCCTTTTGATGTGTCTCAGTAATAAGCAACATTCAACAACCGGAAACCAGGTAGCCGGGTAATGCAGGGAGAAGAAGTCAACGTCTTGCCAATGTCCTATCCTCCCTATTCAAGTGGCTGGGCCAAATAGTCTCAAGACTAGCATCCCTCTGGAGTAGATCTCCAATGCTGTGTTGCTCTGTCGGACGGACATACAGGTAGGAAAATCATGAACAGTGTTGCCTGCGGGCACGCCTAGTTAAGGCGTCGTATAAGTGCAATGCTGAATCCCAAAGTCGTTTCGATGCGATTATTGTTGATCATTCCATTGTCGAATTGCAGTCAGAATCATAACATCAGTCTCTGGCCGCGTAATGAAATTCCAATCTTATAGCTGCGCAATATGCGCATTAACCCTATTGTCCATCATATCATCTGCTGCTTCGGTAGTCACTGTTGGTACTGAAGATCATCAAGCTCCTCTTCAGAGACAACAAATTGCCGAGGCTGTTGACCATCCTGTGCTTTTCAGTCATGACATTGCAGAGTCCCAAGCACAGCTATGGAGGAGGCAGTTTCCAAACCAACAGTCTGTTGCTACTCCCACGATAGCCACGCGGCGGGGACGATCGTTTGGTGTCTGGAACGGGTTGCTTCTCCTTTCTATAAACACCGCTCAGATCCAAATTGTGACGGCAACATCGACTGCGACTGTCCCCTGCAGCGATAACACGTCTCCCGGTACGGTTGGCGTATCATACGGCATAGCAAACAACATCACTTCGACTTCTCACGTATCATCATTATCAGCCTCTCCGATCTCACTGCCGGAAAATACTTTGGACACCCAGAGTTCTGCTCCTTTGCTTTGCCAGGACGCTACTACCACTGTGACGGAGACAGAACACCACCACCACACCGTCTTTACTACCCAGACCGCGACGGTAACGGACAACCTGGCACGTCGACCACAAGCTACAGGGTTTCTGCCAGAGTACCCTCAAGGCAGCTCTGGATCAGGGGCAGATCACTTCCAGCCTGTTGATTCGTTCCCAGAGGATCAGATTGCTCAGCAACTACCTGCCAGTACAGCGAAGCCGTCTCCACCGGAAGGCAACGGCAATCGCCCTCTACCGGTTGCTCAATTTGAATATGTAACGGAGTATGTCACACTCACTGCCGTCAAGGTCAACTCTGTTGGGCCGGAAGTGTATCAGAGTCCTGTATCGTACATTATGAGCCCAACACCGAGCGAGGAAGAGTCTTCTGGTGATGAAGACGAGTCCGGGGTAACGACGACTACAAGCGCGGTGACTACACTATTCACAACCGTCACAGGCACAAACGTTGTTGAGACTGCAATTACTAAAAGTTTCTCAACCGGGCAGTCTCCAGCCTCACGTTATCCTCAGCAACTCGATCCCGACCCCACGACCATACCAACGGTTTCTTCTTTCTCAAACGCTGTTTCGTCTCTGGTGAATACGACAGAACGCTCGTCGGTTTCCATGTCGCACTCAGCTAAGCCCACTATTCAAATTGTCAATATATGGAGCTCGGATTGGTCTACCTATCCATCCTCATCAACCTCGGTAACAACAGAAACAACTAGTCAAATTACGCAGATTCCCAATACTCCAGAGCCAGGCCAGGCGTTTGATTCTCACAGCCCTTCTACCTACCCTATCACCACAAGGCTGAAGTTTTCGACTTCCCCGGTATCGCCGACGGTGGTAAGTACCGAGCCATCATTGTCGACTCCATCAACCACAGCAACCACAACAAGCGTCCACATATCGACGCATACCACGCCGCACGCCGACGTCGTCGACAGCATGGAAACCACGAACACGGCATGCGAGGACAGCGTGCCCACGAATGGGTCGAGAATGCCACATATTGTCATTAGCAACATTGCTAGGCGGCGGAGGCGGTCTTGAAGAGCATGGGAATGAGAACATACGCCGAATGCAAGCGAATGGTCGAGGTACCAGGATGCAGGATCATTCTCGGTAACAAGTTTACCCCGTGGTACCAGCGTCGAAGGAGCAAAATGGTGTGTTGAGTTTTGTATTAGGGGGCGTTTCGGTTAGGGTGTATTATACGGTACCAATCAGTCCATGTCCAAATAAGCGTACAACCGTACAGGCATTGCCGGTAGAATTTACATTCTTTTCAATAAAATCTTTTTCGCCTACTGTTCATACCTATGGCAAAACTCAAAGTTTTCAAGTGGCTCACAATTTTATTCCAATTGGATATAGATCTTTATCGAATCCCAACGTGTTATCAATCGACGGGTATTAGATGATTTTTGAACAGTTGAAAAGATGGATATACAAATAATGCAGGCCTGCCAATGACACTGAAAAATAATCAAAATTTAATCTTTAGCATAAGCTCCTGATATTTGTCTAAGCATTAAACACGACCGATTTATAAAGCATGGTAACGGTAATATAGTCACAGAATGCTTACCAAAACATGAATAAACACCCGACATGAGCATCAACACCACAAACAACCGAAAAGAGACATGAACAAAAAAAGAACACTTCTGAAAAAAAGAAAGGCGAAATATCTCAGTAACTGAGATGCATCGGGAATTGAGCCCAATGCGGGGGTCGAACCCGCAGCCTTGAGATTAAGAGTCTCACGCTCTACCGATTGAGCTAACCGGGCGCCGTAGGCAAGGTTGATTTGATGGAGGGAATCAACCAGGCAAGGCTTGCTGCTTTGCTTGTTGAGAAACAACCATGTTATTACGTTTTCTATAGGAAAAAGAAGGAAAAGAAAATTTTCAAAAGGCTTGTTGTTCCCGAGTAAGTCGAAAGTGAGGCAAATACGTTGGTCGTGGACGACTGGATCTAGGCGTGAATGGGTTCCGGGTTCTCCATAAACTGGGGTCGACCGTGCTCATTTAGAAATGAGTCGTGGATGTAAGTCTAGAGGGTGGCCATTGTAATGTTCCGACTCGTGGGCTGTACGCTTGATATCTTTTGTGCAAAAACTTGGGTGAAAGACTTAACAAAGGCATAGCATTATTCCAGCACGTGAGCAATGCCAAACTTATAGTTGCAACGGTTTGGTGATCAAAATTCATGTCTTGGGTGTATTTGCAAGAAATGTCAAGTCGTAAGCTCTATCTAGCTCTTGTCTAGTCGCACAGCCGGATTTCTCTCAATGAAGTTCAGGTCCACCTTGTGTCCCAGTAGCTCTCGAATGTTGGAGATGCCGTACTTGATCATGGTCGGCCGCTCCAAACTCAATCCCCAACCATAGACCTTCATATCACCGGGCAGGCCCATGGCCTCGAGCATTTCCGGTCTGAACATGCCACTGTTGCCAATCTCGACCAGCTTGTTGAGACCCTTGTGGAAAGAGAAGATTTCCAGACTGGGCTCAGTGTAGGGGTTGTATGCAGGCTTGAAGCGTAGGTCCTCAATGCCCATCTTCTTGAAGAAGATCGTCATGAACTCCATAAGACCACCCAGTGTCAGATCGTAGTCTGCAATGACACCCTCGACCTGGTGGAACTCGGCAAGATGGGTGGCATCGACAGTCTCGTTTCTGAAGACACGGTCAATGGAGAAGTATCGTGCTGGCGGCGGCTTGCCATCGAGGCCGCGCTTGTCCGCTAGCTTGTGAAGCATGGCTGTCGAAATGGCAGTCGTGTGAGTTCTGAGGACCAGACGCAGAGACTCGTCCTCGGCCCATGGGTATCGGTAGCCTATCGAACCATACTTTCCATTCTCGTGCACTTGCTTGATGTTCTCGAAATATGTGTCATAGTCCTTCTTGTCCTCAGAGTCCTCGGCCCGTGGCTTGTGCGCCAACTTTGGGTCTGAGATGTAGAAAGTGTCCTGAAGATCTCTAGCAGGATGTTGTTGCGGGACGAAGAGGGCGTCGAAGTTCCAGAAGCCGGATTCGACAAAGTGGTCTGTGGGCATCTCCTCGAATCCCATTTCGAAGAAGATGTTTCGGAACTCGTGTCGCACCTTCATGAGAGGGTGGAGTGCTCCGGCGTGCTGGTCGGCTCCCAGGGCATTGAAGTTGTAAGGCTTGAAGGTGGCCGTCTTCCACGAGCCCGTGGCCAGCATCTCCTCGGTAAGGTCAGTCTCCTCCTTGACCAGCTCCAGTGCGAACTTTGGGCCCTTTGTAATGCTGAAGCTAATGACCTTTTGCGTCTTGATCAGCTTTCTTTTCTTGAAGTCGGCCAGGACCTTGGCGTCGGGTAGAGTGCGCTCCTTCTGGATGATTTGGAGCTGTTCACGGGTAGTGTCTTTTATCGAATCGACCTGGCCGAGCGTTAGTAAATGCCCAAAATTGCCCAATAACACGGAGAACGTACAGCAGCAGCAAACTTGCCGCCCTCTGCCTTTGCTATCCACTTGGCCTGCATGGCCTTTCCTTGACCGAACTTGGCGACGTTCTTGTCACCGACAGCGGCCTGAATCTCTTGTACTGTCAGGGCCTTCATGGCCTTGCTCAGCGCCTCAAAGACACGAGCTTCGTGGCTACCATTGTCGGCAATAGACTGTCCCTCGGGCTCCAGGGTAGCCTCCTCTCGCTCCAGCTGCTTGTACTCGACCATGGATCGCGAACCAAGTCTGTCGAGAACGGCCTTCAACTCGGCAAAGGGGACGCCTGGGAAGGTCTCGGTCGAGAGGATGGGCTCGGCCTTGTCCAGGGCATTAAGCACCTGGGAAGTGAGATCGCCTGACATTTTGGATGATTTTGTCGTAATCACAAAAACTTAAGGCCAGACGAGCGCCAAAAAGGTGTTGTTGGGTTGAATTGGTTCCCAGAAAGTCGTGGTTCAGCCAGAGGTGGGATATGATATTTTGAGTCACAGCTCCGACTTACTCGAGTACACACCCCGGTTTGGGTCGCCCAAATTTCGAAGTGGGATATTTGATGCGATTGCGGGGTCCTTTTACATAAAATTTGACTCTATGCATATCATGCATATCTGTGTCGACACTCAGTTTTATGCATCTGTTACGACGGTTCAGAGCTCAGTTTGTAACAAAATGCCTTTATCAGTCTTATCAGTGCCTATAGCCACCCTAGTCAATTTAGCACTTACACCACTTTCAACTCCCCACACCTACGCAGTGCATTATAATTATAGTGCAGCGCAGTGGGTGCAGCGCAAAGGGTGCAGCGCAGAGGGTATAGCGCAGTATAATATTGCAATATGATCTAATCGCTGATTGGGTGCATCGAGATTTTTAGTGTGACGCTATTAGGGGATAGCGTGATCTGTGATTGGCTGGATTCGATTTTTTAGTGGGGGAAAATCCCAAAAACCCAATTGCCATCAGCTGGTCCCAGCTGGGCGCACCTATGGGGTGGGCTGGATTGGCGTAAGCGTAGCTAGCGCTAAACCCAAAAGCATTTTGTTACAAACTGAGCTCTGAACCGTCGTAATCTGTCCATAACTCTCCGCCTGATTACCTAAGTCGTTGATTACATCAGATGGCACGACTCAGCCCAAAAGGCTGCTTGCTGACTGAAAGCTGCTGCTCCTCCTATTGCCTGTGACAGACGGTGCCAAAAAGCTCTTGGCATCCAACACAACATTGGTGGTTGTTATGCTTGCTTAAACCGCAAAGATCCACTACTACTCGCTCGACGCTGCAGCTCGACGCCAATGTCATCCCATCCCCATCCCCAACGCCTGCAGCTTCACCTGTGACTGCTTGCCACTCCTTTTTCTTTTCACCACAACAACGGCCCGCCACGAGCATTCGAACCTTCTTAGCAACTTGCCCACGCTGCAGCATGTGAGCTCATATCCGTTCCGGTGGCTTCGCAAACAAAACGTTCGAATGAGGTGGAGCTATGAACCATGATCCCACCCCGACCTCGCCGGCGGACGACCCTGATGCGAACCCCCGTCCCCGCGAGGAAGAAGACATCGCTGCCGCTGCCGTTGACGACGATGACGACAATGGCGCCCCATCGCAACAGCAGAACGGTTCTGCCGCAGGTACCACACCACGCCGGCGACCGAAACTATCTAAAAAGGAAAAGGCTGGCATGGCGAAGAAACTCGCTTTCCTTATTCACCTTTTGACGAGCCTGGATCTCCTTATATATGCCGAACTATGCGTGCTGTATTATATGGAGTATGTAATCTCTTGGGCGTTGACTTGCCGATATGATGTCGCTCACATCCCTCATTAGCTGTTCCTTTTTCCGACTTCTCATCCGCTGGATCCCGCATTGGCTCTTTCTCAGCGTGAAACTCGAAATCGCCATTATACCATATTTCAATTATCCGATCGGTGCCATTATCGGACCTAATGTATTCTGCATGTTCTTACATTTGGTCACGTCGCTTCCGCAAGCAAGCGAGATATCAAGAGGCTACTTACACGGCGGAGTGCTCGTCGATTTCGTCGGGCAAAAGGCTCCCACATCAAAGTTTTCGCTACTACTAGTCGATCTAGTGGTGCTTTGTCTGCAGTGTTTGATGTTGTCGGTCAATCTTGAAAAGGACCGAATAAAGAAGATACTGAATCCTCCACGACAGCCCGAAGGCAGCGCTGGAACTGCTGCGGCTGCAGCGACGAATCCAAACCAGGACCATGATCATGAGGAGAGAGGCGTGTTGCGTGAAGGGCCTAATATTGATGAGCTGGATGGCATCGAAATGCAAACATTCGGGAGTGACGGCGCAGAAACAACAAGTCTGCTCCGGCAGAGGGATAGTAATCAGGAGGGTCTACGCGATATTTTGGCGTCTGGCAATGCCATTTTAGCCGATTTCCATGTCCGAACGGCACTGCGACGAGCCTGGACTGACCGCGGCAACACATCTGAGGCGGCCGCAGCTTACACGTTGCAAAACGTGAGTTATAATGCGACTCTGGCAGCATTAGCGGCTCAGAGAAGAGCTCGATTAGCTGCCGCGCAAACAGGCGCAAATAGACGGACATGATTGGAATTTGCATGAGGTCAACATTGTACAAATGATATGGGTATCTTTCTATGCTACCTTTCTGCCAACATTGCCGACACCTGTCCCCTTCACCGAGATAATGATGTCGCCCGTGTCGTCGTCTTCCACATCACGCAGACCCCAGCTGCTTGCGCCGAATGTTTTCAAATCTCGGGCAAGTCTTATCGTCTCCTCCGCCCCTATCACACCTCTGCCTAATCTGACTCGGCCCACATCTTCGGATCCCATGGCCATGAGCGTCATGATTGTGGGTGCTGCCGCCAGATCTACACATCCTCCAACCTCGATCCTCTCCAAGAGCTGGTATGCGCATCGTTTTCCAATGTCTTCGGCCACCACTCCTCCCTCTGCTGGCGCAACCACGTCAGCAGAGTATAGTACGCCGTTTGAGCTTGACTCTGCCACCAGACTGATTCCAAAACCAATGCCCATCCTCCTCTTCGTCTTGTCGCCCGTGGCCACAAGTGGTGCCTGATCATACTGCGCCGCCACGTGTATGTCTGCAACAAATGGGTTAAGCACTTCTCTGGCGGAATGAATCATGCGCGCATTGTTGCTAGCCGAAACACCCGTCGCGTAGGCTACACCACGTATCCTCCGTATCCTGCCGGAATTTCTGTTTAGATGTAATGTTTTCGGCAGCCGCACCTGACTTGCGAATCTAAGCTCAACAATGCCGGCGCCGCCTACGCCCTTGGGTCCTGCACACGCCCTTTGCAATACCCTAAGCTCTATCCGTATTGCCGGAATGCCAAAGAGGTTGTAGAGAGGGAGGATGGCGGTCCGAAACGAGTCAACTGAAAGATCGCCAGTCTCTGTAGCGGATGTAATGACGCCAGGGCCGGTAAATCGCACGTTCATGTGGGCTTTCGAGAATGGTGCCAGCTGGCAGAGAGCCATGAGGAAATATGTGACTCCGCGCGTACATGTAGCGGGGAGGTTGTGCTCGATCATGTCGCCAGCATCGCCGACGGCGCCCACACCAGGAGCTGCACCAGTAATAAGACCGGGATGATATGTTATCGTTGTACCCGTGTATGAGATCTGCATAGACGAGCCATTGGTGATGGCTTCGAGGAGGCGAAGAAAGGAGACTTCGTGAGGTGCGAGACCAGGATTCGTAGGCGAAGTTGTACGGATTTTGGAAATGTGAACGGGTCGTCCGGTAAGGGTCGAAAGGACGAGGCGCTGAGCAAAGTTCTTATGGCCCGTAAAGCGCAGGAACTGCGGCTTTGTTTCAGACATGGCGAAGGTTGTCTGTATGCGCCAGTGATGAGGTCTTGTAGTTCGTGCGGTGCGATGAGGAAAATAAAGAGTAATTCAGTAGTAAAAAGGCTTATAGAAAAAAAAAACTTGGCGATGCTTCAAAAATGCTGAAGCTTTCTACTGCTTGGTACAGCACTTTGCTCCCCACTATCTCCAATCGATACAAGCAACCGCGAAAAAGTGGCAGAATTTGGGAGAAAATTTGGGCGGTCAAGCGCTTTGCCGGATCAATTGGCAGCCGCAGCCGGGTTACAGGCATCAGATCCAATGGAATGTGGAAGGGACCTACTATGTGCAGCAGGTAGGTACGTACCTTTTTCCTGGGCTGCTTTTTTTAAGTTGCACATCTCAGCAATACCCCTGCCGCCTTCTAGCGCACATAGGGGAGACCCATAGCGTACCATTTTAGTGGCTCGGTACAGCGAAGCTCTTGACCTAGCAGCTGTGCAATGAATAAATCGCAGCATTGGGGAGTAGGTTGACTTTTGAAAACTGTCAAGATCATACCAGGGTTCAATAGTCCACGAAGTCGCAAGCTCACTCCCACCACCACCACCACAACCACGAAGACTGCCACGATTTTAACATCAGCCGACACGAACACGGACGAGGCGGGCGAGCTGTTGACTTTTGACTTTGGTGGTATTTCCACTTTCCAATAATCATTCTTCTGCTACAACAGAGGACTGTCTCAACCTTAGTCGCCCACGCCCTCACCTTCGCCATACATCGACACATACCTACGTAATCCGTTAAGATGTTGGACTTCCTGGACATAGACTGGTGGAGTCTCGCGCTCCCCTTTGGCTATATCTCTGTACTGGCTGGCATGCTGTTCACCTTTTCGACTATTTACCGCAAGAGGAAAGCTGGTATGTTGTCGTTGCCCCTACTTTGCGTCATTGCAGTGGCGCCCTGCCCCAGCGAAAAGAGTTTCTGACTGACCAACTTTCCCATCTTGCAGCACAACTCGCCAACCTGGAGCCATGGTTCGGGCCTCACTTGCAGAGACAAGTCTACTCCTCCCTCCTTGAGATTGCCGCCACCGGCGAGAAGACAAAGGTGCCTGATAGTGTCATCCGCGCCGCTCTCCTCCGCCGCGCCGTCGCCGACATTGGCCGCATCATCCAGATCCGACAGGCTAAGCAGGCCCTCAACGTGTTGCTTCAGCGCGGCAGCGTGGGAGAGGACCTGAACCAGAGGTTTCAGCGAGCAGAGAAGGAGATTGAGGAGGAATTGAGAGAGGTTGTCATGGAGGTGAGTTTCAGCAATCGCACTGGTGTCGTGGTACAGTATGTCAAGAGCTATGCACTAACGCCCATACTAGGCCAACGCGCTTCAACCCGGATGGGGCAATGTCATCTTCCAATCTGCCAACGAAATGGCCGCGAATGCAGCGCTGCGCGAGAGGATAGAGGAGATCCAGGGTACGGCAGATTCGGAGAAGGAGTGGTGGGAGAAGCGCCGCGAAGTCATCCGCCAGGACTTTGAGAAGGAACTGAATGAGGAGGAGGCTGCAAAGACCGACGACGATGCCGTCCTCGTCGATACCAGCGCACCCAGCACTCCTGGAGGTTCCAAGAAGAAGAAGCAAGCCAAGAAATAAGGATAGCCACGGGTATCCTGACCGAGGGCTGGTCCATGTATAATTGATCGTGGAGCGGAGGTTCAACATAACACGTTACCCTCCTCGGAAACGTGTAGGTATGGATGGCATTAAATATGGTGTCCGGCGTTTGACTTGAGGACATGGCCTTTTGGGGCGCTGCAGCTGATTACCCAAAATTCAATTATTGCTTTTCTGTCAAATATACCGTCTTCCCTATTCTAGATCATGCGTGTGTTCGCTTAAGGAGCTGCAAAACAACAGTCTCAATTATACGCTAAATGCAGAGATTCAAGTACTATCAAAATGATAGCAGCAACGCCAAGGTGGGAAAAGGGCACGATACCAACTTCCGATACTCCTCAAAAGCCTTGCCTCTTTTCCCCATGTCCGAATTTCATTCAACATGACGTTACATTTCGATCTTCCGCAGGTCTATTTCTCGCCCTCTCTTAATACCAATGCAATTTCCGCCTCCAGACCTCATCCTCATCCTCCCTTTCGCGGGCGCGCCGAGCCTCCTCCATAATCTCATCCTCGGAGCGGACACGGACGGGAGTCTCGCAGCCCCGGAGCCCGATGAATTTGCCAATGCGCCGACGCTTCTCCTCGAGGGCGAGACCCGTCTCCCAGGCCACGGGACAGGGGTAGTGAAAAGTCCAGCGGCAGGGCGTGCGCTGGTGGTAAAAGTGCGCGAGACCCTCGAGCTCGGCGTCGGTCAGGAGCCAGAACCGGAGCAGCGTCGAGGGGAAGCTGGGGTGCACGAGGCCCGTGGTGAGCTGGACTAGAGGGGCCAGCGGTAGGGCCATTTCTTGGAGCTTTTTGGCAAAGGCTGGGTTTTGTTTCTTTATACTGCTGCTGTGGCCGCTCAGTGGTTGGTCGTGTAATGAGGAGAGGCGGTGGGCGGAAAAGGTCTGGCTTGGCTGTGCGAGATGGGTCGGGCCGGGTATGGGTAGGGCAGAGGAAGAGGAGCAAGAATTTTGTAGAGTCGCGATGACGGGTTGCGTGTTGAAGCAGGCGGCAGTAGGGCTGACTATAGGGTTCGTAGGCGTTGCCATACTGTCGTTGCCATTGCTGCTTGTTGAGCATTCCCGGGGAAACGAGTCTGTAAAGGAAATATCCATTGGCGAGGACGATGAGGAGGAAACCGAGGAATGAGAAAAGACCGAGTCGACGGGCGTTGTCGGTACTGAGAAATCGGTGTCGATTGGGCTCGTCGCTATTTGATTCTCGATTGGCTCTCCGGCTGTGAGGGATGGACGATGTCCGTGGTGTTGATTGAATGACATTTTTTTGTTCCTTATTTTCCTTCTTTTCTTGCTCAAATAAAAAACGACTTCTCTCAAGTGCCTTCAATAGATCCTCTTCTTTGGTTTAGGCGCGAATCTCTGATACGAGTGTTGCGTCTGGTGAAGATTGTTGGTGTTTTTTCTTTGTCTCAAAGTGAGTGTGGTTTGCTTAGTTTGTGTGCGCGGGCGTGTCCCGGATCCGGCGGATATGAGACGTTTTGCGCGTAAAATAAAAGGGAAGCGAATGAGTTTGGCAAATCAGAATGAAAAGTGATTTTGTCGTGTGAGTGGGCAATCTGTATTTATAATGTACGACGGCAGAAAAGTGTTCGGTAGTGAATCGGCGTGACTGATTTGGGCGGAAGGCTCTATACAGTCCGCGATGATTCTGCGTCTCGTAGAGAGAGAGACTCGCCTACACGAATCTGGCTGTGTCCTGACTGAACAAAAAGTAAGAAAATGGCGATGCCCGAGTGAGCGAGAGGTTCTCGAATGATAAGGACTGTTACAGTGTCAAGAAGGGAAAGAATGGTATGAATATAAGAGAGATGGACAGATGAAAGAGGAAGAAGCACTTGAGATTCTATAGAGACGAGAGACAACAGAGATGATATTCAGCAACTAGACTTTGTGAGACCTCCAGAAGAAGACAGACAGATGCGGCAGAACGGACTCGAAGTGTGGTCATGTCTCTTCTTGTAGGGTGGCGGTCATTTCTTGTTGGCGATGCGCGGCTTCTTTGTCCCCATCCGTCTTCTTTGTTCGCACCCTTTGGGCCATGACCGAGCCGAGGCGTTATGTACGCGGTGGTTGTTCTAGATTATTGATTTGATAAAAGAAGCAAGCTCCTCAAAAGCAAGACAAGTCTCGCCGGGGGTTTTCGGCGACTATGAAGAGATGAAGTCATGAAAGCAAGGCGTCCTGACTAGAAACGCATTTGGTATACCTAGACTCAAACACTCCTTTCTCCCCAAGGGAACCCACATGATCACTCGTCACAATGACTTTTGCCTCGATTCTTCCATTGTATAGTACCGCTGCAAATGCCCAAGCAATCAGGTAATTAGATATCAGGGTTTATAGGTACTAGTATTAACAACACTACAGACCTTGCCAAGCAAGTTTTGCAACATGGTCTGCCTTTTTCCTGCTTTGCTTGACAAAGCCCATGGTCTTCAACTCGGACATGGCACGATAGAATAACACCAGTGCCGTACGTTTATCTAGTCCATCTTTCTTATCCTCGCCGACTATAGCGTAGAAGGCCGACCAGAGATCAGCAACATTGATGAGTGAGCCCGTTTCTAAATACAGATGATAGAGGATGGCGGTGACGGGTAGTGTGGGTTTGATCTCATCTTTGCCCGACTTGCAGCACGAACAGCCAAGATAGTCATGTGGCCGTGACAATGCTCTTTCAATCACAGTCCGGGGTCTTGGTATAAAGACATCCTTATATGGTGTTCTCAGATCGTAGAGCCAAAGCTCATGCAGAAAGACATCTTCGGTCTTTGGCGTTTCGAGTGTCGACCCCAATTTCTCGACAAGGCGGTCGATCAGGGCCGTATATGCTTTGTCTTCGTCAGTGAGATCAGCTGTATCTCGACTGAGCTGGACCTTTTGTGCGATCACTGTGGTACGGAGAATCTTGTTGTGGCCGCTGTATTTGCTCTTCAGAGTTGTGCCCTGTTCTTCAGACTGTTCTTGAAGCGTTTTGATTTCAGCCAAGATGTCAGAAAGCATAGCAACGAGATCACTGGTCTCATCAGCCCACCCCGACAAGCCGATACTCGAATCTCCATCCTTGATAGTGTTGATGAATCGACTAATGAACGAAGCGGCATCAGACGGGGGCAATCGCTGAACTAAGCCTGACAAATCTTTGTGCTCGTCTTGCATGTTGATGCCGACCGATATAGCGTCGAGGTAACTCTGTACAAAATCGTATCCCGTGTTGTGTATGACGGAGAGTAACTTGACGTTCCTAAGCACGTTAAGAATCCACTGTTTTGAGTGTGACCGCTCTGTCTGCATGCATTGGATAAGATACTTGTCGTCGTCAAGTAAGCTGCGTACTTTCTTGATACTCCCAGCCTTTAGAGTAGTTTCGACGAAAGTGCGGAATGATGGTAACGACCGCACAAGTTCCAAAGTCTCTTTCGGGACTAACTCATTGTCCAATTCATTAGACAATAAAACGCTTAATGGGTTTGCATAATAATGACACATGTAAGCGTACTAGTCCGATCAGCAACTTTGGTCAAGGTTCCGGACTTTTTGAAATTAGGGGACGTACTTTGAGAGAATTGACAAACATTGGGCTGCCAGCGACTTGATCTTGCTGGCGCTCCAAAAGACTTTGCATGAGTGAAGGTCCCAGTCGCAATGGTGCATCGACATGAGCGACAGCAGTCTTGAAGATTTTCTCAATGACAGACGTCGATTGTTCGACATCAAATTGGTCGCCATGGAGGTGGAAGCAAGTCGACTTCAGTAGTCTGGCCTGGAATAGTTCAACCGATGTTGCTATACCAAACAACAGACCGAAAGGGATTCGGTCCAGCCAGGAACTAGATGGAGAATTAGTTATCTGGGTCTTTGATAGCATGTCATAAATATTACCTGAACAATAGTATCAGGTCTGATAGAAGCCCAGACTCAAAGGCTTCGCTGTCCTGGAAACAAATTATGACGTGGCTTAGTGGGCTCGCTTTTAGGTGAGAATGAAGCGCCTCAAGGTCGTAATTCAGGTATCGACGGCCCTATGGAGAGTGAGCAGAGGGGATAGATGGACATGTGGAGAGTCAACGAACATCTCTACCCATGGCGACCTCCAGATCGTCGTCACCTTCTGCAGTCCTAGCAGTAACATCGTGTATAATCTTCTTGAGCGCAGCTTTCAGATTTGAAGCATCCGCTGATCGAAGTCTCACTACCTTGGCGTCTGCATTTTCCTCGAGGTTTTCAGAGAGCTGCTCAAACAAGAGCTCTTGAGAAGCAATGTTTGCGCCCGTCACGATGAAGCCCGAGGGTATCTTTTCCTTGTGCTGACGACTTGTGGAGTCTTTTATGAAAGAGGTAACGTTTTCCAGTGTTGATTGATTTCCCTCACGCAAAACATGCTTTTAAGAGTAAGCGTGGTATACTTGACCATAGTTGTGAGATGGAAATCTTACATGAATTCTCTTGTCAATGCCATACCATGCCTCTTCGAACAAGGTCTGTCGCAATTTGATGCTAGTTTCTGGTTCCGAATCTTTTTCAAACAGCGACTGGAAATAGGTCCTATCTAAAAACTCGGGTTCTGGCTGGGTTGTCTGCTGTTTCTTGGAAACCTTGCGGCGCTTCACAGGCCTTGCAGGTCGATCAGCATCGTCTGCAGGATCAAATATATAGGCAGCCTGTGTATATCTGTTAGAGCCATTCATCTAGTGCTGGAAAAGAAGGACAAATTTTCAATGCACTCACTTGATGCTCCCTTTCGGTCAGCACCTCACCAGTCACGTCCTCGGAAGCCATGATATCTCATGTGTGGATCAGAACTTGACCAAGAAATCTGGGGTCAAGCACACTGATGATCAAATTGAGGCGCGTCCTTGAGGTTGAGCCAGTCGCGCTTGTCTTGTCACAGGGGTCGGCTTAGACGCAACAGGGCAACAGGGGTAGCTAGTGGGCACTAAGGAAGACGCGGGCTGAGGCGGGACAAACGCGGTGATCTCACTGATAACCGATAGCTGGGGGGCGCCTACAGATTCTTGACCTCTGCAGGTCCGGGCAAGAAAAAAAAGTTTTGGCTCATTCACCAGCCCAAACTTCAACTTTTCCGAGAGCGCATATAAGCGATTCTCAGGACCGCAACAGGTCACAAACAGCATTATGCCATGCCTCCAAGTACATTCTTGATCGAAAAAAGCTCACAGGACTACATTTGCAGATCCTGTCTCTTGGGCCTCCGGAAACCACCCCCAGCAACGCCGGCGCAATGGGGCGTTCGACGAGCATCGCAAGCAGCTGCCAAAGCGGCGAGAGCTGCCAGAGCTGCCAGAACCTCAACAACACCCAGAAAGCCTCAATCAGGTGACGATTCCGAACGACTTCAAACGTTAAAGAAACTCGGACTTCTACAGAAAGACGAGGAACACAAGGCTACGGTCAATTATTTCCAGGAAGATGGAGGCAAGATCCGGAGGCTCTCTGGCGTTGACGAGTTCAGCAAAGCCCTCACTGACCCCGGTGGCGAGATGGAAGCCGAACTCAAATCCATGGAAAAGGATACGGGCTACGTCAGGTCCTTCATGGACATGCTGTTCAGAGCACAAGTCGACGAACCGAAACGCAACCCCGATGTCTTAAAGGACGAATTGGAAAAGGCGCTGAAAGTGAATAAGCCGCTTGACTCAAATGCCCTCGAGGCACTGGACGACTTGTCAAAGGATCTATACGACGAATCAGATGGACCCATATACATTGATACTTCCATCTTGGTTGCTAATTGGCCGAGGACGCATCTGGAAAAGATCGTACGCCTGAACAACAATTTGCAGCTCGCTTCAAGACAACTCGACCGTGGTGCAATCAATAAACAGGGCTTTGGCGTCTGGAAATGGTACTACGGAGCGCGCCAACTTCTGGCAACGGATTGGAAGATTGTGCCTCCAGCAACATGGGAACTCCTCTGGGATATATTCTCCGTAGAATCTTCAAAGAACCCGAACCGATGGCACCATCTTCACATCCTTGCGAAAGACATGAACGAAGCTGGAGTTGAACTTGCTCCCAAACGGCAGCTGCTGGCGATTGAGGCCACCTTCCTCGAGGGCTGGCACAAGGAGGCTGTCGACAACCACAAGAGAAAAGTCACAACGCTCGGGGCAGATCCAAAGACATTTCTCGAATTTTGGCAGCTTGGATTCCGGATGTACTGCCAGATTGGCGACTTGGAAAGAGCCGAGAGGACCGCCGAGATCATCTTGACTTCGAAATATCCCCACGACGCGCGCTTTCTTTTTCCTTTGATCCGCGCATTTGCGGAGAAGACGGAAACCGCGGACAAGGCATATAATGTCTATGAGGAGATACGCACGAGGTTGGGTGAGCAAATGACTATTGAAGATTATGATGTCATCATTTCGTATTTCCTCGCAGCACAACAGTCGGAAATTGCTTTCTCGATTTTTGTCGAGATGATGACTTCTGGTCGTCTCAACTTGCGGAAATCGAAGAGATCGGACAAACTTCCACCCAGTGTGGCCAACGAGTTTTTCGTTGGCAAGTGGCTGAAACGACTTACCTTGATCGGCGACTTCGAGGGAGCGCACAAGGCTTTGCTTCACATGAAAAGCAAAGGCGTCATGCCTAGACCAATGGTTGTCAACGTTCTTGTCGGTTCTTGGTTGCGAACAGGAGTGGCGGAAAATGTGCAGAAGGCAGAAGATCTTGCCTGGGCCATGATCAACTCGAGACTGCAATTTGTGCAGCTCAGACAAGAGACACGCGGCATCGAGGGTGTAGTTCCGTATAAGCCTGGCTTGAAAATTGTATATTCGATGACAGGACCAGGATGGCCAAAAGCGACACTCGAAACGTTCTCGCTGCTTGCAGAAAACTACAAGGATCGGGGGCTCATCGCCAAAATGGAAGAGCTCTGGGAGGCGTTCAAACGAGCAGAAATGGGAGCTGATACATTTTTCATGAATCAGTTACTTTTCTCCATGGTCCGGAGTGGACGCGGTGGCGAGGTTATAAACCTCTTCCGTGCCATGATGGAGAGATTCTCTGCCAGTGAATCTACTCCCCGTGGTCTAGAACCCGACTCGTGGACGTTCTTGGCACTTTGGCAATCGTTGACGGCCAACCGACTCCAACACTGGGGTCCAGAGTCTGTCCCCAAGATCATCACAGAAAGTCGTGTGTTATTCGCAGAAATGGTTCGTTATGCGCATAACTTCCAACAAGAGGATGTCGGCGTGAACTTTCAGCTTGCAAGGACCATCATGCACACATTTCGTCGCGCCAAGGATCCAGTGAGCATGCTGGTTGCTTACCGTGCACTTCGCCAAGTTTTTAATTTACAGGACCCGGGATCAATGGTTCTTGAGATGATTGTGGGAACCACAAATCTGGAAAAGGCTGCAGGCGACAGCAAGATGCGAAGCCAGATCATCACGGCCACCAAACACACCGAAAAGTACCTGTCGCAAAGACAGCAGGAAATGGTGGCGAGCGGAGAACTGAGAAAGAATGAGGAGATGCCCAACAATGTCAGATCAGCAGAGATGGGCGACTATCTTGAGCTGCATTTGGAAGCTGAGCTGTCCAAGATCAAGGGCGCCGAAGAACTCTTTGTTCAGGCGGCCTCTGACATGGGAGTGTATAATAATGAGGACGATTAGATATACAGCTTTGATGCCCGACATGTAACATAGCATGTAGGATAGATTTTTGAGGCTGAGAAACTCACCCATCTCACATATATATATCACACATACAATAGACATCATCTCATGAAATCAGATACACGATTGGTGGTAATTCTGGATCTGATCGACGTGCGATCTGTGATATTTCCGCAACTCTCTCTTATAGTCATTCCGTCTATCCATTGATGTCTAGTAAACCTGACTGCAATCAATCATGGTCATCCTCGGTCAATCCCGGGCAGCCATCCATTTCTTCGTCGGGGTACGAGCACTTGCACCAGAAGCAGTACCGATATTCTTTTCTCAAATAGTCCACAAGCCTGCGAAGCTTCTCGTCAGGCTCGAGCGCGTTGAACTCGTCCAGCCCGGGATCTTCCTCCTCCAAGTCCTCTACGGGCACGTAGGCCATCTTCTTCTTTCCCAGTGCCTGAGCGTCATCAGCGTCCTCGGTATCGTCCTCGTACGTTGGCAGCCGTGACAGGCTCTGCTCCAAGTCGTACCGCATCCGGCGCTCGCGCTCCGCCTCCTCGCGTCTGCGCACCAGGCCGCGCCAAAGCACATTGATGCTCTTGAGTGGACGTGTCGATAGTGTCCGCTTCTTCTTCCTTCTCTTGCCGTTTTCATCTACGGCGCCGTCGTCCTCCTCCTCCTCCTCGGTCTCTTGTTGCGCTCGCGTCTCGGCATCCCGCTCCTCGTCCATCCGCTCACACACTTTTTGCGCGCCATAAACCTGTCCCTCCCAGCGCTTGACCTCGCGCTCCCGCCGATTACGCTCGCGGAACTCGAGCGGGTCGATCTTGGGTTTCTTGGCCGCGGCGGCGGCTGCTGCCGGGTTCACGCCCTCGCGTTCCGCCGCCTCGTCCAGCGCCCGCTTCCGCTGCGCGTCCAGCCCAATGCCGCCCCGGTCCTCCTTGAGATGAAGTCGTATCGGCTCCGTGGCCGCGTGCGAATTATTCTCCTTGGCGCCCAGCGCCGAGCCCGGCGCAAAGCCCATCTTCTCCATCATGGAGAGGCCCTTGGACTTTTTGGCCAGGGCTGGCTCCGGCGGGGCCAGGGCACTCCAGGGGTCGTCTTCGTCGTCGTCGTGATCCTTTTCGCCTTGGTGGTTGGTTTGCGATTTGGATGACGACGCAACTCCCGGGATCAAAGACCGTGACAGGGCCGCCTCCCGCGCCGCCTTGGCCTCGGCGGCGAGCTCCTGTTTGGATTTGGGCCGGCCCCGGATCTCAGCCTCGCGCCGCTCGCGTTGGCGGCGCTGGAGAGAGGTTTCTGGGCGTGTGGTGCTGGGGTCGGATTCTGTCAGGAATGACATGGACATGTAGTCGTCCTCGTCTCCCGAGTCACCCATCTTATTTGATGTTTTTTCTTCCTACTGAGAAAGAGAAAATTTGCGATTGAAGAAAGTGAAGCACCGTGGTATGAGATTTCGGGTCGAGGGTGTTAGTTTAGTTGCAGGTTTTTGGCAATATAATTTCTGGGTCGGTGCCTTGAGTCGAGCGGCCGAGGTTGTTTGTACACCAAAATTTGGTTTGAATGTATGAGAGAGGTTTTCAGTCTCGTTGACTGGTCTCCAAAACAGACGATCGAGCCAGCCGAGTCCTTGTCAATTATTGCAATATGGTGGTTGTAATTTGTAACTTGTGACGTCCACCCTCAAACTTTTGGCGGCTTTGCAGAGCGTACAGTGCTAACAATGTGTCAATGGTGAGCTTCGTACTGTGCATGCTTGTGCAAGGAAGAAACAGGCAGCCATGATTACTCCCGTTTTTCCACGAGAAGTTGGGTGAGCGTCTTCTAATCGAAAACTATCATTCTACTTTGGTCACTAGTTGGACGTTGGCAGCATACAAACATTTTTTTTCTTCTGAAGGGGATACTATCATTTGTGTAACAGTACTCTTGTGAGCATTAGAACATATTGGCCCATGCTTTCGTAATGACGCCCCCGAGCTCTGCATTTTGCGTTTCGGGACGTGTAAAATAAGAATAAAAATCTGTAATCTCCAGCCAAATTGACGCCAAAGTCTTTTACGCTGACCTAATTCTATAGAATAATGCTTAACCCCTTTTTGCGGCGCGTTTCCTCGCTACCTTCTCTCTTTCATATGCATTCGATTCCCTGCCCTCTTCACTCTGGATCTCGGCCACGATTCGCTTGAACTTCTTCTCGTATGCCGTGTCTCTCGCCTTCTTGATGCGGAGCTTCTCGCGAGCCATAAAGTTGGCATCCTTGCGAAGTTCGCGCATCGCACCCTTCCTCTCCTTCTTATGCTCGGCCTTGAGCTTGTTGGCCTCGGCACGCTCTCGGTCAGGGTCGTAGTGCTTGTCAGGATCGAAGGAGTCTTCAAACTTGGGCACATGGGTCTTGATAGCCAGGGGTCGGTGATGATGAAGCTCTAGGTTGCGACGCTCCATGCGTGCTAGTTGCAGGAGACCCTCAAGCTTGGCCTTTGACCTGCCAATCTGTTGGTTCAGCGCCTTGGGGAAATGCGATCGGCAAGCCTTGTCCGATAGGTGGTTGAGCACAGCCAATGCCGGCTGGAAAGTCTCGTAGAAAGCCGACTTTCCTGTCCAGATGGTCGCAGCATTGTCAAGCAACTTAACGGTTGTGTCGACAAGTGCGATTTTGATCTCTGCGATATCTGTTTCGGCTGAATTTGTGCAATCAAGACAGTTCAGTCTCCTTACAGAGGTGCCTTTCAAGCCTTGAACTCTTGTGCCATCGACGGGATCGTGTACAGGGAAAAACCCGAGCTTGTCCTTGGCATTGACGGGTGCAAGTGCAGTCAATGTGTTCAAGCTGAAATTCATAACCTCTGGTATGTATCGTTTTGATACCGTTTGATATTGTATCGCCAGTATGCTCAGATAACAACCAATCGTGTAGTCTGTCAGTTGGCGCGGGATCTTCATGCCCAAGTAACGGTTCAACGTCAACATGGCCGGCGTGGTGACCTGGTGGAAGTGATCCGAGGTTGGGAAGATTGTGCCAATTGTCGTCAAAATGATGAGATCGCCCACATTCATGTCGAGAGGTCTCTTGCTGATATCCTCAATGTGTAATCTCAACTCGTTTGCAATCTCAATAGGGTAAGTCTTTGCCATGGAGTGAGCATGGCGAACAAGGCTCTCAATGGTGGCAAATGGTGCGCCTCGGGTTGCCAGGTACGGAAGATGTTGAATAAGGACTCTGGCAAAGTTGCCAAGCTTGGTCTTATTGCTGCTGTCCAGCTTCGAGTGGTGAAGGGCACGAATGCGTTGTACGACTACCGGGAGTTTCTCATCCGGCACAGTTTTGGTAATTTTGAGCAACGCTTCGTGAGTTTCCGGACACGAAAAAACGTAAGGTAGACCATCGGCATCTTCCTTGGTAGTAGTTGAGTCACGGGTCCCGTCCTCTTTCAAGCTGAAGGCTGGGTTCTTCGTCTCTTCTTCGTTTAATATGCCCTTGGTAAACTCGTCCTCCTCCTCCTCGGCTTCCTGGTCATCCTCGGACTGGTCAGACTCCTCGTCGCCAGATTCCACCTCACTGAGAGACAAGTCCGATCCCTCAGCAATCAAGTTGTCCTCCACAAAGAAATCATCTTCGTCGTCGAATCCGAGTTCTGTAGCAGTTGGCCTCAGCTTGATGCCCTTGCCTAGCCCAAAAGTGTCGCCCTCATCCTTTTCAATGAACTGGACTGGACCATTTGCGTCGTCCTCTTCTGCTTCAGATTCGTCCTCGACTTCATCTTCACTTTCCTCTCTGCCCTCCATGCGACGCTGTCGCTTTTCCTCCAACTCACGAAGCTTGGTAGCTTCCTCCTCGGCCTGTTCCTCTTCCGTCTTGGTGCGGTCTGTTGGCTGAGCTCGCCGGTCAGCAGCCAGCGACCTGACTTGCATATCGTATTCCTTCTGAAGCTCCTGCGCAGCGCCAGACTTGGCTGCCAATCCTGTGTCCTTGCCTGTCTTGAAAAGCAACTGGCGCAGGTTAGGTAGTTCGTCATCGAGCTCCATCCTCAAGTCCTCGTCGGCCTCTTTCGCAGCCTGTCTTTCAGCCTTGTGGAATTTCGATTTTGCAATGACTTCCTTCATGACCTCTGCTTTTGTCTTTTTCCTCTCGGGTTGGTCGTCTTCGGCCTCTGTTTCGCCTTCAGTCATGAGCTTTCGCTTCAAATAGGCTTTGCGTCCTTCGTCATCGTCGTCAGATCCTGCATCCATGTCGTCCTCTTCATAGTCGTCCGTTATATTGGGCCCGTCAAGAGACAAGGATTTGCCCATGTGGGTAAGACCAAAACTCTCCCCGGCTTCATCGTCCTCGAGGTCGAAGACGGCTCGTTTATGTGACCGCTGCTTTTCGAGCGCGAATCGCTCCAAAGCTTTCTCTTCCGGTGTCATATTGGCATCGTCTTCACCAAAACGCCGATCGATGAGTCCACCGATTTTCTGGCGACGCTGCATTTCGACAAGAAGCGTCTCTTTGCGCCTCTCCTCGGCAGCAGCCCTGGCTTCGGTGGGCCGACCGTAGATACCCTTAGCAGCATTGCCGGTGGCAGGACGGTTGCTGGTGACGTCGAACTTGGGGCCGCGGACATTGTGTTTGAGGTCGAAGGGGTTGAACTGCTCGCGGATACCTTCGAGCTTGGTTGTTCTGCTCAAGCGCTTGTCGGATTTGGCTCGCTCATCCTGCGCATTGCGTTTCTTTTGCTTCTTCGACTGCTGGGGGCCAATGATGCCCTGGGTTCTGAGCGACTCTTTGAGCCGCTTGAGCTGCGAACCTGCCATTGCGAACAGAAATGGGAAAACACCCAGATTCTTGTATGACGACTGGCTCTGAACAGCGACTTGAGCATTCACTCAAGATATTTTTCCCAGGAAATTTCACTTTCTTGGGGCTTATCGCTTATCTTAGCGGGGCACGGATTTAGCGGCGCGGGCAGGGGTTGAAGGTTGAGGCTCCACCGACGAATTGATTGCAGCTTCTTGAACGGAGCTGACTAGGGACTTCGAGGACAGGACCTGGTTCACTTTGACCCTTCCCATTCATAAATTCAATACCAACACTTGCTAGCCAAGAGCAGGTTTAGACGCTGTCTCAACCCCCAAAGCTGATGGTCGTCATGACCTAGACGACTCATTTACCCCTCGTGTTCGAGGTATTACCGCCAGTTTGTTTCTTAAAAAGCACGTGTTATAATGGGTGTTCTCACCACTCTCCGTGATGAGCGGCTCGTCTTTGTCGGCCTTGGCCTGGCCACGGTCGGTTTTCTAGGCGTGGTCCGTCTCATATTGACACACTTCCGCGATGAAGTTGAGATTCGACCCAAGTCACCCAAGACGCAGTATATTACACAAGCAACAGAAGATGCTCTGAAGCTTGACACAATCAGCAGCCTTATTGATCATTACAATCCGACGGTCCGGGACACTGCCACCAAGATCATTCTCGGAAGAGCTGCCAATGACGTCGAGACCATCCGCCACCTTTTAAGAGGCATTACGCAGAAAGACTACAACGAGAGAGAAAAGTACTTGCGGGCCTTGACCCTTGCCGTGGAAGATAAGGACATCACTCAGGATCACCTCAAAGCTCTCAACACTCCCGAAGCATATCAAGCCATCATCAAGTCTCTGGAGCAAAGCGCAAACGACAGGGAGCGCAACGATATCAATGACCCCCTTTGGGATGAGTATCACCTCCGCGACGTTAACGAGCGCCGCTGCCTCGCACTTCTGCAGCAGTTACTCAGCAGATATACCCGCAGTGCTAAGTTCCTGGTTGAGGCTAGATTTGTCGAGAAGTGGCTTGTGAAGCAGGGCTGGGGTGAAACCGAGGAGGAATATCATACCAACTTCACGCTTTATGTACGGCGCCGAAAGAATCGACTCAGCGATATCTGCATGCAGCTACTAAGATCGAAAGATGGTCGCAAGGCTCTGAGGGAGAGTAAGCTGTTGCAAAAGGGCAAGAGTCGAGGCAGCCCTCTCAACGATGCCGACAACGGAGGCGTTAAGGTCATTCTGGAGTTCAACGTGCAAAACGAAGACGAGAATGGACAAATCTGGCAGGAGAACTACCAGGCCGAGCTCATCCCCCGGGTTATGTCACAAACCGACGAAGAACAGCGTCGACGAAGGCGACATCGTGAAGCAATTGTCTTGAATGACGGCACGCACTCATTGGGAAGAGCAGATATAATTGAACGTGAGCACGATACTGGTGCTTGAACTTGAAAACATTTTTCTTTTCCCCAAGGCCATTCCAGTCGACATGGGGAAATGGGAATGCAGGGCAAGAGGTAGTCTTCGCTACGTTGGTTTAGAGCGGTTGCCTTTGCAAACGTGGTAAATCGCTAGAAATCACGGTATACGAAAAACTTTTACTCTAATACCTAGACGAGCACATGGATGGATCTCGCCTTGGCAGCAAAGGCGGTTTAAAGCTCTGGATTTGGAGGGAATATTCCAAATGAAGCTTGACGGCTCAAAATGAAGCTGTCAAGCTCGGAAACAAGCATCTATACGAGTTCTCGTACATTACCCCATAAAGGGTCAGAACTCTGAGGCAATACTTATCTCAAAACAGTTCCTGCAATAATGCTGTTTGCATTTTGTCTTCTTCGTGACATATTATTCACGCACGCACTTTATGCTGTGTCCCTCGGCTGTAAAGTTTGAAATCGATTCGAAAGACCTTTACGGTGTAATTCTCTCCTAGGCATGATCTAAGTTTGGAATGCTCCGGTCTCCTGTCTCGGTCTGTCACCGAACCCTTTTTGTTTCTAGCGCTGAATCAATCCATCAAAATCAGCCTCAAAATACAAGAAACTGAACCCTAGCCTGTGGGTAACCTTGAAGGCATGCGCTCCAGCTCTAGAATGGAATGGTTGGCCATAAGCATTTGATCCCTGGCAAGTTGGACCGCCGATCCGGGAATGGGGAAATTATAAGATTGGGGCTAGCTGTAACAAAGGAACTCTGAAGATTTGTGTTTCCAAGGTGCATCTGAGGCTCTGCGCAAAATCGATTGCTCACTTCGTATCCAGTCATGGTGACAAAATCAACATGTCGCGGATTGTTGTCGGTCATGTTTTTGAACCCTGGCAAGAAGAAGAAGAAGAAGAAGAAGAATAGTAAAACAACAGGGGCACTCTGGATTGTTTACTTTAATCCATCTGACGGATTGCGCGAAGTAAATAGAAACGAGCTGACAGGCGCTTGTTGCAGGTGGACGTGTGCAGCATCAGCTGCAAGATAAACCAATAGAATACGGCTCTAACATGGGCATCGGATGCGCGGTTCAACGCTTCTGCAGGAGATGCATCATCTTTCCTATAATGGCCTGTAGCGACAGGACTAGCTACATATCTTGATTGCACCTCTATACACTTGTACGAACGTCATTCGTCGTGCTGCAAATGCTGCCTACATGTGACGTGACGGAAACAAAAAGATATAGATGCAGCGTTCCTGACGAGGCATTAATATTTGCAGACTGACTTATCAGTTGGCTTGGAGGCGCTGAAACATACGAAAGATGCGGTGGGATTGCCCAATTGTGATAAACCAGTGCGCAAGTGAACAAGAAACACGCGGGGTATTTATTGTTTTTCAGCTCTAAGCAGTATTATCGGCAACAGAACTTGTCCGGGATATGTTTCATAAGGGGCTCGATTCGATACTTCTTCTGCGTGGATTAGATATCTAATTTCTTCTCTTCTCCTCCGGCGAGTGAAAACGATCTTTATTATTCCGTACCAGTGACCCCTATCTATCGATCCCCGGTGATCTCTCATCCATTGGAGGCGCCGTTGCTCGCACTTATAACACCATTTACATCACTTACAACGACCCCAGCACAGTAACCCTGGAATCCGAGCAACCGAGCCAACATCTCTGCAACTCTGGTTCATAAATACGTCCCTGGTCACCAAGCACATTGTTTTCCTTCTCCCATTTCCCGGGTTCTTCAGTCAAGGCTTTGATTGGGCTGCCGCTGATAGTTCCTGAGAAAGACACGACCAAAGGAAAAGGAGAGGAAGAGCGCGCTTCCCTGACCGACAAGTTCGCGCCAAAGTGGGATTTATTATTGAGCAAAGCTTTTCATTGCTCATTTCTCAAGCACTATTACCTGGTCCACCGAGAAGCGCGCTTCCGCCGATGGTGCCAGTGAGGCTGACGTCGTTCTCAATGTTTTTGTTGAACCGTTGCTAGTTGGATCCCTGGACATTTTTTTTTCTCTCTCTCTCTACCCCTCTGTGGTTTATAAAACCAATTTCTCGCGGCATCTCCCGACTTCTACCGTTGTTCTTGTAGATTCTACATAACGGTTCTTTATATCCCAGAGGTGTGGTAGCACACGGGCTCAGGCAGAAAAGTTGGTGTGGTTCATCACTGACTTTCGCGGTTAGTTCCGGATTGGGCGCCACCGACCCGTGGACCTTCTTTCGAGGGACCAAAGAGAGAAAAACCACTGGACATTGTCCCTGCACGCCAGCACCTTGAGTGGCCCCGTCCCCCCATTCAAACTCAGCCCAGCCGAGCCCAGCGCCCCTAGCGAGGACCAGAGCTACTGCACCTGCCCGCCGGCGCCAGAGCCGAAGAGAACCTTGGACGAAGCTTGGGAACCCAAGAGCCAGCCAGAGCAGAGGACCCCCCCAAAGGGCCCTCGCCAAAAAAGAACAGCTGCCCACCATGTCTTCAGCTGCAACAACGTCAACAACGGCGTATCAACAAAGACCGAAAACACTGACGCGAACCTCACCTAGAAAAGCCGCGAGAGGTTTCATCGGCACAGCTTCCACGCCGAACCTCAGCGCTCTCTACTCCGCCCAGGCCGGCATTAGCAATAGCAGTAGCAACAGATTAGCTTCCGGCGCTGCAGGCCTCCTTGCGCGCAAAGCGTCACAAGCTGCACTGACCCCCAGCTCCCTTGCTGCTATACCTGATGACAGCGACAACTACCCCTTCCTGTCTGTTCTAAACGACGAGAGCCCGACCAAGATGCCACCCATGACGCCAGGCAGGGCTTCTGTCGCCCACGATGACTTTGATGTTGGCGACATTGTCGATGTGCCCGGCGGCATGCATGGAACGGTCCGTTTTGTTGGTTCCGTCGCCGGGAAGAAGGGCACATTTGCTGGAGTTGAGCTACACCCAGATTTCGCTGCACGCGGGAAGAACAATGGAGACGTTGACGGGTAAGTTACACACAACCACGGGATCTGGAGCGCATGTCCCTTCCTTTTGGTTTATGTCTAATGCTCGCGTCGCAGAATTTCTTATTTCACCACGTCGCAACCAGATGCCGGTATTTTCGTACCCGTAACGAAACTATTCAAGCGAAATTCTGCCACGTCTGGCGGTTTGCACCCCAACACTCCGAGTGCACTGAGAGCTACCAACCAGAATACTGTCAACTACACTCCTCCTACTCCGTCGCTACCCAAGTTCAGCCAATCGGTCGGGCCGGGAAGGGTAGCAAGCCCGACTGGCAGAAAATCTAGGATATCTCTGCCGCGACCCGAATCTCCAGTCCGAAAGCTGCAACTCAGTCCAGCCCCTCGCGCTTCCGCCACAACGCCAGTACCAAAAGCAGTCCCGTCACGATATGGCACTCCTTCGATCGGAAAGTTCTCAGCAAGTATGCGCGGCACCGGTGGCGACCCGGCGAAGCCTCCATCCAGGCTAGACTATCGAAAACCCAGTATTGTGCCGCGCAGTGTTTCTGCTCTTGACCAGGTTGGGCCACAACACTCCGACGAGGATGAGATTACACCCATCGTCAACAGAAGCCAGACAAATGGAAGCATTGGCTCTATTAATAGCTTGAGGATGCGCTCCGCCTCTCGTGCTGCCGCTGTGGACGAAGAGGAGATGGAGCGACTCCGGGCTCAACTTGCAGACCGAGACATGCAGCTGAAGGAACAAGCGTCTGCGCTTGCGGAGATGGAAAGCAGTGTGCAGGAACTCACATCACTGATGGAGAATGCAGATGTCAGTCAGCTGCAGCGCGATATCCATGATGATAAGGACACCACGCAGCTTCGGGCATTATTGAGAGAGAAGAACGAAAAGATCGCCATTCTTACTGGCGAATTTGACGTGCATCGCGCAGATTTCCGCAGCACGATCGATACCCTAGAAATGGCCAGCACCGAGACCCAAAGAGTATATGATGCAAGAATTCAGGAGCTGGAACAAGAAATTCGCGAGCTACAAGAGCGAAACGATGACGTCGAAAGCGTTGCCCGGCAGCTTAAGCAGCTGGAAGAGCTTGTTCAGGAGCTTGAGGAAGGCCTCGAGGATGCCCGAAGAGGCGAAGCAGAGGCACGTGGAGAAGTCGAGTTTCTACGAGGGGAGGTTGAGAGGACACGGGCCGAGCTCAGGAAAGAGCGGGAGAAGTCATCTGCCGCCCTCAATGGCAGCCCGAATGGTGATGCTGTATCGTCCACCAAGGAGCTGGAGAAGAAAGACGATGAGATTAGAGGTCTCAAGGCGATCATTCATTCTCTTAGCAGAGACGGCGTGTCTGGGAATGATACCGCTGATCGGGCTTCGGGACAATTCCGAGGCAGTAATGAATTTGGTAAACCCAGGACAGAATCATTCGAGGCACGCCAAAAGAGAGAGCAAGAACTCAACGAGCTCCGGGCCCTAGTCGACACCAAGAACTCACGTGAGGAGGAGCTTGAACGAGAGCTTGAGGCACTGCGCCGGAACAGCGCCACTACACACCGCGGCAGTGCCATGACGTTGGACAGCAGCAGCCGCAACTCATATCGTGACTCTAAAGGCACTGTTATCCTGGCTCGCGATGCACCAGAGCCCAAGCACAAACGTGTGCCCACCATGGACACCATGGCCGAGAGCGATGCATATTCCTCTGTCACTGAGAGTAGCACTCTTTGGTGCGAGATATGTGAGACCGGTGGCCACGATATCTTGACATGTTCCAACATGTTTGGCAACCAGGATCAAGGCAAAACCAGTCCCGACGTTGCAAAGGCCGGGAACGATACGATGCACGAGAACTCGGCAAGCCTCCAGGTTCCCGGGCCTGAAGTTGACGTCATGCCCCGTCCCCTGACACCGGTAAAATCGACGCCGGCTACCCATCCGCCGCCGGCCAACGTCCAGATCCTACCAAATCCCACAGACTCTGGGCCATTGGCTGGCAAGGACAGTGGCGTCGTCGATATCGAAAAGTGGTGTGCACTTTGCGAGAGGGATGGACACGACAGCATCGACTGTCCGTTGGAGGATGCATTCTAGGAGACATGAAGCTTGTGACGGACGATTGGTTTCCGCAAACAGAGGAGGACTCTTTTCCCATTGCATTCTGAATCCCTTTATGCTTGAGCTACACATTACGATTCCCATTCGCGCGACTTTATTTCTGCTTTTCCAGAGCCATGATACCACATTGTCTTCTTAACGTCCTATCCTGCCAAGTATTAATTCGCTTTCTGCCGTTGCCCGGGGATTGCGGGAAAGAGAGCACTAGGACCATGGCCGAGTTTGGTGATGTCATGAGTCTTTGAATGCGCAGCGGTGGACGAATATAATGAATATAGAGTATGAGATCAACGTATAGACTGTGGAGAGAGGGCGCAACTTGGCGATCCTTCCACCAGTGTGATTTTGCTGTAGTTCTAATCATCCAACACTACACGGGATTTTCCTGTATCCATGATATTGTTACTTCCGTCTGGCATTTTTGAGCATTAATGACCCATCACGAAGAGTAGGTTTACGTTCCGATACCTCTATTGTTGGTGGTACTGCCCTAGGTTAGGCATATGTATGTACGCGGTTGATCTTGACTGAACAATTGAGGAGTCACATTGCAGTAGACACCAGCAGGACTGTGGGATGTGAACCTCGTCAATTTTGCCTCATAGAAGACAGGGAATGGATTGTCTTGATGTTCGTGCCAGTATTCAGGAAACTCCAATATTGAGTCCTGTGTCTCGCTTTTGGGATATCACGCACGGCACCTGCGCCAGTTTATAGAACCTAAAATTCACGAAACGGTCACCAGTCATAAAGTCAATATTTATAGCAAAGTTGCTGCACGCAAGATGTTGGTTGAAAGAAGCTTTTGTGATAAGATGCAATGCCCTTGACATTTCATCTGTATGCAGGAATTAAAAGATCTATGGTCTACCTATCACTTATCTGTGCATCCCCACTTCCGTTTCTGGTGTAAACGTCAACAACTCCCATGGGCAACGTTACGCTGGTCATACGGCCGGGGGCTTCTAGTGCGGAACTCGGCTCCAAATTGGAATGGTTGGTTGGCTGCTCCTCCTCTTCCCCCGCAATACGCCAGTTTCAGGGCGGATGCAGGTCCGCCCCCGAAGGCGAGGGGAGAAGTGCGAGAGAGAAGCTACGTAGGTACAATGTAGCCAAGCTCCACGGGTGGTAGGTAGCTCCCAGCTTCCCCCAAGAGCTTCGTCCTCGGGTGACGGTGCCAGTGACACCACCATCTTCGATCCCTCGTCCAACCTTTGCTCATCCCAACCTCTTCCGTTGCATCTTCAATTTTCTTTGCTGTTGCTCTCTTGTGACCCTACAAATGTGCCGTATCATGACCTAGGCCAATCGTCGTCACTTATATGCTATCATCTCGAATCCTCTTGTTACCTTATCTTCCTAGGTATACGATACCCCACCGTAGCTTTGCTTGGAGACATTCCGTATGCTGTGAATAGCAGAATAACACCTTTTTGGCTATCATCTTTACCTACCTATCGCAACGTCATTGCACCTTGTCCGGACCGAGCAATCTTTCAGTCATCCAATAAACATTTCCCCGTCTCATCCACGCGAACATCATGGGCGGCGACCGTACTCCACAGCTGGAGCTGGCCTCAGCTGCCGCTGCGACCTCCAACTACCCTGCCCAGGCCACTGCCCCCATTGGCAAGCGAATAAGCAAGATCTATAAGGAGAGAATTGCACAATTCTATTCTACAGGGCAATGGGAGAAGCAGAACTTGCTGGCAATGATGTACGAGGGCAAGGCCTCGGGTGCTCCTCACGTCCAGCTATCGACCTGGGCCGCTCCAGGTCTTACAAGGCCCACTTTCGACGCAGCCATGAAAGGCACTTATAGACCAACAAGCGTCGGAGAGGCGTTTGGTCCATCATGGTCGACCCATTGGTTCAAGGTCATCATCAAAGTTCCGAAGGATCTTCTCGACAAGGAGCATCTAGAGTTCCAGTGGGATGGCAACAATGAAGGTCTGATCTGGACTGCAGATGGAAAGCCGCTCCAAGGTCTGACCGGCGGCGGCGAGCGTACCGAGTGGATTCTACCCAAAGCGTTCCGCGATGGCAAGGAACATACCATCTACATTGAAATGGCCTGCAACGGCATGTTTGGCAATGCACCCGGAGGCGACTCCATTCAGCCTCCTAACCCCAATAAGTACTTTCAATTATCCAGGGCCGAAATATGTGCCGTGAACATGGATGCCCGCCAGCTTTGGATCGACACATGGATCATTGGCGACGCAGCAAGAGAGTTCCCCGAGGATTCGTGGGAACAGCACAAGGCATTAAATGTTGCGACCAATATCATTGACACTTTCAAGCTCGGTGACAAGGAATCCCTGAAGGAGTGCCGTAAGATTGCCGAAGAGTACATTGGCTCAAAAGTAAACTCTGCCGATGTTTACAAAACCGACACCGTACCTCAAGTTTACGGCATTGGCCATTGCCATATTGATACCTGCTGGCTTTGGCCATGGGCCGAAACCAAACGCAAGGTGGCTCGATCCTGGTCAAATCAATGTGATCTGATGGAGCGTTACCCGGAACTGAACTTTGCCTGTTCACAGGCTCAACAGTACAAGTGGCTCAAGATGTACTACCCTTACGTATTTGACCGTGTTAAGACAAAGGTCAAGGAGGGCCAGTTCCATCCGATTGGTGGTAGCTGGGTCGAGCACGACACCAACATGCCAAGTGGCGAGTCACTGGTCCGCCAATTCCTTTACGGTCAGCGCTTCTTCCAGGGACACTTTGGAGAACGGTGTCGAACGTTCTGGCTGCCAGACACCTTTGGGTACTCGAGCCAGTTGCCTCAGCTATGTCGTCTGGCTGGCATGGAGCGGTTCCTTACTCAGAAACTGAGCTGGAACAATATCAACAACTTCCCGCACACAACTTTCAACTGGGTGTCACTTGATGGCAGTCAAGTCATCTGCCATATGCCGCCTTCAGAGACATACACCGCCGAGGCTCACTTTGGCGATGTGAGCCGAAGTGTTTCCAGGCACAAGTCCATGGATCAAGACCACACGTCACTGCTGGTCTTTGGCAAGGGTGATGGTGGCGGTGGACCAACCTGGCAGCACATTGAGAAGCTCCGCCGATGCCGTGGAATCAGCGATGAAGTCGGTCGTCTTCCTCGTGTCCATATGGGCAGCACTGTCGACCAATTCTTTGATAAATTGCAGGAAAAGGGCACGTCCTTGGTCACATGGTATGGCGAGTTGTATTTCGAGCTTCATCGTGGTACCTACACAACTCAGGCCAACAACAAGTTGAACAACCGCCGTTCAGAGGTCTTGATGAAGGATCTCGAATTGTTAGCCACCATTGCATCGCTTGAACACAAGAGCTACACCTACCCCAAGGCTGAGTTTGACGAGATTTGGGAGGGAATTCTTCTCTGTCAGTTCCATGACTGTCTTCCAGGAAGCTCGATTGAAATGTGTTACGACGATTCTGATGAAGTAAGTGGATCTTCTGGCACACATGACAATACACGAGCTAACTTATGTGAATCTAGCTGTACAAGCGTATTTTCGAGATTGGACAGGGCGTGCTCAAGGACATTTACAAGCTGTATGGCTTCCCTGAGGTGCAGCCTACGTCAGTCACGGATGCCGTGGCTCTGAACACCCTCCCATGGCACCGAAAGGAAGTCGTCGACATTTCTGAATCCGAGTGTGGAGTTGCATGCGGATCAGGCAACATCCTCAACGTCAAGTCTTTCAAGACTGGCGAGAAGAAGGCCGTGACTGTCAAAGAGGTCAGCAAGGGCATCTTCGTCATGGAAAACGACCAGCTCACTGTCACGGTCGAAGCCGGAACTGTCACATCTCTCGTGGATCGAAGAAATGGACGTGAAGTCATTGCCAAGGGCGGCAAGGCTAACCAATTCGTAATCTTTGATGATAAGCCACTTTACTGGCAAGCCTGGGACGTCGAGGTGTATCACCTGGATACTCGAAAGGAACTTCCATCGGGCCAGACCAAGATCTTTGAGGACAAGGAGCACCGAGTCAGTGTCGTGACCGAGACCAAGATCAGTGATGACAGCTCGATCAAAACTATCCTGAGTCTTCAAGCCGCCTTTGAAGGCTACCAGTCATATGTTGAGTGCACGAGTCATGTTGATTGGCATGAGACCATGAAGTTCCTCAAGGTCGAGTTCCCAGTTGAAGTCGTCAACAATGAGGCATCGTACGAGACCCAATATGGAATTGTCAAGCGCCCAACGCATTACAACACTACTTGGGATATGGCCAAGTTTGAGGTCTGTTGCCACAAGTTTGCTGATCTCTCTGAGCACGGCTATGGTGTCTCGGTTATCAATGACAGCAAGTACGGTTTCGCCACTGTCGGCAATCTGATGCGGCTTTCCCTTCTCAGATCACCCAAGGCGCCTGATGCCCATGCAGATATGGGCACCCACACGATCCGCTGGGCCATCTTGCCTCACGAAGGGGCCCTCGGTTCCACGACCGTTCGAACAGCTCACAACTTCAACAATCCCCTGAAAGTCAAGGCCGCGCCTGCAGCAGAGGTAAAGGCGACCCTGAGCACACAGCCTGTCAGCTTGAAGGGTGACTCATCCTTGGTCCTCGATTGTGTGAAGCGTGGTGAGGATGATGAAGATGTTTCCCAAGATGACAACATTCCCAAGCGCAAGGGTAAGAGCGTCATTCTCCGAATCTACGACAGTCTCGGCGGACACAGCCGAGGCACGATTTCCACTATTTGGAACGTCAAGAAGGTTACAAAGACCAATGTCCTTGAGGACGATCTGGAGACTGTTTCAGTCAGTAAGGATGGTTCATTTGCAATCAAGTTGAGACCGTTTGAGGTTGCCACCTACAGATTGGAAGTTTGATAGGGCACAATGCTCAACTATTGGATCGAATCCAACGGAGCTGCGCGAATGGATAGCGAGAACATTTTTTGTAGTATCAAAACAGCAAAACAATTCATATTACCATTCAAGCGAGTCGCACGGACCTTGAGAGCTTTTTCACTTTGGTTGGCTGAGTGTAGTTTATTTAATTTTATCCCACCATTGATCGTGCTGCCACGTACTGTTATTGAGATAACCGCAAATCTCTTCGTGGTATCTTTAAACTAAACCATAACCTCTTATCAACCAGGCCAGGTGTGATTATTATGCGATTTTTGGAACTACTATTGCGAGCCTCGCACGACGTTGTTCCGTCTCGTCATATTTACTCGCCCGATGGCTTTGCACATCAGACGCCTTGATAATGACTTCTCGGTCTGTTTGACTTGGAGACACTCTCCCGGTATTGATGTGCGTATGTCCTTGGGCCATATGACAAGTCTAGAAATGTTTGTTAGTATCATCGTCTACACCCCATGTAACTTCTTTCTTACCTGACGGTGGTGTTGCGGGACAGTTCACACCATTGTTCAAGGAGGTCGTCCCAAGTATCCCTCGCTGCTTATATATGATTTCCAGCATCTGATCTTGCTGCGTCGGGCTCAAATGTGAAAAGACAGCCAGGGCGGCCGCCACTGGCGTTTCGGATGGTGACTCCTTGCTCTGCGATAGCCATGTGGTGGTGTCGTACATTGCTCCCGTGTCGAGGCACGTTTGCGGAGGCGTGGACGGCGCTATGTGATGATGATGTAGGTCAGAAGATGTTGCATAGTCGGCCGTGTATTGGTGCGCGTGGTGGTTGGGATACGCTGGCGTTGTCATGAAGTCTTGGTGATCTGTGGCCCCGAATAGAGTGGTTGTGTTATTATTGTTGTTGTTAATGGTGCTGTCGGTGTATTCGTATTCTGTAAACCACATATCACTACCAAAGGCTTCTCCTCCTCGTCCTCCTCCTCCTCCCGTCATATCAAGTGACAGAGACTCGCCAGGTAGATGAGTGTTGGACGAGGTGGATAGCCATGATAGTACTGGCGGGGCAGTGGCTAATGATGTTGTTGTCGCCGGAACAGGGCTCTGGGACGGTTCTCTGCTCTGCGCGACTACCGAGAGACTGCCCTGGCTGATGCCGTCAATATCACTGGGCGAGCTTGCTGCGTCCGTGTCCTCGATGTTTAAGATTTGGTCTAGAAGGGCAAGTTTTTGTTTTCTCTTTTCTCCTGGACAAATGTGTCAATATTATCATTTCTTCTTCCAGTAAAATGATCAAAAAGGAAAGCGAGAGGATATAGAGACTCACTATAGGCTCTAGATGCTATCCGGTTCTGTTCCTTGCGTGCCTCGGAATTTCTTGGCTTTGGTGTCTTGATATGTTTTTGCTCGCTCAAGGATGAGCCGGCGTCTGCTGTGGTGTTATTGCTGCTGTCGTGCGCATGTTTCACAGCTTGAGTCATTTTTTTCGGCATTCTCCCTCTGCTTTTAAATAATCCAAAGTGTGTCTGTGGGACAGTGATGGGTGTATTTCATTGAGTAAACGAGGCCCCGATGATTATATTATATGCAAAGAGACTGTCATGACCTGAATTTTTGGACAGGAGAAAATGAAGCTTTTCTCTTCCTCGGGTCATTCCACCCCGGTTCTCCCATCGTTTGATACACTGATTGGACCTCTTCCTTGATAGAGTTATCAGCCTGCCCGTTATGATGCAGGTCCTCTGTGCGTGGCTTTTGGAAATCATTGGATGCAGCAAGGCGGTGTCATCTTACATGAGCAAAAATAAAAAAGACTCGTGTGAATAGACCCTGGGACTCATGGTTCTTTGTCGTGCTGCATGATCGCCTAGCTCGTATCGCCTCGAGGTCCCTGCATGTACTTTGGTATTGATTAAAGCAAGAGCACACAGGACCCCTCCAGGAGTGAGCAAGTCTCAAATAGGCAATGGGAGAGGCTGCAGTCAGGGATGCTTGATGGTTTTCTTTTGCCTCCATACTGCACACGGTCTTTTCATTGGGTATTTGTTGTATGAGATGTCTACCCAGTAGATGTAGATCAAGGTAGTCCTAGCATGGCAAGAAATAATACCTAGGCCCACCCAATCAATGGTTCCACAAAGCAAAAGGCGTGAGATCAACTGGGATCGAATGTGGACAGGGGTAACAAGGAGCAGGGTGCAAGTTTCTGCGATACTGATCGCATTATTCCATCTTCCGGGCACTCTCGGGATTTGCCTGGGGACTGATGACTGATCCCGCGGATTTGTCGTACTTTCAGAGGGAGCAAGGCAATAATTGAAGATGTTTCTTAGGTAGATCAGTGATTTACTCACGAGTAACTACATCTGATGGCAAGGCATCGGCCTCTAGATTACTGATCTCTGCAGCTATGACATGGGGGTCGGGGAAAATGAATACGCGGCCAAATTACTGACTAATCAGCTATACTTCGCAAAGCTATACCATCAGATCATGAGAAACAGTGGGCCACATATAGACTAAGATACTTTTCCAGTGAGGTGAGAGCTAGAGCAGGGTATCTTCCAGCTGAAAAGGTGGGATTGGTGAGGAGACATGGAACGATGGAGAAATGATTATTCAATCAGATAGGGTAGCAATTTTCGCTTAAGCAAGGTTCTTATTTCTTATTTGGTTGAATTGAAGGTCACTTTGTTACTCACCAGTGGGTGACACACGTTACCGATTAGGATACGAAGAATATACACGACCTGAGGCCACATACATATGCAAACCGGTGGATCACTGCGTAGAGCGTCCAGGTCCAAAAGTGCTATGGTCTCTGTACGTTAAATCCTGACCAAGGGGTGAATTTTTACCTCCTTCAAAATGGAGGTACTCCATAATACGTTCGCTGCCTCTTTCCGCTTATAATTGTGCAAAGCGACAGCTCAATAGGCGGAACGATTGCAGCCAAGCCAAGACTCGATCTGGAAGCTTCCGTCACGTGGAACCTTCCATGATGGCCACGTGCGGGACATTGTTTGCGCGCGGCGGAGGGCGCAAGGCAGAGAGAGGCAAGGGTACTAGGTAGTCGGCGGAGTATACAGATTTGTCCTACGGTCTGGCAAACAGACTCAAGTCGGCGGTCTTACCCCCATGGCTGCACGTCTGTAGCTGGTTCGGCCTCACCGGCATTACCTCAAGCAGCTCCTCTGCCTAGCTAGGCTGTCAGCACCTTACGTAGGTATCCATACATGTCAACGAGATAATGTATGTAGTGGTGGTGATGCAGAGGATGGGCTGCTGAGAGATGGGCGGTGGGTGGAGTAAAAGGCTATTCGAATTTTGCTGGCATGGGCCTACCCGACCATCCGCGCTTTTTCTCTTGAGCTCGCATAAATATCGACCAATAGCATGTCAGACCAAACTTCCAAGGGTTCTTCTTCCACCCGTTGGTAATGTTACATGGGTAATTCAGCCCTGCATATTGAAATGAACTAGTTCAATTTGCATCAAAGAGACGATTCGAGAATCCTGTATATCTTGGGTACCCTTTTCAATAATCATAGACCCATAGTCATGGGGGAGGATCCGTTAAGCCCTTCACAGTCCTCGTCAGGCGTCATGGCACAACTTGGGACTGCGTCTTCACACCTATTACTGCGTGAAAAATATCACATATACCAAGGCATGGCCCCGGGAAACTGCAAGGCTTGCGGTCAAAAGGTACCATGTTGCAGGTCATGTGAGCAAGACTTTCTGGGTACACAGATTATTTTGTATGTGTTTCCAGTATCTTTTCCTACCTCGAAGTCCCGTACGTGCAAATCCTCTAATAGCAAGGACGTACACGGACAACGATGACCTCAACGGGCAGTGCATAGAGTCTCTCTACAGATCCGAAAAAATCACAATTCAGTGTTACTCGGATCGTAGTCATCAAAATAGACATATGAAATCCTTGGCCTGGCAGTTCACTGCTTATTGTGTGGGCCCATTACGGCATGCTCTAACTGCAGGTGTGTGTAAGCAGACTACAACCGTCTGGTGTTGGGTAGTCTTGGGCGCAATATTGTGTACGACTTTTAGCCAACTGCCCATGGAAATGCATCATCTAAACAGTATTCAGTTACTATGGTTTTCTTTCTTTCTCAATTGATCAAAATAAAGTACCAAGACCTTTGGTTGAGCCTGATATAATATCTATATGCCTTTATCCATGATGCCGCTCTGCATAATGTAATAGAGCTTGGTGGTGCCCCGCATTATGCATATTTGCAATAATACTAGCAAATTCTCATGGGCTTCAATTCAACGAATCACATGCATAAATCCAACTGTGTTAAAAAAAATCTATTATAGGAATTGCCGTAACATTTACCAAGCAACGCCAATCAACGAAACCAAATTCAGCCGGCGCTTTCAAGATCTCGGAGCCAATTGGAGGTCCATACCCCCCCCCCCCCCAAAAAAAAAAGTCGCCGTCCAAGTATCCAAGAATCAGTAGGGCGGGTATAAGCTGAAGAAGCACTCAACGCAGAGATGTCTTTGCCATATCAATGCGTCACCACCTTGGGACAAGATGGCATTGTAGCTTCTGCAAGGGGCACTGCCATCTTTACCTTTAGCCCGAAAGGAATATTGGTCTCGTCCTGGGAACACCCCGCAACGCAGCACAAAAACACCACCACTGGCGATTCCCCAGCGGAGGACAATGTCGAACAGGCAGCAGAGGAGCCCGAGGAGGGCTCATCGCCAACCAAAAGGCGCAAGGTGGAGACAGTGACTGGTGTGGAAGCCGTAGCTGCCAGCTCGGGAGAAGGATCGGAGCAGCAGGCGCAAGTCGAAGTCCAGGGAGAGGAGCAGAAGCGGACCAAGAAGGGCAGGCATTTGAACAAACTGTCTCCCGCGGACCAGCCTCATATCAATCTCTTGAGAACCACCTCAAATGGGAGCCACTTGATTGTGGTAACGGGCACGGACAAGGCTGTGTGGGTGTTTGAACATGATGGCGAGGGCAAATTAACAGAGCTTAGCCAAAGGTAAGCAAAAGTATCCCCTCTTGCCCCCGTCAACTTGGGGCGGGGCGGCGATGGCAACAATGGTATCTAATTTTATTCAGATGTATGCCCAAGCGGCCGTGCGACCTGGCAGTGACGTCAGATGACAAGACGATTCTGGTGGCTGACAAATTCGGAGACGTCTACTCACTGCCTCTCATTCAGACGGAAGAGCTAGTTGAGGGCGCTGCGACCCCTAAGGGGTACCAGCCCATGCCATCCAAGGGCGCAGACAACTTGACCGTCCACACCCAGCGCAATCTCAAGGCGCTGATAGACCAGGAGCGCCAGCGCCAGTCCAACCCCCAGCCCAAGACCAAGGAGGCCCCCAAGTTTGTCCACGAGCTCCTGATCGGCCATGTGTCCATGCTCACGGCCATTGCCGTGGGAGCTTCGGCCAACGGCAAGCCGTACATTCTGACGGCCGATCGCGACGAGCACATTCGCGTCTCCCGCGGCATACCCCAGGCCCATGTCATTGAGAACTTTTGCCTCGGCCACAAGTCCTTTGTCAATGCGCTGTGCCTCCCGCGGCCGGATGTTCTAGTGTCGGGTGGCGGCGATGACGAGCTCTACGTTTGGGATTGGCTCAATGGTACTCTGAAGGGCAAGACGGATCTACTCGGTCCCGTCAAACAGGTTGTTCCCGAGGCCACCAAGGTTGCCGTTTCCAGGCTTGTATCATCACAAGACGGCTGGGTCATGGTCATATGCGAAAGGTGAGTGTTCCCTTTCCCCAGTCGTCTACAAGTATTTTTTTGCAATGACATCTGACTTAATCATTCATCAGGGTCCGCGCCGTTTTCGCCTTCCTCTTTTCCAATGAAAAGCTCACTTTTGTAGAAGCGCTCAAGGTTCCAGGCAACGCGCTCGACGTGGCCATCATCCCAGCCACCGAGAAGAGACCCAGCAGAGTCGTCATTGGTTTCGACAACGAGACGGAATCGACCAGCAGCGCGGCTGAACCTCAACTCGCAGTCTTTGAGGAGCGTGGGGAGTTCTGGGAGTCGATCGACTTTGAGTACCAGGACACTGACATAAGCAAAATCGAGTGTACTAGAGCCAGCCTCGATAATGTTTTCTACGCTGTCGAGAACCTACGCAAGACTGAGAATCCGTACGGTGATGACGACGGAGAAGATACGCCTGCAGCAGACTCTGAAGGACCTTCCTCGGCGGCGAACTAGATTGATATCATCAAGCTTGAGGGGATACTGCATCTTAGGATATAGAATATGGGTCCGTGGGCACATATTCAGGATGTTGTAAATACTGGACTAGAGAAAATTGCATGTCGCGGCGTTTTGCTTGCTATTCAGTCATAGAGATATGGCAAAGTACAGGAAACTGGCCCAAAAAAGGTGATTTGTAGGCCATCTCATAAGATGAGCGCCGTAATTGTGGTTGCTATCTTTGATCATGATCTTGAATATTGATCTGCTCCTCATCTTGGGAGAGGTATAATGTCCGACGCTGCCTATACACAAAACAAACAATCATATACTACACTTTGTATTGTAATGGAACGCATGTTCGCTTTTTACATGCACGCCTTACATGCCATCTTCTGGCAGACCCTCGACGACCTCTTCCACCATGGCGATCAACTCATCAATGTCCGGCCGGTGGTCCGGCTCGACTGTAAGACATTTCCGTACGACTTCTTTTATGGGATCGCTAATGACCTCGTCGGCATTTCCAGCTTCTGCACCCCCCGCGGGACCCTTGCCCTTTTTCTGGTTCTTGCCCTCGTCCGGGAACCTCCAGTCGCCGCCCAGCACGCACATGCTCAAGCTGCCGCCCGTCTCGTCGCTGCGCATCTCAAAGGGCGACTTGCCCACCAGACAGGCGTACAGCGTGCAGCCCAGCGACCAAATATCTACCTTGGTATCAATGACGGCCCCCGTGTTGACCTCGAACAGCTCGGGCGCCCGATACGGCATTGTGCTGTGCTCCGCGGCCGTGTCCTGCATGGCAACGGCTTGCGATCGCGACGTTATCGGTATCGGTGACGGGGCTACGGAGCCTAGATCCATGATGATGGGACTTGCGCCGTCGTCGTCAATCATGATGTTGCCTGGATTGCGCTGTTAGTGATGTTCTTTTTTTTTTTCTTTCCTTCTTTCCTTCTTTCTTGATTACAACGGGGATTGACTGGATGTGCCTACCTGGTTTAATGTCCCGGTGTGAATATGACCTCCTCTCGCCCGGAGCAGCAATCTGTTCGTCAATCATGAGCGGCCTCGCCTGCTCGGTTTCGTCGTCGGCATCCGCTGCCGCGACAGCCTGATTCCTCCTGCCCTTGCCCTTTTTCTTGCCGGGACCCGGGACGTCGTCCTCGCCCGCCTTTGCATCTCCCATCTCCATGCGCTCGCCGGCCGCCGGGGCCTGGTAGTGGTGCATATCCTTGAGGGCGCGACACACGCCGAGGAAGAGGACCATGAGCTTCTTCTCGGGGAAGCGGGCGTGGTTGACGAGGTTGGCATTGATCATGTCCTGGAGGTTGCCGCGGCGGTAGTAGGGCAGCAAGACGTAGACGGTCTTGGAGCCGGGGTCGCTGCGCTCCGAGGCGACGGCGTAGTCGACGCTGTGGATGACGCCGGGGCTGTGGGCAAACGTCTTGTAGGCCTCGACCTCGCGCATGGCCTGCTGGACCGACTCGGCGCCAAAGGGACATCGTATCTTCTTGAGCGCAAACAGCTCTGCCGTCGACGTGTCCTGCACCAAGTAGACGTATGAGAAGCCGCCTTCGCCCAGTAGCCGTAGGATCTTGAAGGACCGGCTGTTGATCTTGAGCGATGGCGAGCCCGGGAAACAGCTCAGGCAGTTGCCGAAAGAGTATATGAGGTCTTGTAGGAGTTGCGCCATGGTTGGCTAGGTCGAGGAGAGAACGTTCTCTCCTTTTCTTTCTCTCGTGGTGATGGCGCCCGTGATTTCCAGTCAAGTGTATGTACGGCGAGGAATGTTTATCGTGATCTTATCTCCTGTTCGATAGGTCGTCTGGGCTGGTCGAGGATAACAGAGTTACGGCTGGCAGCTTGCAGGGTGGAAAGTGGCTGGCAATGTTTCTGGCCAATGCCTGTCAATGACAAGACGTAATGTTCTTGTATCCGAAACAAAACATTAATTCAATTGGGTATTTTCCGATATTTGGGGAAAGAAAAAACTGAATTGGACAGCTGGACGAGCTGTCTTGTTACGCGGCCGGTTTGCCGGAGCTGACATGTTGCTGCTGCTACCTTAGCTGCGCCACACTGGGCGGCTCTGAAACGATCACTGACCCGTCCCAGGGGTGAGCTTGTCATTGTTTCTTTTGATACGAAAAACACATGGAATTCTATCCAAAGACACTTTAGGAACTTTTCCAACGAATTGTTCATGACCATGATGTATTTTTCTACATTCACATATCGACATGTCGCGAATAACTCGAGTTTCCTTGTTGCGTATTAGGTAATGGAGTAGAGGAGCAAGCATGTTCAAGCTGCTGCTATCCACGATCAAACACTTACCAGGTTGCCAGGCCGGACGGACTATCGACTATTTCTAGCTCCGCCCCATTGGACACCCCGGTATTGACGCCTCCCTTCGATCTTGATATATCTCTAGACGGTTGCATACGCCAATCATATTCATGGACATACTTTTTTCTTCTTATTGTTTTTATCTTCCCTCAGAACAGGTTACTTGATAATCACATGGAAACTTTAGCTTTGGGAAGAACGTGCTCCTTGGGGTGTTCTGGTGCTTATTTAGAAAATATACTCTCGACGTCGCCGATCCCTACGCACAACGCCTAGGCGTCACGGATCTGGAATTCTCGTCGCATCTATCCATTGAACTTTTCGTGATCCACGCATCTTCCGTCATCAAAGTTCATCGTTGGTTCTAGAAGACTGTGTGAAAAGACATATTCTCATAATCTCATGCCTGGGTTTGCTTCCCCAGATCTGGTTCTGACGTACCCAATCCAGTGTACCAGAAGTCTCAATTTGCAACCAATGCAGACACTTGAAGACACTACTAGCTAGTCATGCAGTATGGCTCCTTCGCTGCCGCCGTCCCCTGCATTGGGCTGAGTGTGTGTGTGTGTGTGTGTGTGTGTGTGTCTAATTGTGGAAGAAAAGAAAAAGAAAAAGTTATGGTGCTCTGATCTCGCCACTGCTAAATCTGACTGTACAGCGACTACTAATGGATATCGACGTACGACTAAAGGAACTAGGTTACTTTCTTTGTGCTGTACCGGTGTATTAATTGGTAGGTATTTGAAAAACAAGGCGGTCAGTAGCAGTCAGTCATCCGTACATACTTGGTGCTTGCATACTACTGTATTAACCCACAAGATGAATCGAATAGGTGAGACGATTGAAATGTAATCTGCCTCTTCACAATGGAAACATTGGAGGTGACAGGCTCCGTAGTGACGACACACGAGCTGCGAAAGCGGAGACCAGACTGCCGAATGCAATCATTTCCAGACCACTCTCGGCAAGCCCAACACCGACCGAGAAGTCGACAATGAAGAACCTTGGGACCCAATTGCCAACATGGGAAAAGAACAACTGCTGGACCCTGGGATTGGGACCAGAGAGAGACTGTGGACAGTGGAAGCACATATGCACGGCGGCCCCTGTCCGGACCCTACACTTTTACACTTTGGCCAGACTTGACTATGCGACCCCAAGTATCTTTCAAGTATCTAGAGTAGTTTTCGAGGGGCTCTTTGCACTATCGTAATCGAAGCCGTGGCAAAAAATGGGGTAGAAATGCGCCCAAGATACCCCGCCGCTACTTCCGGAAAGCCACGATTCCATGGGTTTCTATCGACTACGCGTGGCGCATGGATTTTTGCAGCCTTCTTGTAGGCAAGAGGAGGGCGAAGGAGTTGTAGGCGGAAACCGTGACAGCATCTGCATTGCTCAGCAGCAAGCAATTCTTAATCATAAAGAACAAGAGCCTCGTTCTAATCCCTTTTCTTCCCAGCTTTTTACCCAGTTCACCAACTTTGGGCATCACCATTCATCCCCGCCGTGCGCCAGCATTTCCGTCCTAACCCTCGAGTTTGCGACAACTTGAAAGACACCGAGCCTTGCGGGTGTACACAGCAAAGAGAAAGAAGAAAAAAAAGCGTCTACTGCCCCAGGCAACGCCCTACTTGACTCGTCCAGCTCTACTGAATTTCTGCAACGACACGAGTAGAAACTCGGTTCCAGCCAGTCTTGCGCCCCTAACCTCAAACCTTCCGGAAGTCTCTTGATTCGGTCAGGTACGTCGACTTGCCCACCTTTATCCCAGTGGGCGCGCTACCGCCATACTATTTTTTTTTTCTTCCTCACGTCCTGCCACTCTCTGGTGCCTTATAATTACCTGGAGGGGCTCAACTGTCTTGCACGTGGGGTAATTCCTTGCCTTTACTTCACTTCCAGCCCTCAGCATTTTGTGTCGCCTTCTCCGTTTCGCGGACGTTATTCCTTTTTGTTCTTATCATCGCCGCTGGTCACTTTTGTCCATTGATTCTCGTTTTCATCGCCCGCTGACTTTCCTGTCTTTGCGTGAAGATTCCGCAATCAAGCCTCGACTGCCGTATTCCTCCCTCGCGCCAGGTCCGTTGATCGCTTCGACCCAGCGCCGACATTTTTTTGACTCTCCCGTGCATTAGCAATTACATACAACATGGTCAAAGAAACAAAGTATTACGACACCCTTGGTGTACGTTTCCCGAGAATCACAAAAACAATGTCAACGTGGAACCGGCATTAACTTTTGAACAGGTCGCGCCTGATGCTACCGAGGCGCAACTCAAGAAGGCCTACAAGGTCAACGCCCTGAAGTACCACCCAGGTATGTCGGCGCAGCCTCTCCGTTGCCCTTGAAAATTGATTTTTGACTGATCGCATCGTTTTGCAGACAAGAACGCCAACAACCCCGAGGCCGAGAGCAAGTTCAAGGAGATCTCACATGCCTACGAAATCCTCTCCGATTCCCAGAAGCGCCAGGTCTATGACCAATATGGTGAAGCCGGTCTGGAGGGTGGTGCTGGCGGTGGTGGTATGGCTGCCGAGGATCTCTTTGCCCAGTTCTTCGGTGGTGGCGGCTCGTTTGGCGGTGGCCTTGGTGGCATGTTCGGTGGCATGCAGAACCGTGGCCCGCCCAAGGCGCGCACCATTCACCACACCCACAAGGTCTCGCTTGAGGATGTCTACAGAGGCAAGGTTTCCAAGCTGGCCTTGCAGCGATCCATCATCTGCCCCAAGTGCGAGGGCCGCGGTGGCAAGGAAGGTGCAGTTAAGCGCTGTGCCGGCTGTGATGGCCACGGTATGAAGACCATGATGCGCCAGATGGGTCCCATGATCCAGAGATTCCAGACTGTCTGCCCCGACTGTAATGGAGAGGGAGAGACCATCAAGGACAAGGATCGTTGCAAGGGCTGCAATGGCAAGAAGACCACCGTCGACCGCAAGGTTCTGCACGTCCACGTTGACCGTGGTGTGCGCAGCGGTACCAAGGTTGAGTTCCGTGGCGAGGGTGACCAATCCCCCGGTGTCCAAGCTGGCGATGTTGTCTTTGAGATTGAGCAGAAGCCTCACCCCCGCTTCACAAGAAAGGAGGATGACCTCTTGTACCGATGCGAGATTGAGCTTGTCCAGGCACTGGCTGGTGGCACCATCTACATTGAGCACCTCGACGACCGGTGGCTCAGCGTCGATATCTTCCCTGGCGAGGCAATCGCTCCTGGTAAGCTTCACTCTTGAAAACCTTGTATCCTTGCTTGAGACTAACACCTGTTTACAGACGCAGTCAAGATGATCCGTGGCCAGGGTATGCCTTCGCCGAGACACCACGACTTTGGCAACATGTACATCCAGTTTGCTGTCAAGTTCCCTGAGAAGGGCTGGACGGAGAACGAAGAACACTTTGAGCAGCTGCGCAAGATTCTTCCTGGCCCGTCTCTGCAGATCACTCCCCCGGCTGAGGCTATGACCGAGCCGGCCGACCTCGAGGAGGTTGATGCTCAGTCGTCACAGAACGCCTTTGGTGGTGGTAGCATGGACGAGGACGATGAGGACGGCCACCCGCACGGTGAGCGCGTGCAATGCGCCTCGCAGTAAATGCTTTCGATTTGTTATAGATCTCGACACCTGTTTCAATGCATGACTAGACGTCGTTATGCGGCCGATATACCCATCCTCCGTTAGGACGTCATGAAACGACGGCATTTACGGCGCGATATTTGATGATTCAGGGTCACAAGCTGCATACTGACTTTGGAGGATGAGATGACGATGGGACGCGGTGACCATTTCACGGCACCGAATGATGATGGAAGGCATGGTGACGAAACATGAGTAATGCTCCGCAAAAAGGGACGTTTGGGCTGCATCTTTTTCGTCTTGGTCTTTCAGCATCACACGCTTTTCCCCAGGTAATTGCTTTCCAAGCAGGCGTTTTAGGGATAGAGGCATGGAAAGAAATGTAGTTGCGGTTGATTACAATTTATTCAAACTTTCTTGAACCCTCTTCTGTCTTTGGCCATTTTGTGTGTGTTGGCTGGTGTCAATGTCAATGTTTCGATATTCTCTGGGCCGTGACACATGATCACCATCGATGTTGCTCAGATCTTCAAGACTGCAAGCAGTCACCCGCCATGTTTGTTTCGACCTTGGTTCAAGTAGTGTGACCTCTTTGGCATTTGGGCTATCGTCGATGCCATCCTGTATAGTAACCTCCGTATCGTGGCGACCGCCTTCTCGCGATTTACAATAGGCGTTCATCAGGTGGGCAATGAAAGCTTTGTAATTTAATTGTGCGGGAGTAAGAACGCCTCGATTTATCCTTGCTGGCACTGGCATAGGCACTGATGTGCTATCGAAGCGGGACCAGAAGGATGTCTCGGCAGCCGGTGATGATGGCATGTTTAAGTGATCGAGATGAATGTGTAGATGGCTGAATAGAACGAGTAGGCATGTGCTCGAGGTTTTCCGACTTGGTTTGTTTTCAGGGCCAAAAACAAGGCAATTACTTAGAGGAGGAGAATGGTAAAGAAGACTGAACGTCAATGTCGGGAAAGAGAATAAGTATGTGTGAGGCAGGTTATTTGCAAACAATGCAGCTGAGAACCTTGCTAACCAGCTGAGTACCTTGATAGCTCGCAGTATTTCAAATAGTTCTAGATCGACACTCCACCACCACGATCAGATCGGCGTAAGCTTCTTTCTATTGTTCTTTTCGCACCTGTCAGAAGTTGACATAACAAGCAAGCAAGCGGTCTGAACAATATGTAATCATGTTTTCTCACGGGCCACATTCTATTACATGCGATGGGGGAAAATTCATGTATAGGTAACAGTATTCTTTTGTCAGAAATTGTCATGGCTCGTAAGGCCGTGCGAACGATAAGGGCAGGATGGATGAACAACTGATGAATTAGATTCCCTGACAAAAGTCAAGAGTCGTCATGATTGGTCTCAAGGTTTCTCACCGAACGTCTCATGTATTCCAAATGATTTCCAAAAGAGTATAGTGAGGTGCGAGTATTTCAAATCTCCAAAGGCTCCACTATTTCAGTATGCGCGCCGGGTTGCACAGTGCGTCAAAGCCGTAATATCCATACCATAGACTGTAGTCTACACCCCTTCTTGGCAGAAGCAATACCGTACGAATCCAACCATGGACTAAAATTTGTAGGGAAAAAAAAAAGAGTTCAGAGCTTTGACCGTCACATATTCCCCACTGATTCCATAGCATTACTCGTCCCTTAGAAAGCTCGGCGACTATACGCCGAACCTTTGGACGATTGGTCCGAAACTAGGAGATTTGAGGCGCATGGGATCGGGTTTGGTGAGGGTCGGCAACGCGGCGCCGATGCGCAGAGCAGCGTGTCGGCGCCTGGCTTCCACCCTGGTCACCAGGCGCCGGCCGACATGTCTGGCACCATGGGTCATGATATCAAAGGGCCATCACGAGGGGGACAGCAGCGGTGGTGGTGGCAACGCGTCGTCGATGCCGCAGCAGCTGGACAGTGGACTGCCACGACGATATCAACAGCAGCAGCAGCAGCAGATCCGGGGTAAAAAGACCAAGACAACTATAAGTCTGGCCGACTTGCCACAGGGTCCCATTAGGAACCTTCCGCCTGAGACGCCGACGTCGCCGTCGGTGCAAGAGGAGCAGCAGGAGGATGCGCCCGCGTATCCGACTGTCGTGATGCAGGCCCGGCGCAACATGGCTCGCTTCGACAATTGCGTCTTGCTCACGCGTGTTGGGGGCTTCTACGAGCTCTATTTCGAACACGCCGAGGAGTACGGTCCCTTGCTCAACCTCAAGGTTGCGTCCAAAAAGACCAATGCTGGACCTGTACCCATGGTATGTCTTGGTTATTGACATTCCGGTCACCGCCATGTTTGTACTGGGAGCAAATGTGGATTTAGATTTCCATCATGGCTCAATGCTAATGACTTGTACAGGCCGGATTCCCCTTTTTCCAATTAGACCGCTTCCTCAAGGTACTGGTCCAGGAATTCAACTGCTATGTTGCCATTGCCGAGGAATTCCCCAATGATGCTGGAGACAAGGTCAAGTCGAATGGTCTGATGCACGACAGAAAAGTGACGCGCATTATTACGCCGGGCACGCTCATTGATGAAAATTTTATTGATCCTTATGCCAACAACTATGTCATGGCTATCCATCTTGGCGTTTCTGATGCAGATGCCGCTTCTTCTGAAGAGTCTATACAGCAGGACGGGTCGAATGCGGAAGAATCGCTTCACCCGGCTGCAGAGCCTGTCGGTTTGGCGTGGCTGGATATTTCAACCGGCCAATTCTATACGCAGTCGACTACAATCGGTGGATTGTCGTCCATTCTATCCCGTGTCGGCCCTCGTGAGATTGTCATTGACAAAGCTTTACAAGCGCAAAAAGATCATTCGTTGTTCACGATATTGGCCGAAGACAAGCATCTCATATCCTTTACTCCCCACACCACACTCATGCCAACCGAAGAGTGGATTTCAATGCTCGAGTCTGAGATATCGGCAAACACATTGAAGAGCTTCACCCCAGACGAGACCAGCGCAGGTAGTCTTTTACTTCAGTATGTTCGGGACCGCCTCCTCGGCCTCAGCATGAAGCTGCAACCCCCAGTACGACACGAGAGCCTGCAGGTTCTCACTATCGACAAGAACAGCATGCGGTCTCTGGAGATCAAGCAGACCATGAGGGACGGCGCATTCAAGGGCAGTCTACTGCATGCAGTCAGGAGAACGGTGACGAAAAGTGGCGCCAGGCTCCTCAATGACTGGCTCAGCGCCCCGTCCACTGATTTAGAAACCATCACCAAGCGCCAGGACCTTGTGGAGTATTTTATCAAGTATCCGGATCTACGAGATGAGATTATACAACTGCTCAGAAGGAGCCACGACTCTCAACGTCTCGTCCAAAAATTTGCCTTTGGCCGTGGCGATCCCGATGACCTCGTGGGGTTGGCAGCCACCATTCGAGCTACAGAGGACATAGTGCAACTTCTATCTTCCCAAGGGTCTACAGAATCCCCGACTTCTCACCCCTTTGCTGATATCTTGTCTCGTATCTCGCTCGACGAGCCGTCCAAGCTCGCGGCGCGCATCCGCTCCTCCATTGACGAAGACGGCCTCTCAGCCCAGCACCAGCTGGAAGACAGCGAGGCCGGCCAGCTTCTGGCCATGGCCTCGGATGTGGTAAGCAGCGAGGGCACGACCGAGGAGGCCGCGTCCATCCTCCCCAAGTCCGCGGCCTCCAAGATCAAGAAGGCGGGTGGCGGTGGACGACCAACCTCGATCCGGGATCACTACGATGCAGACAATCCGACCTTTACCATGAAATCCGGCGCGAGCCCAGCTCTCTCGGCACTACACACGGAGCTCGATGGCCTGTTACAAGAGCGGTTGACGCTGGCGGAAACGTTGGCCGCCGACTTCTCTGCGCCCTCGCTCACCCTGCGCTGGACGCCCAACCTCGGCCACATTGTCCACGTAAAGGGCAAGGACGTGCGCCAGCTCCCGTCGGACCTGGCCGCCCTCACCTCGTCCCGCTCGACGCGCACCTTTGCCCTGCCGGCGTGGACGTCGCTGGGCCAGTCCCTGCACCAGACGCGGTTCGCCATCGCGGCGGCCGAGACGCGTCTCCTGGCCCAGCTGCGCGAGCACGTGGTCCGGAACCTCGTCAAGCTGCGGCGCAACGCCGCGGCCCTCGACGCCCTCGACGTGACCACGTCGCTGGCGCGCCTGGCCGCCGACCACGGCCTGGTGCGCCCCTTGCTCTCGGCGTCGCACACGGCGCACCGCGTCATGGGCGGGCGCCACCCGACCGTCGAGCTGGGGCTGCGCGCCGCGGGGCGCTCGTTTGCGCCCAACGACTGCCTGGTCGGCGCGCCGTCCCAGGGGCGGCTGTGGCTCGTCACGGGCCCCAACATGGCGGGCAAGTCGACCTATCTGCGGCAAAACGCCCTCATTACCATCTTGGCGCAGACGGGTTGCTTTGTGCCCGCGGCGCACGCCGAGCTGGGCGTTGTCGACGCCATCTTTAGCCGCGTGGGCTCGGCGGATAATCTGTACGGCGACCAGAGCACCTTCATGGTCGAGATGCTCGAGACGGCGCAGATCCTACGGTCCGCCACGGCGCGGTCGTTTGTCATCATGGACGAGATTGGCCGCGGCACCACGCCCGACGACGGGACGGCGGTCGCCTTTGCGGCGCTGTGGCACCTGGTCACGGTCAACAAGTGCCGTGCGCTGTTCGCCACGCATTTCCACGAGCTGGCGGACCTGGTGCGGGCGCGGGAGATGCACGTCGATCAAGGCGGCGAGGTGGAGTGCTATTGTACGGACCTGGCCGAGGACGGGCGAGGCGGGTTCGTCTACGTGCACAAGCTACGAAGGGGCATCAACAGGCAGAGTCACGCGCTAAAAGTGGCCAAGTTGGCTGGAATGCCAGAAGCGGCGGTGACAATGGCCACCGAGATACTGGCTCACGGCAAGAAAACTAATGGGTCATAACAAGAGACGAGTTGCGACGCCTATGTATAAAACCCAGAGGCCGAGGGAATTACTCGGTATCACTGTACGATCATGTGTATAGACATCTAAAAGACTTTTTGACAAGTTAGCATAAGAGCTTGCTAAAATTGTATATCAAAAAAAGGACAGGTTTTGTATGTTGCTCATAGAGTTGTGATCACAATCAACATGGAGATTCAGGGTTAAAAAGCTCGTTTGTGTTTTGTGATTTAATCACTGCAACAGGTATGGAATGAATGCGCAACTGGGGGTTTGAACTAACCTTTTGAGCAAAAAATGAAGAATAGCTTTACGACCATCATTCATTCACAGGCATCGAGAGCCGTCATTTGTTGTGTCTCATGACTTCCGTTTTATTGACCAGCATATCAGATCTATATTCTCCCAAACTTTTCCTGTTTCGTGAGCATAGATCTCGTAAACCCGTGTGCAACAATTGGATTCATGTCATTATTCATGCAAATGAGGGAACAATGTTAGGGTATTTAGTCACTGTAAAGTGTTTGTTAGCAACGTGATCGCAACAAGGGGCACATCGAGAGGTATAAAAACTTACAAGAGACCGAAGCCCATGTCGTCGTCAGACTCCTCCTCATCGTCCTCCTTCTTGTCCTCAGCGGGAGCGGCGTCACCACCGGCGGCGGCGGCACCGGCACCGGCAGCAGGAGCGGCAGAGGCGTAAGCGTCAGGGTTGGCGATACGGTCCTTGAGCTCCTCAATCTCGGGCCAGCTGATCTCGGTCTCGATGGCGACAGCCAGGACCTTCTTGTAGCCGTTGACCAGGGAGTGCATGACCGAGGGCAGGGTGGGGAAGTTGATGGCCAGGGAGATGGAGGCAATGGCGGTGATGGCGCTGGCGAAGGTCTTGAGGAGCTGCTCCTCACCGACGTCGAGAACGCTGGCGGGGAAAGCGTTGCCCTGGTCGTAGACCTGGGAGATACCCAGACCGTAGGTGAAGGGAGAGATGTTCAGCATGTTGAGCAGGGTAGCCTCGGAAGGACCGACCTTGGCACCAGTCTCGACGAGCTTGAGGTCGGCAGTAATTTCAATGGTACCACGGGCAATCTTGGTGGGGACACCGAGGGCCTGGAAGAAAGAGGTCTTGCCGGGTTCCATACCAGTGTTGCCAGCGGGGATCCAGACATCGACGGGAGCGACGGCACCAGCACGGGCAGGAGCAGCGACCTTGTTGGCCAGGATCTTGTCACGGATGTCCTTCAGGTCACCGTTGGTGAAGACGAAACCAATGTTGCCCTTGACGTGAGGCAGGAGACGCTCGTACTCGGGGGTGTCGTTGATGAAGGTACGGAGGGCACGGCGAACCATGGTGTTCTTTCCCATCAGGACGACAGCCTCTCCACGGAGAGACTGACGGACCTCGTGCATCTGCTGGGAGGAGACATTGTCGACGCTGTCATACCCATGTCAGCTCCAGCTTCTGGGACAAAAACCGTCCTGCCTCTATGCACAAGATTGCGCAGGAGTCCGGGCTTGGGAAGATTTGGAGCCAACTTACGTGACGATGAAGACGGACTTGTACTCCTCGAGCAAGTTCTTCAGCTTGCCGAAGTACTCTGACTTGTTACCCACCATTTCTTCTTAGGTTTATGAAGACGGACTTTAAGGGTAACGGTTTTTTCTGGGTTGGTGGTGATTTGCGATGCGCAATTGATTGATGTTGTCGCAAGAGTAGCAAAAGTTCGAGACAGCGGCCGAATTTCGATTTTCCTGTGGGATTAGTCGTTGTGGAAAAGGCCCCACTATTCTCTGGGTTGTGAGTGGGGCTTGGTAGGTCTTGCGCCAAGCACTTGAGCTGAAGCTGCTTCTATGGCCATCCACTCATCTGGGTGCGATTTAGCCCCCATTCTCACTTATTCCTCAATTGTTACATTGTACTTGGCTTCACTGGGACATTTCTCATGTTGCACGCGACACGACACTTGACATGATTTGTTTCATGGGGATTCAATTTCTTACAAATGGCACTCAAGATACGCTAAAAGAAAAGCCATTGCATGGCGACTATTTACACAATGCGTGAAGCAAGCGAGTGTATGGTATGGAAACCGTATTAACAAGATTTCCAAAATCGTGTCTCAGCACCTCGAATTCTGACTCCAAGCTCCATCAAAACCTGCCTCTGGCGCGATCACATTCTTCAAGAAACTTGTAGACCCCGTCTAGACCCTCAAATTCTTGCGAACAATGCTCGCCCGAACTAAAAGGCTGGGATGCCGTCTCATAACCCTCTGGTTCCGGTGATGCGAGCCAGGGGTTGTCCTCGATATCGCTAAATGTTTCAAAAAGTTCGTGCTCTTGCAGGGAACTGCCTAGCGAAGGCAGAGAGCCTTCAGGAGATGCCGAGAGGGCTGACTCTTCGCTTACTGCATCGGGAGCGAACGGGAATTTTAAGGCCATTGGTACACCGGTCTCGACACCAAAGTCCGCATCTTCTCTCACGATACCTCGACTCAGTCCAAGGTCATCCAAGAGTGCTTCGACTGTCTCAGCGTCAACGCCTGGAAATCGTACCCGAAGGATTTGTCCCTTCTCAAGTTGTATCGGCAAATCCCCGAGGGCGGACAACTTTTTGATATCTGATAATACCGCCGTCAGATCTTTCAGAGCACGGCCAAAGTCAACGGACAGAACATCGAGGAACCCTTCAGTGTTGAGTGTGGTGGCGTCAATAGCTGCAACCTCCTTGCTCTTGGTGGTGAAGGGCATGGCGGCAGCCAACGGGCTGAGAGCAGTGACGGTTGGGTTCAGGGCAAAGTCAACATAGGAGCCCGGCATGATCCGAGGCACCGATGCGAGCTTGCGGGATGTCTCTTCCTGCAAAGACGAGACGGCACGGTACTGCTTCTCGCCTCGGGCGTTAAGTCCGTCAAACTGTGCCTTCTGACCCGAAATCCAGAATGCCCGGACGGCCGACGATACATTTTGTACAACCTGCGCTTGAGAGGCCGGTGCGTGGGAGAAGTATCGAGCCCCGCCAATCCGGCCAGAGCCCAGACCGTAACCGCCAGCAGTTCGAGGCAGAGCACCGCCTGTGAGGTTTGGACGCAAAGTGCTTGCAAATGGGGCCCGTCCAGTCATCTGGGAGACAGCCCGGCCTGTCTTGGTGCTCATAAACTTGGTCCGATCAATCCGCACGGAGGCATCAATGCGACCAGTGGTAATGAAGCGGCGAACCGCGGCGTCAATGTTTCGGTAAGTAGAAGTCGAATACCATCTTCGACTTTTTTGCTGGCGCAACAAGGCCGAGGGATGAATAGGTTGTCGTGGGCGTGATTTCGCCAAAGCTGGCTCCAAAGCCGTGTTGACCGGTCGAAGCGCTGCCGTGAGCTTCTTCCGGACCAACTTGGAAGCCTTATACGCGGTAGTACGGACCAGCCGCAGAGCGACTGGGCCCAATACTCCGCCCATTCCGGCGACCATCGTGGTGTTTTTCAGTCCGCGGAATGTATGCGAACTGAATATTGAACAAGATGAATGTCTTGGATGAGACAGAAGGTGAGTGCCACAGGCATCAACGGCTTGCTTAATACCGAGAGGGAGGGCGAGTGTGGCGGTGCTGCTTTTTGCCACAATCAATGCGCTAGACGCTTGAGCTGCGGGGCTATCGGAAGAAGCCGCCAGGTCACGTCCAGCCTTCGATGTTGGCAGGGCTGACAGGTGCCAAAGCTTGGCCCAGCTGCCGACTCACTCGACACCAGCCCAAGTCTCTCTCAAGCTTGGACCTGGTCCACAAAAAAAGACGCGAATTTTCTGGCTTCACTGTTCAAGCACATATTTTTTAAGCTCTCCCTTCTTCCCTTCTCTTTCCCACAAACAACAAGCACTCTCAGCTTTCGCACTCAATCACCTCGCGCTCCCGCATTGACGGTGTCTACTCGTCTTGGATGCCGGTACTCTGGGCTGCGACGCATCGGTAAGTCTACAGCACACCGGTCTCTCGGTGTCGTCTGCTATGATTATGCACTCTTGAACAATCCAAATCTTACAAAACCATGGGGATTCTCAAAAGACTCTAGAATTACCCTGAGCAAATTCTCCAATCTCTGGCATACTTTGCACTCGGGGTCACGTATCAACTGCTAACATGACAAAAGGGTGTTTAGGTAGGTGTCTCATTGCGACGCGTTTGCTAGAGCAAGTCGGACTCGTTTGGCGAATCCTCGAGCTGCTAGCAACCATTTTGCACAAATTACAAAAGGTTAGTTTCATCGCGTCTCTACTATCTCTTGCCCTTGCCCTCCCCACTGCCTCCCCAGGCAGTCCTTGAGTGATGAAAAAAACCGACAAATCTAGGGATTCCTCATGCCGAATACATTATGTGGATTTGTTTAGTTTCAGCCTTGTCTGACTTGGATCACCCAAACTCTATTTTATGAAGACGACGTGCATTGTTCAATTTGCTAACTCGCCTTCTTGCAATCAGGTACATATCCATCCCACCAACCCTGTCTATCGTGTCCATATGAGGATAGTTTGAACGAACGGGCGGACATAAACGAATATCCGTGGCCTTCTTCCGTGAAAGCGAGGCGTACAAACCTTGTGGGAGAAGATCCATGGTGACTTCTTGTTGAGACTTCGTCAGCTGATGGTATCTCTTGATGGCCATCCTTGTACTGCCACTTCTGTCAGCGACGTCAACTAACGAAATGCTGATAGGTAAACATTTCCTGTTCCCACCCAAGCACATTATAATATGATGAACATTATTCACACTGTTTGACCTCGTCTTCGGGCTTGGAATGAACATTTAACAAAAATCTGATTTAATGAGGTATGCATGGCAACATGGCCCTGTACTAGATGCACCAATTGCTAACCTGCTTCCAGGCTGATATTATTTCTCCAATTCACCATTGCTGCAAATTTCTTGTTTGCATTCTTGCTGACATTTGACTTGTCGCCAGGTAATGATTCTTGCACTAGTAGAAAACAATCCGCCTGTCCAAAGCGTAAGTTTCAATCCTCTGCTTCCACCATATATCACAAGCCTTGAAGATGAGCACTATCCTATCTTATCTACATTGTCGGAGTTCTACAGTGACGAGACTTTATTCACCTTGGAGAACTGAAGAGGCTTCCATATTGCACGTTATGCGTCAGCTATCATGTTCTTGGCTGACCATTTTCTACAGTTGACTTCAGGTGCCTGCCTTTTTGGCGTGATTAGTCCTTTGATGAATAAAACATTTTGCCCATTCAATTCTTGTCTTGATTCTTCCTCTGCATAGTGGTCATCATGTGTGCGTTGCATCCCAATGTAAATCTTTACTGGTCTCTGTAATGCTGTAATCCGAAGCCCCATCAGTCATGGGTCAGCGGGAGCTCCCCCAACCCCGCGCTGCACGTTGGCGGCCCCTCTTTTTCTGGACCCTGACGCACGCATCATCAATCGGCTATCGAGGAAAGACTTTCCCGCCTTCCGGAGACTTCGATGCACGGACACAGATCACGAAAGCGCCGTCCATTTTCTCGATAGTTAGCAATTGACATGATCTCATAGGCGTTTATAGGGCACATGGCTCCCTTGCCAAAGTGGAGTTCTGAACATTGAATTGGGACGTTCCTGTAAGCGTGATTCTACGATTTGCCTTTCTTAGTCTGCATCAGAGCGGCGCGATCGATGAACTAATTAAGGCTTCCGGTCTCCCCCCATAATATGCTGCCATTGCCAGGGTCTTTGCAGTCCATCTCCAACAAGACGTCGCTCCTATGAGTACCCTTGGTGCCCTCTGCTTATACCTTAATCTATGCAGGCGTGAAGATCGAACCTCGCTCATTCGATCAGACCATGAGTCGTAAGACAAACACCCCTTTCTGCGGGGTTGAGCTTGACTGATTGACTTTCCGGTGTGGTTCCCTCTTGTTTAACACGCTTGCCGACTCGAGATTGTGTAAGCTTCCATGACGTGGAGCCATGAGAAGCTTTCCCGCTTTCGTTTTGCGACACCCGTATTGTGTACAGCAGAGGCTCTTTCTTGGTGGAGTTTCCATGTCCCATCTGGTCTTGTCTCTATTGGGCATCGATCTATTGGTGAAGTCATCGGTTGGGGAAACCATCCAGTTGATGGATACTTTTCTGCCGTCTAGGGGGTCTGGAACCTAAGTAGGTATGATGGGTTGATGAGGCCGCTGGTAGAGCAACACCTTTGGTAGTCAATTCATACTTAAGTTGAAGATTCCCCCAACTTTTCCAACTCTGTGTTTCTGATCCATGCTACGCAAATATTGCATTATTCATATTTAGTCCAGATAAACAAATACCACATCTACTACAATGGAGAATAACAAGGGTTCCGCTCAGCAAGGCTCTACTGGTTCCCGAAGAAGGGTACGTCCCGTACAACAGAACTCTCTGTTTACCTCGTCGTGTCTCGGCGGCTAACGGTTCACTGCTACAGAGCTCTGGCCCAGCCTTTGAGGGTCTAATGTCACAGAAACGGTCGAACGATCCTTCGTCTCAAGCCAGACGTCAGAGCATCCACGAGCAACGACCTGCGCCTGGCATCTTCGGCCAGATGTGGCATAAGTAAGCCACCCTGCACTACATGTTGGACTTGTGGACTGATAATTCCCAGCTTCACACGCGGTGGTTCTGGAAGCCCCCCAAAATAAACATATCGACAAATCGATATTGTATACTTATTGTTTTGGAATAATGGCGTTAGAACAAATGTATTGACAACAGAGACGTCAGAATGACATGATAACGGGAATAGGCGTTTCGGCCGCATGTAGATCACTATCAATTGATTTTATCCCTATCACGCACGTTATATCATGATTTTATCACAGTGACAGCTATAATCTGCTACAATAACATACTCGTCGCAACCAGTACATATTTGGTAATTATAATGGACGCTCAAATTCGAGATTTGTGTTCGTTAATACTTCCGACCAAGACTAATATCCAAGACTAACTCACGTGCATGCCAAGTACATTGCGTAAGTTATCTGAGACATGGAACGCCCTCTCGTCCGGCACCAGACCACGCGCAACGAGCTCTTGCTCAGAAATGTCCGGGTTCGCATCCAGAGCCGCCTTCAATGAGATCGCTCTCGCGGTCACATCTTCGATGCCTACGATCCACCGCTCTATCCACTCAGCAGCCAGGGAGCCACGAATACCAATCTGAATGCTGCGGTGATCCAGCCGACCGAGCCTCACCGAGCGCTCCGGATCCCACTGTACTTTGACTGCGGCGTCCACTCCTTCGCGCTTTTCGTTGCATGCAGCAGAATTCGCGCCCACACCCACGCCCACGCCCACAGCCGCCGTCGCCGCCGTTGTCTCCGTGGTGAGGACAGCCCTCTCCAACAAGCCCACAAAATCAGCATGCCGCATCTTGATCGCCAGGATACGCTCCTGATTTGCGTCCTTGCACGCGTACCCCGACCGGTACATCATCCAGCACCAGCTCGGCTTGATCCAGGTCATGCGAACGGGACGGAACAGCGGCGAGGCGTTTAGACGCTGGTGCGCGACGGCCTGGGACGCGATCTCGGCATTGTAGGCTTGGTAGACGGTGATGGTGTCTTCGTCGTACTGGGCGCGGATCTGTCGATAGGGTGGCTGGGCTGTGTCATCTGGACTTTTGGGGTCTAGGTGATTGCCTTTTGGGATGGTTTGAGCCATTTCAAAAAGAGGAGAAGAGAATAATTGTGAATGAAAGAATGTTTTGAGGATGGCTGGCGGTCTGTTGCTCAGGTCTGTGGTGCACACTAGAGGTGAGTGAGGGTATACGATGAAATGCCAGTTGCAAACGTTGATAGAAAATAATTAAATTTTGAGCATACAGAGAGACGGCTGAGAAGTAATTATTGACTCCAAAGTAACAAACAAGATCTTGAGATGCATTTTTACTTCAGTCCTGACTTTATAACTTGTTACCGACTTTGCTCTGTTCTCGCCGGCTGACTCATAGTATAGAGCCCAAAGCACGGGCACATTGAATAGATTACGAATAATTTTATCCGAATAATGATTGAATTTATCAAAATAGCAATTGACTTTATCTAACCCGCAATCAAATTTAGCCCAACACCTAGTGTACCATGTGGTTCTGTGAGCAAGTGTATTGATTCAGACTAGACTTGTTTTGAGTATGGGAATCTGGACTGCCGGATAGGCAGATGACGTTTCCTATCTGTGCATGTGAACAACAGACATCAGACAGACTGACTGGGCATATCTACGCGTGTGAATCATAAACACCAGATTCACTGACGATGATGGCAGATTATTATATATTGTTGTGACTGCACATGCCAAGTTGGCCCCTTCCTGCCATCTCAACCAGCAGCATCTTTACTTGGACTCTACAACTTGCAGTCATGGCGTCTCCCTCGGTGATCTTGATAATTGTGACCCTGTTCACTGGCCTCACGAGCATCACTCTTCTCTGTTACGCTCTTTGGCAGCTACACCTCTTGAAAAAAGGTAAGTTTCCCCAAGCGCTTCCACCAAAGCTACGAGGAACGAAGTCTTTGTAACACTACGGAAATATAGAAGTAGATCCACTTCATCCTATCCGCCTGGCTCGCGTGGCCCGCAATCTGCGATCAGCCGCCACTACCGGCATCGAACCTCTCGAGACCGTCGTCTGCAAGGATGCGCAGCCAAGCAGCATGGAGGCAGGCGCTATACCGACGAGTGAACCAACGACACCGATCAGGCCATCGCGGCCGAGGAGCTTGTGGTGGCCTGGCCTGGCCCACGGAGTCCCGCCCGAGCAGATGAACAGTGATGCGAGTATGCCCAGTATTCCAGAGAGTCCGCCGCCATTCAAGACCGAGGCGCACTGGAATGCTGTCTAGTATCACGGAGGCACCGTGGCAGCGGTGACTGCTCAGTCATGAGTCTTTTTCTTCTTCTTCTTCTTCTGAATTTCCAGCAACAAATTACAAGAGATCATTGGTATACAAGGGATAATGACTGAGTACTTGGTAGTAATAGTAATGAGAGCAGCGATGGACCTGCATCTAGACAATGGTAATAATTCTTCCCAGAACCATTGATACAATGTCACGTGCCTAACAATGTTTGCTATCGAAAGTCTTGTGACAATGACTCGGAAATGTGTCACAATTGAGCAACCTGTTTCATGGATGCTTATCGGCTAGTTGTTGACACCACAACCAAGACACAAGTGTCATCAAGTGTCATGTAAATCGTCATTTGAGGTGTCACTGAACCATAGCTGAATTCTTGACCAAAGATAAGAACGTGAATACAATACAGTTTACTAATCTAGTCCATGTCTTGTTTTACTGAGGGTGCATCACCTGTTGGCAGCACAGAGTCACTGCCCTATAGGGTGACATGATGAGACCTCACCGGACTAGGCGACCTGACCCATACATACTTGGCCAGTTCAATCCATGACAAGTCAGCGAGGAACCTGCCTCATCTCCCAACCTTGGCAAAAAAGAACCCGTTGCGAGTTCGTCCCTACGGTTGTTCAAGAAAACCTTCAAAGACAGACGAGATGTAAAAGTTACTCCCATGCTACTCCAACGGGGCACGAGTCGACGTGCGAAACGTCATGGGCAGCCAGGGCAAGGCTCTCACCGGACGCGCCTCTGCTGTTTCCGTTTGAACCAAGCTTTGCTCTGGACTGGGTGCTCGGTGCCCGCATGGAGAATGAATCGGCCATATTGCGTTGGTCGTCGTGGTAGTACGCATTGGGGAGGAGGGCAGAGATATCCCAGACGTCGTCGTCGAGACAGAGCCAACCGATTCGCTGGTGCCGAGTGGATTTTTATCGAGGGGCCGGCCGACCGCTGCGGGCAGACTGCGTGCATTGGAAGTGCTCGGCGTGCTGAGATGCCCTGCGCGAGCAGTTCCGGCCGTTTCAATGACACCCTCCGGACTTGCTGTTGCGCGGGTGATAGTGGATGGCGGTTTGAATGTTGTGCCTCTGCTTGTGGAAGTGGGCCTCTCCTCTGGCGTATAGGGAACCGCGCATGGTTTGGTGTTATCATCCGGAATTCCTTGCATTGATGGGGTGCTTGTCATCGACGATGGAGCAGGTACAAGCCCATCAGAAGCTGCACTGCTTCTATGGCGGCTACCAGACACGGGTACGGCCGGGCTTGACTCTTCGCCTTCGACAGTTAGAATCGTCATGGTGGTGACGATCTCAGTCACAATGTCAACATAGACACTCGCCAATTCAGTCGGTGTTGTTGCGATGGAGCTTATGATAATGACCTCAGTTGCGGGTTCGGCTGGGATGGTGACTGTGGCAGTAGATGTCGTAACGGTAATGGCATTGCATTGAGGCACGGTTGAATGCGAGGAAGAAAAGTCACTCTTGACAGCCAGGGTGCTCGAAGCAGTAACAAACTCAGTCACAATCTCGTTAGAGCAGGTAATTGTGACAGCTGCTGTGCAGTCTGAGGATGGTAGAAAGGTTTCTGTTGCAGTAGTTGTAGTTGATGAGTCTTGGTAAGATGCTAGAACGAGTGTGTCAAAACCTGTGTGCTCATCAAGCCCTATAAACGAGGCTATCGCATCTGTGGCCCTCTGATACCCAACCTCTTTGGTCGAGCACATGTTGTTCCTTGGAGTCTGAAGCCAGAAAGCCGTCAACTTTGAAATGGGGATGGTATTTTACAGGGACCTTGAGACCATGTACTTGTGAGCCTAGAAGAAGAGTGAGATAAAAATCGATGGGGGTGTTTATCGAAAGAATGATGGTGTTTTATAGTCAATTCCTGGGTGAATGTGGTCATCGTCAACCCTCATGACTCCAGAGGGTACGTTGAGCATGAGTGACTTCTTCCAATGGCAAACCTACCGTATCGCCAGCAGGACAGACCAAGAGCAAAGTTAGACAATGAGGAGGAGACTTATGATGAGCTATCATGACTGGTTGAACTCGACAGTTGTTTGCCTCTGCTGGTTCATATATCTGATGTTCGAATATCATGTTCGATTAGAGGAGCTAGCCAATGGATACAACTAAATTCCACCGACTCATCACTCGTTATTCCCCGTTGCAACTCCCCAGAAATACCCACACCAGCTTCCTAGAATGAGAAAAAGACAAGCCACAAAGCAAGCCATGGATATTTTTCTGTTTCTTGGCCCGTTTTCCTCGGCAAATCGCCTTCTTCGCTCCTGGAGGATGGCAGTCCGTGCCATCCGCTGTTTGCGAGTCCATTGGAGGTGGCCCAGGTCCACATTCAGTCGAGCCGTGATGGCCAGGATGATTGATACAACAACCGAGATACCAGCGAGGATGGCGTACACAATGACAACGTTATCATACGAGTTGTTATCCCGATCTTGTATCACGCCAGTGATGACTCGGACGACGATATTCATACTGCATGCTTATGTCAGTGGGGGGTTTGCAAGACAAGCACTCTGAACGAGACTCACGCATTGTTCATGGTAATCTTCAAGGCGTATGCCGACCCAAACACCGACGGATCCCAAATCGATGTTCGGATGCTATCGATGATGGTGGTGGGACCAAAACAGTATGCAAAGGCAAACACGCCCAATGAAGCAGCCGCACCAGTCACGTTACTGCCAAAGCACAGCACCAGCATCGAAGTGAACATGCCGACACCGCAAAAGAGCACTGGGAAAAGCAGTTAGTACAGAACTAAGCTGGCTGATGAGAGTCATTCTTAGACCTACAAACTGATATACGCTGGCCAAACAAGTCGAGAAAGGCGCCAAGAAGCGGGACGATGAAAAATCCTAATCAGATTGTCAGCTTTGGATTTTAAATAAACCACTGCAGCGGACAGCCATGACTAACCAGCATATTGAGATGTAGCACTGTACCAGCCCGCGGTGATGGAGCCGACGTTGAACCTTTGTTCTGCAATCTCTGTTGCATTTTGGAGGTACACAATGGCTGTGCTCGTCTCGAAAAGCGAGAATGCCTGAATACACCAAAAAGCCCATGGAAGCTCGAGAACCTTTCTGATTTCAAACTTTTTCGACTTTTCTTTCAGAATCTGGCCAGTCGAGGGGTCCTTGACGCCGTGGAACTTTCTGTTGGCGATCTTGGTAAACCAGTAAAAGACACCAGTCATGACATTGGTAAAAATGTTCATGAACACGGCAACCCAAAATACCCAGGCAAAATCTCCGGTCCGCGCGGCAATGATATTTGCCGACGACTTTCCTGCAAAGGCGCCAATCTTGCCGATGCCCAGCTCGAAACCTAGAGTTGAGGCGAATCCGTTGCCCGGGGCAAACCAAGATGAAAAGACCTTGTATTGCGCGACTTGAGTGGCGATGTCTCCGAGGGCTCGCACAACGCGGCCACCGACCATGAATTTGTAGGAACGAGTTTGCGCCGCTGCAGCCACAAGAATTGATCCAATCGAGTAAATCGCGTTGCCGTACAACATGGCCCCTACTATAGATTAGTAAAGAACAAAACCGCCAAGATGTTAGAGTACTCGCCTGCACCACCGATACGGTCCGTGACAATGCCACTAACCAGCATCAGCGCCGTGACCATGAAATCCTCGCTTGCTTCCAGCAGGGCAAACTGGGTGTTATCAATGTTCAGTTCCTTTTTGATGGTGGTCTTCATGGCGCCCGTGATTCCGCTACTCCACTGGGACCCAAATCCGATAGCAGTGACGAGAACAATTGCCGCCAACTTCCATTTCAGAGGCGCGGGACGCAGACTGCTGTGCGCTGAGGCGGCATCATCGCTGTCATCTGGCGTGCGGTCAGAGTCAACCGTGACGGCGGCCTCGACCTTGACGTCGCCAAGAGATTCAGACGGGGGCGATCGAGCCGGGTTGACCTCAGCCACGGGGCCGAGCTCCACAGTCATGGTTGAATGCGCTGTCGGTTCGGTCGCACAATCATGAATTCGGAGGAGCTGATGAGAGGATGAGAGCTGTCTTGTCGGCTGAGGAACGGCAACCGAGTCTACGCTCTCATCAACCTTCAGGAGGAGGATCTACTCTTTATACAAGTCTTGGGCAGAGGAAATTTGAGGATTAGAAAAAACGACGCATCTCACATATTAGACTCTACGCTACACACGAGCCACTTTTTTCTTGGCCGTGGCTCTGAATTTCACAGTGAGAGAAACAGCGCGAGCAAGATCCATGCAAGTGAGGGATCAAGATTTTTATCAGATCCATCAGATAACGCTATCGGTGTGGGCCGGGCGGAGCTCTAGCCGCTTGTGATTCTTGGCCGCGCCGGTTTGGGGGCGGGATTGTTACATTTTGGGCTCTCGCTGTCCCGAATGAAAGCTAGACTATTCATGCCGTTTGAAGCGCCCATTCCGAGTTCCTGGTCTAGAAGGGTCAGTTGTACGTGTTATGGCCCGAAGGCGGACCTGTCTGGTTCATGATTTCAACTGGGTTTCAAGGAAATGTCTGCATTCTCTTTTCCGACCTTCTCCGAAGCCGCATGGCCAGAATACCATCAAGTGTCTGTACTGCGCTGTATGCCCAGACTGCAACGTTCCGAGAAGACGTTTGCCAATCCTTGCGGCATACGTACATAGTACCACGTGGGCAACTTGATGGTACCTCGATCTTTGGAAACCGACTGGGATCGGGGAATAGCACTCCAAGTGTACCTACACCACACATTGAACTCCATTTTTCTTGTGAGTGATCCTCACATTTGTGGTACCCATCAGCTGCCGTCTTTTGCCTCGCCATCAGCTGAAGCCAAGAACTTTAAACCCTGCCAACCTGCGGCTTCAGTACTATAAAAGAACGCAGTCGGCTAAGTATCCCACACCCATGGAACCGGGTCCGTGAAACGATTTGGCTCGCGTGCGCGCTGGCAGCCGTTTTGTTGCCGCAACCCACAAGCAAGGCACGATATCCGATGCTCACCTCTGTGTGTTTACAAGGGTGTTTTGTCCAAATTTTCTCACTCGCGTGACCTAGGCGCATACAGACATGCGAGGCCATCGGCGAGTTCTAATACCTCCTACCAAGCTGCCTGGAATGGTGCCCTCCTGCCAAACATGTGTCTCGATAATGATCCTCGGCCACGGCATCTACAACGCCGTGGCCCCAACACCCTTTTTCTTGGCACCATTATAGTCTCCCATGAAGCGTTCGGCGAATGGAGCCAAGCTGTGCGTTCATAACAACCCTTCATGGCTTTTCCCACAGCACACCGAATATTGCACGACGACTAGATCTTACTCCCAATAGCTCAACAGCTCTTGTTGCAATAACTATACAAACAAGCTTGGGTATACAAAAGCAAAAATGACAGCTAACAAGGAAGTGATGATTGCGCAGGCCACCACATAATGTGGGTTGGTGCAGCTTGACTGAGAGTGAGATGTAGCCTCTCTTTCAGAGAACATGGTTGCGAATTTCTCCTCGGATTGCAAGCTTGCGATCGCGCCACGGCCTAGAAGCAGTTTCAAAGTGTCCTCATGGCCCGCAGAAGTTGCAGCTTGGAGAGAATTTTCATACTTGCCGCCCGGTGCATTGACATGAGCTCCATGATCGAGTAGAAATTTCACGATATCGTCATGCCCTCTAGATGATGCAGCTTGTAAGGCATTGCCATATTTGCCGCCCTGCGCATTGACGTCGGCCCCCTTTTCGACAAGTAGCTGTACAATTTCGTAATGACCTCCACGGCATGCAGCCTGTAGAGGATTGCCAAAATGGCCACCGGCGGTAGCAATGTTGGCCCCGTTATCTAGGAGAAAGACAACGGTCTTTGGGCTTCCTCCGTATGAAGCGGCCTGCAGCGCATTGCCAAAGTGGCCACCACGAGCAAGAATGTTGGCTCCTTTCTGGAGCAACATCTCGAGGATCACTCGGTATCCTTTGGCGGCCGCTGCCTGCAGAGCATTTCCAAACCTCCCCCCTTGTATATTGACGTCTGCATCATTTTCAAGCAGTAGCTTGACAATCTCTCGATGTCCTCTGTTTGAGGCGGCCTGCAGAGCCGTGCCAAAATAGCCGCCGCGTGCGTTGACGTCTGCGCCTTGTCTAAGAAGCAATTCAACGATATCTTGACATCTTCCATATGAAGCGGCTTGCAGCGCATCACCGTAATGTCCGCCCTGTGCACTGATAACAGCACCTCTTCGTAAAAGTAGTTCAACAATATCTTGGTGTCCCTCATACGAGGCTGCTTGCAATGCATGACCGTAGTGTCCACCTTGCGCACTAATATCGGCGCCTCTACGTAGGAGTAGTTCAATAATGTCTTGATGTCCTTCATGCGAAGCTGCTTGTAACGCATAGCCGTAGTAGCCCCCCTGCGCATTGACGTCGGCGCCTCTTTGTAGGAGTAATTCAACGACATCTTGATGGCCTTCAAATGAGGCGGCCTGCAACGCATGGCCATAGTAGCCACATTGGCCGTTGATATCGGCGCCTCTTTCAAGGAGCAAATCAATGGTCTCTTTGTGTCCTCCCCATGAGGCGGCCTGTAGCGCGTTGCCGTAGTGACCACCTTGTGCATTGACATCGGCGCCCTGCTTGAGAAGTACATCAATGATCTCTCTGTGTCCTCCATGTGCGGCAGCTTGTAGCGCATGGCCGTAGTAACCACCTGGGGCGCTGATATCGGCGCCCCGCTGAAGAAGTATATCAACGGTCTCTTTATGGCCCCCGTAAGATGCGGCTTGTAGGGCATTGCCGTACCAGCCGCCTTCCAAGTTCACGTCAACATCAGGTAGCGCAGCCCTCGAAAGATTGGGTAGCCCACGAAGTGCTAGCACGTAGGCAAGTCCTACTTCTTTTTCGCTTTCAAGCCCTAATCGCTCTTCGTCGGATCCAGCAGCAGCGATGAGCAACTTCCACCATCCCAACCAACTGTCCGAGTCCCGTAGCCACTCTCGGATAGGCAATTCACTCGAAGAATGAGCTTGGTTGCATCTAATATCCAAATGATTCATGTTTTGGATACTTGTACCGTTAGCCAACGCCCTCTCCGCGTGATCTAGGATGTGGCCCGCCACATACACTAGGAATGGATCTTTTGCTCTCAGGATTGCTATTTGTCCAGGTTTGGCTATGGCGGCACCTATTTGCTCCATGCAGGATCGACACCGAGCCCATATCCGACTGTGGCATGCAATAATGGACTCGGACCCCAGTGTCGGGTCCAATTTCTCGAGCCTACTTTGTTGAAATAGAAAGTCGCTGACTGATAAATGGATGAATTGTACAGAACCAGATCCTCCTTTTCGCACCTCTAAGAGGCCTCTGGACGTCGTGATAATCCGCCGTTCGATTATGTCATTGGATGGGAGTGCTGTCTTTACCACGGCGGCAAATAGCTCTCGAGGCTCAAGGGGTCTCACGCTGAGGAGCACCAACTGGAGCATGACAACTGTCTCAGCCGCGGTTGAGGGATCCTGGGCCAGAATAGTGGAGAATATCTTCTCAAGGTCGTCAGGAATTTCATTGAGAATTCTCCGCATAGCTTCAACTCGTCCTTCATCGTATGCCTTATTTAGTAGGGATACCACGATAACGACCCATAGGAAGATTCCGTCGGCTTTCATGATGATCTCTTCTTCTAGATCAGCTTCATGTATCCTCAGCCTCCCCGCGAGATACTTTGAGATATCCTTCAGATGGTCTTCGCTTCCTTCTACTGTGAATTTGAGCATCTTGCCCATGTTGATGTTGGGGAAGTGGCGACTTGAAAGACATATCTTGAATGGAACCTTGGATTGGGAAGCACTGATGCTTAAAGACTCCACGAATTCGATGACGGCATGAACATCAGATCCATTACACTCATCCAAGGCGTCGATAAGGAGAAGTAGAGGTGGCGATCGAAATTCATTCAAGACTGAACGGAGGAACTCTTTCAGTTCAGCCTCGCGCCACTGCAAATCACGTCCTCGACTTGTTCTCTCTTTCTCGCGAAAACGAGGCACGAAATCTTGGTACAGTGATTCGTTGTTTTTGAGTAGCTGGTACAAAATCGATCGCAGCATACCCAAAGGCGTTCTCTCGAGCTCTTCCCCTCGGGCGTGAAAGAAATAGGCAGCAATGATATGGTCGCGGAAGAATTTCTCTTTGCATTGAATCCATATATGTTTCATTAATGTCGATTTTCCGGCGCCTGGCTTTCCTTTGAGCCACAGCACCTCGTTATGGTCGGCAAGACGGGTCGGGTGTTGCCATTCGTGGAACTCTGGTGTCGCGAAGAACCAGTCGCAAGTTCCATCATACGCTGGGGCAATGTCGTGACGCCGAGCATCGATTGCGGGAAAAGCTAGAGAGGAGAGACAGGCTGTGTTCAATTAGCGACACATTTAGTAATAACGTCTGGCCTGTAAGCCTGGCACATCATGTGGTGCGATGCTGACCTTCCTTCTCCTCATGAAGCTCGTTCGCCGCTTCAATCTGTGGGTCTGGGAATGGTAACCTCCAATGTCAGCGGGAGCTATTGGAGTCAAGGCGCACAGGTTCCAATAACTTACACCCATAAAATGTGCTATTGTTGAACTGTTTGCTACCGCTGCCGCTCTGAGTGAACTGGTCCCCACTGCCCGCCGCAATGATCTGGGGCCCGGGGCCCCGATGGCCGATGGTGTTCGAAGGCATAGGAGTAGGCGATTGGGTTGGCTTAGTGCAGGCAATGACGCAGTAGGCATCACATACTGAAGGGCTTGTACACTAGAGAGATCAACTTGAGAAGCAATCTCAAGGTGATATTTTCACCTAGTGAAGCTGCATGCGCCACGAGTTTGCCGTATCTTATTGGACAACCAACCAGAGAGGGGTAAGCACTGAAATTGAAGAGCCGCAGTTTCCGCAAGGCTCCGAGCTTGCACAAGGATTGATTTCTCGCTGCTCTTCATAAGACCTCACTCATTATCTACTGATTGACACTTGCCAAGTGCTACCCTTCTCATGTGTGTTTATCATGCCCCGCAATATAATCACCAATTCTGGCTCCGGTGCTCAGTATGTCATGACAGGGACCGGAGACCAATACAATCACTGTGAACTTACCACTCAATTCGGTCCTCACGGGAGTATGGCGCAGGAAGAAAATGCTTTCAACCAGATGACTGACCATTCGTAGCCAGTAATCAACACTCCACAGATGAACTAGCTGCAGTGCCTACGTGCAACAAGGGCCGACCGTCCCGTCGCGCGGATTTCTGTATCGCCATTATATGTGCACTTACTGTCGAGTTCGATGCGGTTTCCCTCCTATTTGATGAGATGTGGGACGAGGAAGACGACGCGTACGGGCGGGCACCAGGAGACACAAACACATACACAACTGGCCGTATCGGAAAATACAACGTGGCACTGGCCTTGCTTCCTAATATGGGGACAGCGTCGGCGGCTGGGGCTGCGGCTGGCATGCGATCGAGCTTTCCACGCTTGAGGCTTGTCTTGGTGGTCGGAGTGTGCGGTGGAGTACCGGGCACAGGCACGGGCAAGACTGAGTTACTACTGGGTGATGTGGTAATCAGCAAGACGATTCAGCAAAGCCTGGGCAAACAATATCCCGCCCAATATGTGCTCAAAGATACCATTGATGATAATCTCGGTAGACTAAACAAGGATATTCGTACCCTTGTCATGAGCTTTGAGACGGAACTTGGGCAGCGACGCCTTCAAAGGAAGGCAGGCGGATATCTCAAAGTGCTGCAGCGCGAAGCAGTACGACTGGGTTTTCGTCAAGACTACCAGTACCCTGGCTTAGCTGAAGACAAGTTGTTTGCACCGACGTATCGGCATAAACACCATTTGCGCAATACATGCACCGACTGCAGTGAGGACTCTGCTGCAGTTTGCGATATCGCTGTGCACATGTCATGTGTGAATCTCTGCTGCGATGAAAGCCAATTGGTCCCACGGATTCGGCTCAAAATGAAAGCAGGGCTGGAGCCAGATGTTATGCAATGCCCTGAGATCCATATCGGGCGCATCAGATCTGGAGATACCGTCATCAAGTCTGGTGAACATCGCGACCGTGTTGCTGAAGAACACAATGTGATCGCGTTTGAGATGGAAGGGGCTGGTGTGTGGGACGAAGTCCCGTCTATTGTAGTCAAAGGAGTTTGCGATTACGCCGATAGCCATAAGAACAAGGAATGGCAGCCCTTTGCAGCAGCGACAGCGGCATCGGTGGCCAAGGCTGTATTAGAACGTTATACCAGCACCATCATTGACTAGTATGCTTGTATAGCATAGCGATCGAGAAGTCAAAGAAGCCAGACTATCATGTTATTGATTCAAACCAAATATAGGCATGCATAGTCAGAGTCGTGCATTTGACGAGAAAAGCAAAATATAAGCCCGAAAGAGGCGGAGTAGTCGCCAATAAGTCTTGTGACAAGAAACTTCAATACTCAACCTCCGGATCAATTTGCTATTACTCGCAACACTACCATATGCATTCCAATGGATCAAATCAGATCCAAAAGCTTTTGCTAATGCACTTGATCAAAAGTCCACTATGGGGGACGTGCCGTCCGGGAGATGGTAGGAGTTCGTTAGCCCTTATCGCGTCTGTGCTTGTTATCTTTCTTACGAGCCCGGACTCTCGCATTCCAGCAGCTATCAACGCCCGATTCCAAGGTTTCCAGATCGTCATGATGAATTTGACCAATAATATGGACTACTGCGTTATGTTCAATAGTAACGTGCTTCGCGTAGTTGACGCGAGACTCTGGCGCGAGATGCTCGACCCCTTGCAATTTTTTGTTTACCAAAAGTCGAACTGGAGGAACACCGAGTTGGGGCTCGCCGTTTAACATCATCGGAGTTTGATCTGGTGTATGGATAATGCCATGATTTTCGGGCTTTATCCTGTGCTTTTTGCACCCTTGTCTTTTATAAGTAGCAATTGGCCTTTTCTAAAATATTAGCTGGCTTATAATAATATGTGGATTATGAATACGTACACGCAAATACTATTACCGTTACGAGCACCGTTTTCCGTTCCATCGACGACAATAAAGCGGCGAATCCCTTCATATAACAGATTTCCCATAACGTTCCTGATTTCGAATTCACTTATAGAAGATCCGGTATAAACGGAATCGTTATCGTGTTCTGACAGTAGGCTTCTGGGAAATGACCCTGCCCATAGAATTTCGAAAACCTTGTTTAAAAAAGAAGAAAAGAAGAAAATCGTTAGTAATTCTCAAAAGTAAATTTGCATACAGAGTAAAGAAGAGAAAAGCTTACTGTTCCAAATCTAAATTTTTTGGACGGCTCGACAACAAAACAACGCACTTGTAACAATAATTTTAGCAGCCAGAAAACAAAGGGCATCTCTCGTTCATCCCTTACACGGTTCAAAATATTTCGAATCCTCCGATGGAAGATGGGATCTTGAATGTCTTTGGTGATAATGTGACAAATCACCCGAGCCAGACATAGACATACTATCATCCTCCATCTTGGGTGGCGCAAACGATGAGATCCATTGTTTTAACCAACGGAGAGGGAGCTGGCCTTGGTAGTTTGCAGGGACAGCATGCTGTGTCAGTCCAAGGTCAGATTGGCGACCCGGCGGATCATTTCCCTGGTCAAAAGGAGAGATTTCGAGACCATCAGTCGCAATTGGTTCCCTGTCTGTTCCATTCCCTTCAAAATCTCGCCCAGGGGGTATGTGTGAATTTGAGTCCTCCCCGGACGGCGGCGGTGTCATTGGGTCTCTATCGTCCATGCTTTCGGCCAGCAGAAGAGACTCTGGGATCGGCTCAGACTCCCTCGTCGCTTCAGTCTGTTGGTAAATGTCTCAGGGTTATTGTGCTCCTTTGAAACCTATGGCGTACTTGTCAGGTTCTCCATATTGATGGCTGCAAAAGATTTTCAGAACTGTTCTGTTGTTTTCTTGCAAATATGCAGAGATTGGAGCACCTCCTCATTTGACACGTCACATGATCGATCAATCGATCGCTTACATGTTCCAATGATTTCCAGCACGTGCCACCTGCCAAGAACCCAGTCCTAAAGCTCAGCATCTGGAATAAGGCTGAGAGCTCATCTTGCGCTCCCTTATTCTTTCTTTCTTTCTGATGTGGGGGCGCTGGAGATGCCTACTAAAAGTGGCTGTGGAGGCTTAGCTTAGAGTGGCTCAATGGTCGAGATGGGACTTATAAGCCTTTACTTTTCGTTGCGTTTAGCATACTGGATGAGGATCGATCGTTTTTCTTAATCAATACAGTTCCCATATACTTTAAGATTTCATAATCTATTTGATCAGAAACCATACAAAGATTACAGCCTTACGGCTGTCCGTCTTAGGTGGGGGTTGGTTTGGTTTGGTTTTTGTTCCCCATCTCATTTCTTCTTTTGTGGAAAAAAAAGTAAAGCATCCTTTATATGGTAACCTAGAAGGAGGAATCGCGGGCTGAGTTTCGCGGCTTCTACAGTGCCAACCCGATATAAAACAACGCGAACCTGTCGATGCGCTGAAGGTGATCGTGAAACAACCATTGGTACGACCAGTGTCAACCTTGTAGCGAGAGAGGGCAATCAGTCATGGACGATGGATAGTGGCTAGAATGAAGCATTGAGTACCTACTCAGTGTGATGCGCAGGACTGTGATTTGTCAAAGTGCAGGAATAAGTAGAGCGCTTCTGCACACATGTATATCTCTTTGACCATCCAACCTTTGTTGGATGTGAACAACTCAACGAGTACAACAACTATCACCCATACCTATCATATCTTTTACAGAACATGTTAGGTGCTAGGCACCACCCTAGCTACTAGTACCTAATTTCCCCCGCAGCTGCTACAGCCTTCCGCCCTCTGTAGTTCATCAACCTTTTGCTACACTTGCCACATCTAGATTGACGATCATCAAAGCCTGATAATCAACAGTCTCGTGGCCGTAGCTAGTTGACATAATCGTTTTTCCATCATAAACCTTCTTTTCCGTCGTTTTTTCGTGAAGTACCAGTACTAATCAGCAAGGCTCTGGCTTTACAGAACAAGTCGCAGGTTCCATGATGCGCAGAGGCACCATGCCACCATGTGAAAGGTGGGATCATTCCAGGGCGTATTTCTGCCCCCTATGAGAGGCATATGGTCATGCTCTCAATACGGAAGGCGCTGGTGTTGGGTCTCTTTGCTAGCAGCGTCGCATAATCGCGTAGGATAAGACCATCATCTTTTCGTCGCAGCATAAAACTGCTCTAACACAACCCTACCATCGAGCTCTCGTCTCTTTAAATACTTATTACAGTGTAGTTTCCAACTCCTCCGTCCTCGCTTACACATTGGAGAGCCATTATTAGCTCGTCTGTCGTGCAAAAACGATTTAGATAATACCGACATTTCTCACACTACCTCTGGATGGCCACGATTCCGGCTAGCGTCAAGACAGGGCCCCCTGTCTGCGGCTGACGAGGGGTGACGGAACAGATATCAGCACGCGAGTTCATCTGAACTTTGGGCATAGACAAATTTCAAGACTCGGGACGTTGTATAGCTCAGTGAATAGCAAGCTAGCAAGTCGCCGGTGAACGTAGACGCTAAAATCTGCCTCAGGCAGCTGTGGGAGCTATGAGTGCAGGCACCCTCGACCCCGACGACTATACCGTGGCCTGGATCGCACCTCTCGAGATCGAGGCCCGAGCGGCTCTGCATTTGCTCGATAAACGGCACCACGGCCGATTCCCGGTCAGCCGGGGCGATAACTACGTCTTCCACGGCGGCAGTATATGCGGCCATAATGTGATTATTGCGACGCTACCGGCCGGGCAGGAGTATGGCACGGGATCGGCTGCTGCACTGGCTAGCCAGATGAAAAAGTTCTTCCCAAATCTCTGGTTCGGGCTGCTTGTCGGCGTAGCAGCGGGGTTACCTGCTTTGAAGCATAGCCCACCGCGTGATATTCGGCTGGGCGATGTGCTTATTGCCCTGCCCGAAGACGGACGCCCTGGAATTATCGCTTACGACTTAGGCAAAGAGACGGAAGGCGGGATCCGCCTGCTTCGAGACGGCCACGTGCTTGCGATGACAGAACCGATCGTCCGGTCAGCTATAGGCAGCATTAAACTCCACGCGCCAAACGACGCCGCAATATTCTTGCCTTATTACGAAACGATCCGCGATAAACAGCATGCGAATGGCACGTTTATAGACCCGGGTCAAGACTATGACACCTTATACCTAGCGAGGGACGATGGAACAGAGGAAGTCGTGGAACGTACGCGACGTCTAGACGCCCAGCGAACTCGGGTATGGTACGGGCCGATTGGGTCGGGGGAGAAGCTGTCAAAAAATGCGCGGTGGAGAGATGAGTTGCGAGACAGATATGGCATTATCGGCCTCGAGATGGAGGCGGCTGGGACAATGAATCAGATTCCGGTCGGTGTCATTAGAGGGGTGTGCGATTATGGCGATATGCACAAGAACAAGGAATGGCAGCCGTATGCGGCAGCAATGGCGGCGGCATACGCAAAGACAGTGTTGTGCCAAATCCCGCCTAAGACACCAGACCGGCTGACGCGCAGTGTGCCTCATGATAGTGAGTAAGAATGAAAACATCCTGTGACGAAGGCTTACACATCATTATCTAGAAATGAACCAGACCCGGGTCACTGCTCGCAGCATCGTCCTTGGCGACTCTGCGGGGACCTATATTCCTCGACATAGCCCGAACGTCACCTTCCATGAACCGAGTCACCCGCAGCAACACAAAGAACCTTTCTCGACTGTGACGGACGCCGACGCCATCGAAAGAGCGGGCATCGCCACGTGGCCGCGCGATCCCGTTATGCCACTAGGCATGCCCGCTGACCTTGTAGCGAGTCTGGAAAAATGGGTCATTACTAGAGGGGCCCAATATCTACCTGACATACACGATTCTCTTTCACCATTGATGCCAGTACTGCGACACATTCTACATGATCTTGCAGTGGGTAATGAGATGGACTTGTGCGGTGAGCATTCGCACTGGCTATGGAACGAGTTTCGCTGCATTTTGATGAAGGCTGTCTTATCAAAACCAGACAAGGCACAGGAAATATTGAGACCACAAGAAGAGCAGCGCCCACGAAGGGAAGAGGCTCAGGGTAGACCAAAGAGAAAGCACAGTGACGTGCAAACCGACAACGAAGTTTCGATAGTCACCAAAAGACGGCGTGCATATACCGGACAAAACATTCGGCGTACGCCTGATTTGAGAGATCAATACAAATCAAGACGATACAAAACGTCGGAAGGCAATCTCCTGGTTCAAACTAGATACGGCAAACGCGACCTGAGCCTTTTGGTGCATTTCACCTTGATACCGACAACAAGCTCTGACCAACGAGATCGCACTGGCTTCACCATGATCTTCCAACGAGCCATGTGTGGACAAAATATTGAGCGCTGCTTGAGGACATTTCGGACAGTTGAATGGGAAGACTCTGCGTTCGAAATGATCGAGAATGGTGATCTCGATTCATTGAAAGCTGCTCTTAGCGATCGGATAATCTCCCCGTTCGACCGCTTGGCAGACGACGAGAGTACGTTGATCAGTGTAAGTACTTTGGACAGAATGCAATGATGAACTTGCTAAGAGGATTAGTTTGCGTCTAGGCAGATGCAACTAGGTGTTTGTGAATTCCTGCTTGACTTTGTTGAAGGCACTGATCCTTGTGAGGTTGACAGGTAAGACAGTAACCCTACGCATATGTTTTACTTCCGACTCAACTAACGTGGCAAGGTGAAGTGACGGCATGAACGCTCTGCGGTTGCTGATGAGTGGACTTGAAGATGAAGAACTTGCCGCGGTTGATTACACTGAGCCAAATGATAGAATTGGTACTGTCGCCAAATTACTTCAAAGAGGTTGCCTCGAAGACGAATCTTGGCAAAATCGAGAAGCCGATGATGGCTGCTTGCATCTTTCCGGACTTGGGTATCACGTGGCATTACCTGCTTGGGAGATTTCCGAGATGATATCACTGTTCATCAAGCATGGAGCAGGCTTAGAAATCAAGGACCAATATGGTAAAACGCCATTGTTGGACAACATCAATATCACTGGGGAACTCGGCCACATTGTCATTCGAAGACTATTGGACAGCAAAGCTAACGTGGCAGCCGTTGACGACAATGGCAATGGTGTATTCCACCTGGTACTGGAAGGTCACCACGACAAACCAAAATATTTGCAGGAAAGGTTGAAGCTTTTACTGCAATATACTACAATATCCGAACTTTGTCGACCTAATGAGCAAGGATACACCCCGTCAGACTTTGCCCTGACCTCGAGTGTTTGGCGTATCTGGTGTGAAACAGTAGCAGCCCGGATTCCATTGCAAGAGCTATTGCAAAGGGATTCTTTCCTGAAAAAGGACCATCAAGAAAATGAAGCTCGCGATACGACACCTCACCCACGGCCCATACGACCGAGACAGCGTGCAACCCGTACCGTTACTAGAGGGGGGGAGGTGATCTCACGAGACACTGCTGTACCACCAACTGAAACTTTGGGGATAGATCATCGCGAAGAAACCCCTCGCCGGCCCCACCCATGTCGGTGTAGCGGATCATCGATCTCGTTTGTACATTGGAAATTGAATGATGCATTTGAGCAGCAACTACCTGGCTTGCCTAGCTGTTCCCACTGTGGTGGTTATGTTCTTCCACACGAGATGGAGACGAGGAAACAGACGGCGCTTCAATATGTTGATCTTCGGCATATTACGATGCGATAGTGGCGGGATGCGTCTTCGGACTGAAGAGGTGATATTGCAACCACTTGTAGCCGCATCTCAAGCGACCAAAGCCAGATGGATACCGCTGCTGAGAGTTCTTTGGCGAGCAGCATCAGAAAAAATGGTATGAACTTTGGGGACGAAGTACTTATTCCTTCTCATCACTTCGAGTCCATTTGATGGTCGTCGGGCTTCATCGGTGGCTGCTACGAACACCTGCATTAGAAAGTCCATGCCACTAATCGATGCTGCTGTCGGGATGATCACGAGTGTGGTCAGATAAAATTAGGAATGACCGAAGGAGCTGGAGGAGCATACGCACGGCGGATGGACCGTTGCTTGGAAACATCACAGGCAGTCGTGGCATGATTAGCGCTAGTCTTGTATGAGTTTTTCCTACCTCTATTCTGACGGCCATAGACTTTCTCTCATTATCTCGACCTCAAAGACACCATGAATGATCTGAACTGAACTCAGGTCCGAAAGCTTGTACCATATTTCCTGAGCGCCCAAGCCACCCCATGAGAACCGAACTCGATGAATTCTGCTGACAAATCTATTCCAGACTTCCGCGCAAGAAGGACTGCGCAAATCAAGATCATAATCTGCTTGAACATGAAGCGACTTCCTTGGGTGACTGATGTCAGCACGGAAACAAGAATTCGCAATCGGTTCCGACTCACCTTCATGTGGAATCCAAGTTGCCTCAAGCCCCTTCATGGATATATAGCTTTTGTCTGGATTTATTGCATCACTGTCGGGCTGCTTTCGATCGAACACTCCTGTCCCAAGTACGGGCTTCTTGGGGCCATCTAGGAGATCCGTCGGGTCCGTGATAAATCTATTAGACCAGAAGGTTTGCACCAGATTTAAGATCTCTCCTAATTGTCAGATGGTAAATGATAAGCCCCATACACCAGGGCGTGCCTAAGCATATTATTTAATGTTATAATATATGAATAAACACACGGGGACTTTTAGGGATTAACCGGGATTATTTGAATAAGCTTATATTTCATTGAAATTGAAGGCATGAAACATGAATTAAACTAGTGTATATCAAAGTAATTCAAATATAGCATATCTAAGCAAGTCCTAAGATAGATGAAAAACCTCCGGCTCACCCAAATTATCTGTCAGAATTTCCCACGTCTCTTGTCCGCAATAATAATCACCATATGCATTGTGTTCATTCAATGGTATCGATGAGTCCAGGCACGCTGCAAAGCAATTACCGCTGACGACAGACCAAGTGCCTTTGGATAATGGTCGTAGAAGGCAAGGCGAAGGAGCACCTTTAATGACAACTAGGATATCGCCTTCCATTGCGGAGCAAGGAGCGATGGCAATAAACGACGGCCCACATAGGGCGATTCGACAACTCTGAAGTGCGTCTTTTGTATATTTGAGATTCTCAACATTCGATCGAATGTCATTGAGCTCCCCCAATGATTTGGAATTCTGAGTTAACAGCATCAATAACTGGGTTGTTTCCATCTGTCGCAACACTAGAATAAGGTCTTAGAATGATTGTGGGGCAGGTTTGCTGGGATGCAGGAACCAAACCTTTCAGTATGCCTTGACTCAATCCAACCTCAGCAATGTTCGAAGTCTCCCTTTGAATAGTCTCGCTAGATTGATCAATGGTGATGAGGCTAATAAGGTGAGAGATTTGGCGATCCGCGTCTTCGAGATCAGCAAAAATATACGTTTTGCCCATCTCCTGGATTTGACCGCAACGCCAACCTTGAACAATTAATATACGTTGGTCTAGAAGCTGATAGTCTATATATGTCGCCCTGGGTTTCATTTAGTATCTTTTGGATTGTTGCTTATTATCGCTCCATGGTGGTGGGCTTACCTGTTTACTTGCCGTCCAAAAAGTTCGTTCTGTCCCAGGTCTACGAAGAAATCTCCAGCAAGAGGAAGGTTCTGAGACCAATCTGGTACCCATGATGGCATTTGGCGGTTGTGCTCATGCCTGGCTCCAACTAAAAGCCATAATCCAATGAATCGAAGTAAGGTCAAGGCGAGCGTTTCGAAGACCTCCTCCAAGGATTTCTCGTAATTGATCATTTTATCGAATTCAGCCATAAATGAATCGGTATCATTTGCTTCCAGTGGCGCAAAAAGGGCTCTCAGGGCGAACAATCTATCTCTTGAGTCGGTTGCCAAAGAGCCTCTCGTCCAATATAGGCATCCCCAAAGATCAGACCACGAAAGACGAGAGGAAATACCCCAAATTGGTTCATTTATCCTAAAGGCAAATGGGACGTTTTGCTTTGTGACGAGATTGTTTTTAGAATATCCAAAGAAGCAATCTCGAAGCATTTCTTGTGGGACCATAGTGTCCCCGCACAGGACCCAGATGTTTTGGCTCAAATAGACTTCCTGGAGCACCCAAACTCGCTGGAACCACGGTCGTTGGATTAAATCTTCCAGACCTTGAACGACGGCGGCATTTGGTGGATCTCGATCTCGTACCATCCTCTGTCTCTTCGGGTTCTTGACTTTGGGAAGATTCATTGCTTCAATGACGTCTTGGAAGACAATCTGGCTACTCTTGGTATGTGGTCCAAGATAGATCGTAGTACAAAATGCCCTGGCGAATATGCGACCCATGATCCGTACTTGAGAAGTCTTCTCCTGTAGATTGTTTTGGTCAATGCATATTGCATCAATCCAAAAGAGCGTCTTCTTCCCGTGGAGCCGCAGGACCGTTAACGCCTCACTCGCTGATCGAGGAACCTGCAAGAAGGCTTCGCTGCCTCCGACAGAAATTGGTGTTTTGTCCGATGGATCGCCCCATGTGTACGAAAGGGCTGTAAAATTGAGAGTTGGATTGGACAGATGATATGAAGACAAGCTGATGTGGATGGACGATGCAGCATCAGAGTGCGGCAAGATTCTGCAAAGGCGGATAGCATCTGGCTGCCTTAGTGGTCTGTATTTGTACTGGAATGAATCGGACATGGCTTCCTCAAACTTTGGGTACGTTTGAAGATGAGATAATAGCAACAATAAATATTTTATGCCAGAGACATATTCCTTTCGGACTGCCACATAGATGTATACTTCTGCTGAGAATTGGAACGACAGGCTATGGAGCCAGATGATAAAGCGGGGAAGTTTTTACACATAACGAGTTCGCTGCATGCAGCACCCAATAGGAACCCGAAGGGAAATTGCCGACACAAGGCACCGCCACCTTGGCCTAAGCCGAGATTGTCGATTTAAGGTGGCTGGGTACCGCTCACACCGTGGCTATATGTATTGAGAGCCTGTCCCCGTCTGCTGCAGAGTGGCTTCGAAGGTCAGTGGAACGAGAATAACATATTTGTGTTGATCAAGGGTAGTGCTTTCCTATTGTAGTTTAAACTGGTCTGACATGGGTGTCAATTTTATGATGTATTGATCTATGTCCCGCGCCTTTAGTTTTGACGAGGTGCACGCTTCACAGAAGAATGGCCATATTTCGCCTAGACCTTCTTCTTCTATCTGATATTCGAGAAGAAATAAGAGCGTTTGTGGAAGGGTGCGCCGACCTCAAGGTCTACTTTGTATGCCGGCGCCATCACTTCATTAAATTGTCGCGTGCCAGGCGTGGTGCCTAAGGAAGCACTAATACAATGCCCCCACCAGCCACTACGGCTGTTCCGCTATTTACTCCTTCACCAGCCTTTCGCAGCTTCGTGTTGCCATCAGTAGACTAGAGATTCAGCTAGATCATCACATCTTCGTGACTTATAGCTTCATAGATTCATTCAATCATTTAACTCGCTTCAACTTCTTCCGTGATCACCGTGTACACATACTTGAGCAGCCCACTCGGGCTTTAGGTATATTTGGACTGACACAGTCAGTACCCACCGCAGATCACCTGTTCGGGTATATAGTACACTCTTCAGCACCTCTCTTTCATAAATCAAACAAATCAACCCAGACATATCTCTTACGCTCACTTGATTACATCCTCCTTCACGTTGGCTCAGGTGAAAATAAGTTATCTGTTGAACCGCACTTGATGAATGCCGAATAGCTATAGAAACGCAGGTGTGCTGCGGGGGCCGCGGGGGTGTGCGGAAGAGTCAGACCATAGCCTATTCTACCCATGCTTCCGATTTTCTCCTCATCGCAATATTTTCCACTGGCATCACGCCCAATTCAATCCAGTTGGCGAGAAATACGAGCCGGTAATGGAAGCGTCAGAAAATGGTGATAGTAGATCTGTCGAATCATAGCAATCAGAGTTATGTCGATGCGCTCAAGGTGTGCATGATACGACCAATTGCATGACCCGTGCCAACCTTGTAGCGAGAGAGAACAATCAGTCATGGACGATAAATACATATTGACTTGAATGAAACATCAAGTAGCTATCCGGTATGGCGAGAAAGACCGTGATTGATTTACCAAGACCCCAAAGAACTATTAGGTTGAAAGCTTCGATCCGAACGATCTTAGCTTCTTCCTCGACAACATTGAAGTGAGGTACCAATGAGAATATTATGTAATTTGAATCTTGAATGTTGGATTTGGTGCTCGTAGTCATTTCAACCAGTGGGACATATCTGCTCTGGTCACATGAACATGGGCTTGACCAATGGAGCGCGACTGTAATGTGCACCGCATTACATGCAGCAAGAACCGTCGAGTGATCATTCCCTCGTAATTTGTCATTAATGTAACCAGGTGGCATATTAGCTGGGGCTACAAATAACTAGAGATGAACCCCTTTGTGCAATCCTAATTTTGCCATCCGGATCACTGCCCGATAAGTGGTACCCTTTATCATGACTTTCCGAGAGATTCTTGTTACATGAGCACTTGCTAGCTTTGGCTGTCCCCAAAACCAGTGCGGCTGGGTCCGTAAAGTCAAATATTGTAAGCCCTTTCCAGCCCCAGGTTCTCGTAGCCTCGACAATGGTCCAAACCAGTAATACAATGTTGAACGCGAATATGGCCACGATCCAGCTTGTCTGCCCAAATTTGACAGCTCGCGTGAGCAGATGAGCGTCGACGTCGGACGAAACGTTGGGTACCATTAATTGTGCTCCCGCGTACCCAAGCAGGAGGTCATCCATGACGGCTTCAAGTGCAGCCTCGAGACCACCAAGTGTCGCCTCTTCGTCGCTGAGCTCCGGCTGCGTACTATTGCTAGCGTGCGCAAACCTGTAATTTTCGATATTGGCATTGATGGATTTTCCGAGAAACGATGAATACAAGCTCGAGAGATCCGACGACATGAGGTTGAATTGCCAATTAGCAAGAAACGTGAGGTTTCCCTTTGGTTCAAAATCGTCTACTGCTTCTGGAGTGGAGGTCAGGTCCTGAGGTACTAGTGTTACGCTTATGTTCTTGGCCGCAAAGCTCGTCGAAACACTGAATTGTGATGGCGTGAACTCCCATTCGCACTGGATATTATTCAACTGCTCATAGTCTGTGCCCGTGGCCGTGGCGAGCATTCTTCTTGGCTGCGCTGGATTGGACGTGACACCAATGGCCGCTATGGGCGACGATGAATAGCCCATATAGTCCAGGGATTCCTGTTGCCCTGGCAGACTGTTTGGAAGATATCCTTTTGCAGCGCAGACAACATAATAGGAGGAGTCCTGGCATTGCAGACTGAAGTCTGCGCTGGAATTGTATATGCAATCAACATGAGCCTTGTACCCGCTCTCAATGTACGTGTAACCAGTCGCATGGGGCGTTATGCTGAGCGCATCATCGACGAGACCAATCGGAGCCCCAACACCATGGGAGCGGCCAATATAGGAAAACCCGGTATTGTCGAGCTTGGAATGAACTCTGGCGGAACCGTCCACCGTGGTTGCCGTTGCCAAGCTATTCATAAGGTGTGGCATATATTGTTCGCCCACGTTGTATGTAAACAGCCCCTGGTCTGACTGTCGAGAATAGGAACCGAACCGTTCACCCCAATTGTAGACCAGCATACTTGTGTTGGAATAGTTAGGAACAGACAAGACTGCGCTGCGATTTGAGATGATTTCTATTGGTGTCAAGGCACCAGTCCACACTGCCGAGGGCCCAACGCTCAACAAGCAGAAAAAGGCGAGCGAAGTCGACATGTAAACAGGTATATTGGTGAGGAGCTTTTGTGACTGTATCCCAGTCCAGAAGCGCAGAGAATCAAGCGATATTGATCTCGTTGAGAGACGCTTCCGAGTAATGTACTGCAGAAGTCGGCACACCACCGACGTATTCAGCATTCCGAGGGTGTACGCTATCACCTGAACAGCGACTTGAGACACAGTCCGGTTGGTGCTGATGAAACTGTATGTAGAATCCGGAGCCACCCAATTGTGTGCATTGCCTGCGAATAGCACGATACTCAGGATTGTCGTGGGTACAAGCGCGAGAAAAGGGAGCCATTTTGCAATCAAGCCCAAGCCAACCTCGCCATCCTGGTCTATCTGGCATTGAGGTGCTGCCGTCGTTGAGTATATTTCCGTGTTTCCAGCCGCGTCAAGATCCTCATGTGAATCACTCGGAACGACATGTGATGCCATCAAGTATCCGTCTGGACTTTTCGGTAGACTGGTCATCTCCACACTAGCGTCCGCATTGTGCTGTCCAAGACGTACGTATTGGCTCGTCGTACTAGCTGCGTCAGGCCCTCTTGATCCGCGTATCATTCTGTACGGGACAGCGATTAGAATTATGAAATGAAGAATAACGTTGCTTTGTGTATCTAAAACCAAATGAGCAGAGGGTAGCCTGCAAATTTGATGTACTTTGGAGAGGCAGCACTGTGTGCGGCGCGTGCGGCGCAGTACTATCATATCTTTACTTGCAGGGATGTATTAATAGTTTACGGGCATGTTCGTGGGTTGGAGCGGTGCCCCAGTTCGGCCGCTTGCATCCACATTGTTCAGAAGAGACTTGATGCAATGCAATCACTTAGATTAGATTTTCTTCACTTTATAATTCCTCTATGAATAATTTCTTAAACCCGCCAAATAATTCCGCCGACGTCAAAAATAAAGTATAAAACTATGTGAATATGGTCTTCATTTATGGAATTAATGTGTTAACAAAAAGTCACGATGACCCTTGTCAACATATCACTGCCACACTACTCAGCCACTCTGGGGGGCACTGCAAGGCTTTAATCATCAAACAGCACAACTATAGCTTGCATTTGTAATAAGCACCTAACAATGCGGAAACATGATATAATATTCTTGAATACGCAGTCTTGGTTTGCCTGTTGCGGTAATGCCCTCAAATTTCGAAAGAAGTTTTGCCAAGCTAGTGTCAAAGTCAGCCACAAGCTTAGCAAAGTATTGCAGGGTACTGAGGACTCGTGCACGGGCTACTAATATACTCTTTGCAACCCAGCCAGAATCGGCATCGTCTGTCCCGGTAGCGTACTAAGCTATGGCGGCACCTTCATGTCGTGAAGATAAGCGAAAATGACTATTGCACTAGGCATTCAGTATGGCATACATTATGCTACTAAGACCTGTGGTTTTGGCTATTACTATTTTTCGATAATTATGTCCAAATATAAAAGGATAATATATCGAATATGCATCCTATCCTCATTGTAAAAAAGAACTAAGCTGGATGCTACGATTACGATAGTTTCAATGCTCTCCCGCACCTCGATTATTACGAGCTAGATGCAGATGGCGGCGGTGTGGTATCCCACAGACCCGAGCTCATGGAGTTTATCATCGGGTGCGCCAACGACCGCTGTCAACAGCGAGATCATGACCCGCTGGTTGCACATAGGCAGCTGTGAGGAGGGGCTGACAAGACACGGACATTGAGATATTTGTTCATTTATTTGCGAAGGCGAGTATTGAACTCAAGCCCCAGCCAAATTTGCCTCTAATCTAAAAGCTTTTGTAAACTCTATGAGATAATAGTTCGGAAAAGAAAGTTCATTGAAGCCCACTCTTCCGTTGCACCACCGGCTTTTTGGTCCGATCTGTCAAGCTTTTTCGATATGCTTTGTTCACCGAGTGTGGGCAGCTCCAACATATCGAAGGATGTGGGTTGTGAGGTGAGGATCACCTTGAAAATGTCCTCGCAGGAGCTACGTCCATTTTCTTTCATTTGGATTGGTACCTTCAATTTGAGTTTCTTTCTTTTGACACCCTGTGGCATGACAATAATGCCATGGTATATATCTTGCACTTGCCACAACGGGCCAAGATTATAGATAAAGGCGAAGACAGGCTGTTCACTCTTATTTCTGATGACCACTTCCACCGATATACTATCTTTCACTTCCAATAGATTGCCCGGACTGACATCGATTCCACCAGCACGGATACGAACATCGAAAGACTCACAGAAAGGGTCTGTACTGGAGTCGTTGGCAAGATCTCTGGCGAACCTAAACCGAGTCAGATGTTCCAAGATAGCACCAACCTGGCCGGCGTGAATTTTTGCTTGTGGCATGCTAGGGAGATTCATGATTTCTTGACCAAGCTCATTTAAAATTTTGTAATGCCTGTCTTCATTCAACACAACACGAAATGGAGACGTAATTCTTTCTGCGCCAACATATGCATCCAGACATCGGCTCCTCAAGGCTGTATGCCAATCTTCTGGATCCGGAAGACAATCCTCCAAAAGAATTGGATATTTCCGCAAGCATGCTTGGCTTTCAGCTTTTGCCATCCACCCTGTTCGAGCCAGTGTGGATGACTGCTAGGTCCTAAAAGGATATATCTATGCTCGCAGCAAAGTCTGCATTGGCTACAAAACACACTGTAGAATATGATGGCTTTGCGACACGACAGTATCATGGTTCGACAGGAAACGAGGCTTAGACGGAGGGGCTCGTGCATAATGCTAGACTATTGAAGCCATGCATGCAGTATGCTCGGTTATCACGTACTGAGCCGGGCGGGAAAGGCTCTAGCCCAATAAGAATACCGAGAGGACGAAAAGGTAAGGCTCTGGCTGGGGCGTAAGGCATAAATTTTCGGACTATTGACGCCCGACATAAGAGCATTAGGCAGCTTCTATATAAATTACATCAATCTCTTGGCCATTGCATACAGGCGTACCATTTGCCAGGCTCAGAGTACATTTCCCCGCAAAGATGGATGCGACTACGTAAGGCCCGCTGCGAGATCCAGACTGCACGAGATACACATCGTCCCCAACCCTGAATTTCGGTGCCTAGAATAACTTAGTACAGTCGTTTCCAGAATGCGAAATTTGAATTTACTTCAACATAAGCTGTCACGTATCCATAAGCTGTCACGTATGGACGCTTGTCGTCCTCATCGAAGGAGGTCCTTGGACTCTCGTCGTCCTCATCGAAGGAGGTCCTTGGACTCTCGCTATTGATTTTAGTCCTTGGTATCATGGGTGTAGCACGTCATCACTTACGGTTCTGAGTCAGCCATTCGTAGGGGTGGTAAATGTCAATTGGTGCAGGCGATGCGAGAGAGAGAAAGAAAGGAAGGAGAAGGAGAATCATCGAAGCTTGAAAAGACGATATGCTGTGATGACTTGTTTATATAATCATGATTGCGAATAAGCCTTACTGAATTCATGTACTACCCGCGCAATGCGAGACTGATTAAATTACGCCCAATACTGCACGTTCTGTAATGATCCTCACCCCCGCATCTTGCTTACATCTTTGGTGCATATAGTACCATCCACTGCCTTGCCACTGCCCAAGTCATATTTGACCTGGTGGCCCATGTGCTCGAATGTGACGAGAATTGTCTCGAAAGAGCCTCCTTTGACTTGTTACAATTATTACAAATCGGATGGCAGGCATGCGATCGTATCTTCCGCTTTTCACGCAGTCGCAGACTGGAGTTGCAAACAAAACGCAAACGAAAAAGAGTATTCTTCTCCACCAACCCCTCCTCCAAGGGCAAATATGCTAACACAGCAAGTCGAGAATTACCCATCCGGATATCCCCGTTTCACTGCGCTCCTGTCTGCCTATAGCCCCTACTTCCTTTGTCGACGCTTTGACCAGCTCCGAGCTCGACTCTTGCTGCTTAAACAAGATCGACTTTCTATGCTCGAGCAAAAGCTCGAAGAGGTCGATCGTAACGAAGCATCTCTTCTGTTTCTTGGGAAGAGCCGATGCGACCGGAATGTGGATCGTATTTCCGTTCTCTCGGATATTGAAACATGCCTTTCTGATTACGGTATCTGATGTTATTACTGACATTAATTTCAAGTTTCGGCTAACAGTGAACAGATGATTTCGTCGAAAGAACAACCCGGATACTTAGTCTTGGCAAAGCTCAGCACCGAGATGTTGAGAGCTTGCAGAATTGGTTGGACGGGAACGGATGTCTGGCCAGAGAGGAAGCCGCATATCTTTCGCATCGAGAACTGATAACTTTGGCTCCGCCTCGCGACAATGCAATAGCACAATTTGAAGCTTGGATAGAGGATAAACTCATCCGATTTGATCGCAATTTCCGAAAGGTAAGAGCCAGACGCGGATGACATATCAAGCTAACAACATAGGTAGAGTCATTTTCATGACGTCTCTAACGATCCAAATGTATATATCTACTCAGGGTCTCATATTCGCCGAGCTGCTAGGACACTGCTGTTATGTTTGATCACGGTTCTCCTGCTCATGCCAGTGGTCCTATGCAATTCGATCGTCGCGGTCTCTGCTCGAATGACCGTCATTGTTCTTTCTACGATACTATATCTCTTGGTCATCTCCGAGCTTACCCAATCGAGGACATTGGAACTAGTTGTAGCAGGTGCAACGTATGTTTCGAATCCTTTCGATCCGGGCGGGAGAATCAAACAGTTGACAAAAGTGACAGATATGCAACTGTTCTAACAGTGTTCGTGTCAAATACGAGCCCAATACAGAATGAGAAGCTTTGAAGTGTTATGGGGTTTCGGACTGGAGAATGAATTATTTGATCCAGAAAGTTATGGCAAATGGGGCTGTGTATGGACACTTGAAGGTCATGCCAATCCATAGCTCGTATTCTGTCATGCTGGTCCGGGCGGCTGTTGCGCGTCTCCAGCAAAGATGTAAATACAACAGCCCAATTTCTGTTGAGACTTACTTGGCTACCATGAAAACAAATGATTTCAGCTACACCACTGGTTCATGCTCAAAGTTATACCAGGCTGGGGATTGAATAGCACGACTGCAGCACCTCTGAAAACTGCCACGAACAGAAAAAAAAAACAAAAATTTCCATCGGATTGGCGAAACGGACAGACAGCTCCAAGAAGTGATATTAACAACAGCACTTAGTTATTGATCAAGAACAGAGTGTCTTTGTTTCTTTTCTGCCAACGAGTTGAGTCTTATGTGGCTGGGTAATAATGATCTAGATACCGAAATGAACATAAGGAACCCAATAAAGAGGCACATCGTCGTCCGCCTCTACATCCCTCGCTTCTCTCATATTGTCTTGAATTGACCGTGACTGGCGCCCCACAATTGGCTCACACTCCCTGCGCCTCAACGCTGCCCGGGAGGAGTTCTCCGTCATCCATCGTCCTCGTAGCTCTCTACATGCCCGATGAAGCCCTTCGCTCACCGCGGCATCGGTCATGGCGTGATTTTGAATCCATTGGTACGTCGTCATTTTCACCTCTACACAGGACTTGTCGTTGACCTCCCACAGGGTGTCAATAACGTGCTGAAATCCAGCGAGCTGACATGCACCTGTGGGATGGATTCCTTCGTCCACAAGCTCATCGTGTCGGACCTGCCCTGTGCTACAAGCCGAAAGGTACGCTAGGAATGGTTTGCAACTCTAAAGATTGGTCTCGAATAAGGACGTAACCGTGAGTGGTCCATCCATGAGAAGTAAGGAGCTTTTCGATGGGTCTTTTGTATCGGAACAGCCATGGCCTGCAAAGTGAAAGATCTCACAATCACGTGCAGCAGTGAGAACGTCTTGGTGAAGAGGTCAAGGACGAATTATCCGCAATAGTGTCGACGTATGAAGCCCTTCTAGCCGCTCAATCTCTTCTGGAACGAATTGTAGACGACTTTGCCCCGGCGTTTCTTCCATGCCTAGCAATACTATGCTGCCTGACTTCGGTGATACGGCAGGCTTTGATCGGTTTCGTCGGCTTTGGATCAGGACTTTGATAGAAGAGCTGTATGACGAGATAACCCGATCTAGGACCCCATCGGAGAATCCGTCGTGTCGTCCCGCAGCGTGTAGGGGGAATTTGGCAAAAAGCCCGGTGGGAATCCACCATATGTGCGGCCAGTTACCCACGGGCGTTTCGAGCATTCCCAATGCTTCCAGAATCGGACTAGCAACCACTTCCCAAAACCATTCCAGTGGGTCTAGTTCCAACGACTCGGGACTAGCGAGGGTCTCTGCTCGGATACATACATCGTCATATCGCGCACGAGAGAGTGGCATAGCCTTGATCGATGTATCTTTGATGATGAGTGCGTCGCAGCCGTAACTGCTAGCGTTCACGATAACAATCGGGCCATCGGCTGCAGCAGCCTTTATCTCATCCTCGGTAGGGGCTAGAAGAAACCGATCGAATCCTGGGAGACGTCTAATCTCTTCGATCACATTGTCGAATCTCTGTGCCATCTCGTAACGTTGGATAGCCTGCATTGATTCCTTCGGAGCACCCGGTTGATCGCGAAGCTCTGTGAATTCTGTCGCGATGGTGGGGTGCTGTTGATATAGCTCAGAGATATCCGTGCGCATCTCGTGTAAAGAGCCGACGATTGTGCCGCGACCAAGCTCGAGGAGCCGCCATGCGTCATGAAGCGATTGATCTGCTTTCAAAGCAACAGCAAATGCATCTGAAGCTAGATGACTATTCTCCTCTATTAGATCTTGTTTGTCCGAGGTCTGAAGGGAGCGCGACGTCAAGGCTGGTATCAAAGAAATTGTCACATCAGCGGTGTGGTATGCGGATTGCCAATCATGAGCATCGGCGTATAGGGTGACTAGCTTTTCCCCAGATAATATTCGATGTCTGAGAGGCGATACGCGATGATGGAGGGCGTCCTGGTAGTGCCGAATAGCCGCTTCAAAATCGGGCATCGCCTTTGTTTTCTCGTATTTGAGGTTGTAGACGGATCCATGACCCTCGAGACGACGAGCTCGATCCGCGTGATCTTTTGACATGACGTCAAGCGCTTCTTGGGTTCTCTGAAGAGCCATTTCCAGGTCTTCCAGGAACCCTGTTTTCTGATATTTCTGAGCGAAGTCATTCCCTATATTGAAAAGATGATCCTTTCGACCTGGATGATCATCTGGCGTGAGATGGAGCGCTTCTTCATGCTGTTGGATTGCTACTTCAATATCCGCGACCATTCCCGTCCTCACATATCTGTCGGCATATCCACCTCATAAACCTTGAAGGAGAAGTACTCGATAAGCATCTATTGTCGGAAGGTCAAGTGCCTCGCGATATCGCTCAATGGACATATCAAGGTCTGTGTCTGCCTCTGTTCTCCCATATATGTCGCTGTATGCGATTCCAAGGTTGAGGAGTCGAAGTACACGGGTTGGATGATCTTCTAACGTGAGATTAAGTGCCTCTTGGAATAGTTGAATGCTCTTTTCAAGCTTTGCCGTGATTAGATGATTCGCCTGTACCATAAGAACTCGCTTCACTTCACGACAACTCATGGAAGACCTCTGGACATATACCAATTGCATGCCGAAATATTGCAAGACGTCTATGTTTTCTATCATGACTGTTTCGGCCTGAGAGGAAGCTTTCACGGTTTCTGGCCCCCTCATAGCTTCATCCACGAGACTAAGGAGGAAGAAGATGGTTCGGAAGAAGAAAATGGTGCTGGGTCCATCTCAGATTGGCAGGATGGTGCTGAGTACATCTCAGATTGGCAGGATGGTCATGGTTGTCTGTTATTTGAAAGACCGAGGGATCTAGAGTGGCGTGGTGATCAACCTTTCCTGACGCTACTGGATGTCGTGGGCCATGAATGTACTCATGCGAGTAAGTTAACCGTTGTTCTTCTTGCAAGCCAAAGCTAACAAAATCTTAACTTGGTAGTCATTTCGAAAACGACTGATCTGCCGGGCGGTGGTGAGTCTGGGGCGTTGGAGGAGTCCCTGGCTGACTGTTTCGGCATCATGCTTAAACATTGGAAACTCGATCAACGTGACCCTAGTTCGGCTAATTGGGTATTTGGGAGTGGCGTGCATTGGCCTGATCAACACGGCCTCCGGAGTCTGAGAACGCCAGAAAACTATGACCAACCCAGTCATATGAGCAACTATGATGACTCAGACAAAGGAGATGACTACGGTATCCATCGCAACTCAGGTATTCCAAACCATGCTTTCTATCTTGCTTGCACATCAGTTGGCCATCCCTCCTGGGAAACGGTGGGGATGATCTGGTATCAGTCGATGCGACAGCTAGGCAAGGGCGGGAAAGGTAAAAAATCATACAGAGACTACAAGACATTCAAGCATTTTGCAGTCTACCGTTCATTTCGCGCCACGGGAATACCAACCACATATAAGGGCTGCTTGGAAGCAAGTTGGAATTCTAGAGCGAGGATACTAAATAACGTACTGAACTGGTTTTCTTCCTATCTACATATAAAAGATCTCTGCGAAGATGTAAAACTATTGTTGATAAGCATGTCAGCAGTGCGACCCGGGAGCCCGGGATGCTGCAGCGGCATGCTGAAGCTGAAAGATCCTTATAGCGGGGTGAAGATGTGCCGAGCTGAAATGTCAGCTAACTAGATCTGGTTCCCGCCACTATCTCGGGCCCTGCTATACATCACGGTAATTGGTGTTGCTCAACTTTGGTGGCTGGTTTTCTGGGAGGACGCATGGGATTGACGACTTCCAAGCTGCTACTTCTTAGAATAAATCTTTCATTGTGATCTCTAAGGAAAATGTGGCAATATATCGCTATCTCAAATGTCTTGATCATTCGTCGCAACGTCTGTGCTGCGCCTGACAGGGACTGTATCTCTCGTTGCCCAACCCCGCTTTGCCAAAAAAAAAAAAAAAAAAAGTGGCTGCACCGAAAAACGGCCACATCGCGGATTATTTCAGCCACCCGAATTCTCAGGAGACTTGAAGGATGAAGGAGGTATATGATCAAATCAAACACTGGACCAGATTATATAACATGTACTTTAGGCTAGATGACGGATTACACTGAGGTCTAATGAGGGACAGGGGACACGTGTTGACTAGAACGTTGGAATTATCATGACACTGCAATCACCATAGGCAACACATTTGTATTGTCGCACTGAGATAGTACGCACTATAGATCACTTGGTGGAGTCTACTAGATAGCTCTTAAAAACTTCAGGGAAGGGAAAAAAAAAAAAAAAAAAAAAAGCCTCTGAGGATCTAGCTATCTTTTCGTCCGTCCCCTTTCGTTGGTGGAAGAAGGTCTTGTGCATCATATCAGGTTAGTAGTCCGCCAATTGGCTTCGTCTTCTTGTATTCTATCAGCCTCTTTTGCGGGTAAAAACATCCAACCAATCCTTTGCATTTCGTTTGCGGTTGGAGCACCTGCATCGATTACCACCAAGCCAAATACTGATGGGTCTGGCTCTGTTTCCTCATCTTTGTCCTCATCGTTCCCATTTTCTGCCACGAGGGTGGCCAGTAACAAGACTTTCATGCTCATATTTCTCCATGTCCCTGATCTGGGGACTTCTTCGTAATCAAAGAATATATACTCAGAAGACTCGGCGTCCTCTACGTCCGAGGTTGTGCCCCGCACTGATGGAGGAAGCCCGGCCCTTTCGCGTTTGACGGCATCTTCATCTGTATCTTCCGACGCGAAGAGAGGAACTATCGGGCCACGAATCTGTAGCGACGCCCCGGACAATGCGCCAAATGGGTTCGCCTCGGATTTCAGTTCCAATTTCCAGTTTAGAACTGTCGCAATGTCAATGTATCGGGATCTCCGCCCATGCCCTATGGCGGCGACGCCACCATAACTCGCCCAACTCCAGCTTGGACCGACATAAGGATCCTGTAAAGCTGGTTGCCCAGAGTCGAGACTCTGCCAAGCCAAGCCGTCAATCAATGCATCGCTCCAGATTCCCGCTACATAGTCAGCTCCAATTCTCGTTGACAGCACCCTGGCGAGGCCACTCATAGCCGGTAATTTGTCAGTTGCGTATGTGAGGTCACGCTCCCCGTACTCCCAGACCAGAGAATACCATAGAGTATGTAGATTTTCCTTGTCCGACTGAACTATCTTCTGATGCGGACGTGGAAGATTACCATGCAGGCGAGTCTGACGGCTACCGTCCTCACTCACAATACCGTTGTCACATTCATAGTATAGTTGCCGAGAATTGAAATGCAGAACGCGCCGAGCCAAAGCGCGTTCCTGTAAACCCCAAGCTCTCTTTGAGAGGGGTTCAGAAGTGAAACCCCCGTGATCCCAGTCGATTTCATCGCTGAGAAGTACACATCTGACATGGACATTGTCGGCGTAACCTGGGAGGTCGACTTCGCATGAAGGTTGGGCGGTGCGGGAATGGAAGCAGCCACCAGAAGCGTCGGCAGAGCGATTTGCAGCAATTACAAGGTAAGCATTGGAATAGACGTCGGCCATTCGAGCTGACTCTTGGGCCCAATCCTGGGGGTCGTCCTGGCAGATACAAAGGCTATCGACCCATAGATAACGAATGCCGAGATGCCGAATCGTCTTCACGGCGTCACCCAATGTCTTTGGAAGCTCTGAAACATGAAATCCCGAGCGCCTAGAGTCAATCGTGCTCTGAGAGGTGATAAAATTATCAACTCCGCCCCACTGGTGATGGCTTGGTCAGTATGAAGGCGCATAGATAGCGTTTCTCCAAGAAATTCAATTTACTTACACAGTATGAAAGACAAGCATATTTTCCAGACTGTCCATGAGGCTCGATGAGTTTTACCATTCCATCTGGGAGGTCGGTGTCAAGAACCCTAGTCGGCAATGGGGATTCCTCGACGTGACAGCCATCATGCTGATCACGACATGCTTTCAAGAACTCTGCAGCAATATTGAGACTGTGCACTGAGCCGGAGTCTAATTCCGGTGGACGCAGTTGCATAACATGGGCTGCCGGGTTGCCTGTTCGTCAGTGAGGAAAAGTTAGCGATGCAATGGTAGAATAATAGGAACAAGACGGAGAGTTGGTCATATCCTAAGTAACTCACTTGCATCAACACTGAATGCCACAACTGCAAGGACATAAAACTTGCGACGCTTTTTGGGGTCCTTCGCAAGTACACTGAGCCCAGGACTTTGGCTAGGGCGCTTCGTTAACCATAACCTTTCCCCGCTTGGTACGGATTCATCATATGTATCCTGGAACTCGACATAGAATTGCTTCTTCTGGCCACGCTCAAAGTGGCTCAGCCACACTTGAAACCCTTGATGGATAGTAGCACAGAGAACACATGCGGACACAGACGCCGCCAGTGAGTCTAGATCGGTGTGCCATGGATATCCCAACGGCTGTTGTTGTTCATATTCACACGATATGGAAGGAAGTTCACTTTCGTCGAACAGGCGATAGAAACTACCCACGGGAGGATGATCGGGGAGGATACCGAATGGGATAGCGAGGCAGCGTGAGCACAGTGCCATCTCTTGAGACTACCTTGAGCTTTTGCTTCTGTCGATCTTCTGGAAGTCAGATATTCGACACAACGAAAATTCCCTCGTTTCGTGCAGTCACAGCCGGGACAGGCAGCCATGTGACGTCATAGTATTCAGCTTGGAGGGACCCCTGTACTACGTAAGCCAATGTATGTAGCTCTGCATGCACCGATGATTTCTTTCATTAAATGACAACAATTCGTAGCTCTGACCAATTTGTCCGATTCAGTTACACACAACAGCCTATCCTGCTTCAAGGGATAAGTCGACGGACCAAAGCAAGTTTCCACGTGTACTGACTGAGCCTTGGCGAAAGGACCGTCTAGTCAGATCAGTGCAAACCACCGCTCGTCAGTTTTATTCTCCGCAGCCTCGCCATACATGATACCATGCACAAACCCAGCACCAACGACAGAGTATTGCTCCTCACCTTCTGGGCGCAGTATGACAGGAATCGTGCAGCCGTTGAGAATAACCACAACATCGCCAGCCCTCGTTTCCAACGGGCCGCTGCCTACTGCGCCCTTGTCGGCTGTCGTCAGCCAGCGTCGATATAACAGAGAGTCTCTAAACTTTCTATCAATATCATGCGGTCCAAAACCGCTACCGGCTCTGTGGTATAATTCATGGCTTGCCTTCCGTACCGGCATTACAGCGCGCCTGTGCGATGCTGCCCCGCACATCATATCAGCAATCGTGCGGCCGCCGATTCTAAAGTCACGCAAGCAGCGATACCCTGGAATTAGTAGTTCTAAATCGATTCTGTCTTCGTCACCATCGTAGTCGTCATACTCGTCGCTGTGCTGTAAGAGTGCCTCGGCATTGGCAAAGTGCGAGATGAGGGTGTTGCTTGACCCGGCAGGCCATAAATTTCCGTCATGATTGACTACCGAGAAGACGCTATTGCAGATGGCCTCGACCACTTCGCGTTCGCTAGCGTAGAAGCTTTTCTTGTTAGACCGTGGTTCAACTGCAGGGTCAACAATGCGCTCGTAGGTATAGTATGGCTCATACGAAACCTCCTTGTCGACGCGCGTGACCCCGTCAACGGTATCAAAGTATCGTCCACGACATTTCAGCTTGGCAAGCCGCGCACCTGCTGATGCAGTTGATCTTCCTTCTGCTACTGGTACCGGCGATTCGAAGACAACCGACGCCAGTAGCTCGTTGCTGGCCCGGTAGGGACGGTAGCTGGGATTCGGTTCGAGCTGAGTGGCGGTCAGTTCGGGTTGGATAGGCTCGGCATTATGATGAGTGGACCAGTCAGGGACCCAGCTTGGCAGATTGGGAATCACTCGCGGGCGGCCGTCAGAATGAATGATATCAAGGGAGCGCGTGCCTTCTATATAGTCGACGACGAAGCGTGTGTAGACTTCCTCTACAGATTCGCTATAGCTGGGTTTCACCAAGTAGCCATTTGAGGCCAAGCCCATTTTTGCAAAGATATAGTCGCGCGGATCGGTAGCACGAGGGCTCGTGGTGCGGAAGTGGCACGTCAGCATGTTGAAAAGTGTGCCTTCTAGACGTGCCTTGCGGATGCGCGTAATACCGTTGATGGCATTAAAGGTTGACTCGCGCAGTACAATGTCGTAATTCACAGCCAGGATCTCGCGCAAGGCAGGCCATACATCTCTCAACGCCTGTGTGCCGTCGTAGACGTCACTGTCAAGGATGAGGCCGCGTCCGCAGCTGAAGTCGGATCGCCGTGCCAGGGCCGTCTCCTGCAGCACCCACGCGCGATGCCACCAGCGTCGCTTCCAAAGCGCATCCAGTGCTTTCCACTCGGCTTCCATCTTGGGATTTCGAGCCATCGCCAGCGTCTTGGTGCGCCTATCCTTGGGCTCCCGGTGGACACGAGCCAGCAGCCTGAGGAAGTCTATGGCCCGGTCCGAGTCCTGTGCCTCGGTTCCCAGCCAGACAGAAACGCTGTCGGCCGCATTGTAAATCTCGCCCATGATGGACACCTGATAGGCGCGCTCAGCGTAATTGTTCTGGTCAATGCAAATGGCATCATTCCAAACAAAGCCGTCAGCGCCGCCATGCCAATCACGAAGGGCAACTAGCGCCGTGGCCAAATTCTGGCCGATTGACACGGGAATGCCGTCGACAATGATAACGCTGGGTGGCAGGTCCTTCTCGCTATCATTGTCTTCAAAGGCCGTGTTCCACGTGTACGATAGTGCTCGAAACGGCGGCGATTGATGGATTGTCGAGTGGATCAGCTCCCCCGAGAGGGGCTCATTAAAACCACGGTGCAGTTTCAGCAGCCGGAACTGCCGGGTTGATGCGAGCTCCAGCAGGGCGGAGTACTTCGGCCTGCTCATAATAATGCAGCAGTCTCAAGATTATTGATGAGCCGTGACCTAGTTGGGTTGCGAGGGTAAAAACTGCGAAATCTTGCACAAGCGGGCGAGAGAGGTTGGTCATAAATCACCCCGATGCGTCCTCTTGGGGGCTGAAAGCCTTGCATTGTTTAATTGGATCGCCTTATCATAGTTCTCACCACGTGTGTCGGGATGCTACGCGGCATCACGAGATTATCACCACACGGATATGAATGCAACCTTTCCTGCAGCCTGATTTTTCTGGAGACGGCTTTGAACATTGAGACTCCCATAGAACCATGCCTCGAATACACCCAGGAGCTTGTCGTGCAAGCCAAATAGCACACATTGGACTTTATTCAGTCGTATGGACACAAAACCCTTGTCAGAAGGAGTGCGCTAATTTAACGTGAGATAATGTGGTGCGCGATATATCGCCAGGCCATATCTGCAAAAGTGGGAGCTCCGCACTGAGCTCAGGCTAGTGTAAAGATATACACGCGTTTCCGCAACAGATATACATATGTACTTAGTTAACCTTGGACTCGAAACTTATTAGTTTACAAGTAAGCGCTAAGCCATGGTATAGTCGATAAAAACCGGGTACCACTGACTTTGCATTCCCCGTACCGCCAGAGTAATACTGCTTGCTACATGTATTTAAAAAGGTGGTGCTTTTCTAATGTAGTTTTTTATTATATCCTTTTATCATAAGTATGCCTTTTTTGAGAAGACAAACTCGTGGTGGCGCATTATAAGGCATCTTATCGGGCTGACACTTTTTGTGATAGCCCCAACAATCGTAACCTAATAGGCCAACATGCCAGGTGTGCTCATTAGCAAACGGTACGAACCCTTGTTTTTGTCAGCTCATGGATAGGCGTGCTTTGGTATTTGGGGCCGCTTGAAAGGGGATATTTACAATTCACTCCTTGATTACAGATCTTTGTGTCTTCAAGCTTGGAGCTCGCCGCTGCCACTCAGTTCGCGTACCCGACCTCTGATCCCGTCAGAGGTGTCTTGAATCGCAAGATCGTCAACTTCTCATCTACATGGTCACCCAAAAAGACTCTCGTTGGCCCTTCTGAGCGCCAGATCAAATACCAAGTGAATGTCCGTCACGTCCGTCAGATCCACCGATGGGTCTGCATGCACTGTCCATGTGACTAGCGGCGACTGCAAGGAGAATTTCTCCGTAACCTCCAGACTCGGCAACCCCAGCTCAAAATCGTCACCCTCCTCCAACGAACTGACCGGCTCATAGGCGAACATATCTTGGGCCTCATCCTCAAGCACCACGGCAGCACTTTCCACCAGCTCCTTGGTCTCCTGCGCCGGATACCAGATTTTGCGACCGGCGGGGGAAGCCCACTTCTGACGCCATGAGAATCTTGTAGTTGAAGTCAAAGGTGGAGCCTGGCAGGTAGAATTCATGCGGTTGCCCCTTCTCGTCCACGTATCGATAGTTGCCCCGGCTTTCGAGGATCAGCTTGATCGTCTTGCTAGCATCTGCGGATCCCCGTGCCTCTGGGGGCAGCTTGTCCATGTAGACACGCGCACCGCACAAATAAACTTGGATACCCTTGAGGCGTATGTCGAACCATTTCTTGTTGAAGCCGTATTCCATTGCTTTTTTCCACGTAAGATCGACGAGTAGCATGCGGGTCGTCTTTTAGCTTAGTGATCTCACTGGAGTGATACTTGGTCGACAGAGAAATGGAGACTGTCTCGTCAGTACGAGGGTTGTCTTTGACGCGGTCCCACCAGGCCTTCTTGTCGGCCTCGAGGCTTTGGTCGAAATTGATCTTGAGTATGTCTGCAGTTAGGTTGCCAAACGTTTGCAGCGTATTTGATCTCACCCAGGGGTCGTAGAAGGTCGTAGGCCCAAGGGTTGCACAGTTGAAAGCACACCATAACTCATAGACGGAACGGAAGGCTTCCTGAGAGACGCTGGAGAGAGATGACTTGAGGAACTCGGCAGCGAGGCGAACGGTGTCGTCCGAGACTGAGGGCACGCTGCTCTCAAGAAACCCGAGACCCTTGGTAGCGTCCGAGATCTCGAGGCGGAGCTTGGCCAGGCGGACTTGGCCAAGGTAGCAAAGACCTATGAGGAAGGAGTGAAGTCATTCAAAACAGACACAGAACTTCTGAAGCTCAAGAAAATCAAGCAGAGGTGTCGACCAAGGAGATGAAGGAGCTGATCAATCTTGGCGGGCCCGACAAACTCGTTGTCCCCATGGAGCTGATTCGGGAGCTCGCCTGGCGTGGCACTGGCGCTGCCGTTGTGAACGCATGGGCGTGGTCTCTTTTTGCAGAACTCCTCCCCAGCATGCAAGACGAGCTCGCCACGAAGCTGCCCCCTGATACCAAGGCTACGGAAGTCAAGGAGTTTCTCGAGGGCCTCAACGCAGAAAGCACAAGCAAGATTGGCGGAACCGACGAGATCACCAACGAGTGGCACTTGGACGCCGCCATGACCCTCAGCCTGGAGCACAACGATCCGCAGACTGTAGAGAAGCTCGACACGTTGCTCATAGAACGCTCGATGGCGGTCGCGACGGCCGAGGGAAGTTCAAGAGCTCAGCACGAAGGTCGGTCATAGAAAGGTGGAAGTCGAGAAGGATATTGCGGAGCGGAAAGATCGCGTGGAGAAAGAGAAGACGGCTAAAAAGGAGGTGGAGCACGCACTGGAGGTGAGGAAACATAAACCCGCTGCTAAGGACGAGGTGCGAAAGAGGGAACAGGAGCGCATGCATGAGATCCGGAATGGCCGTCCATGAGTTTTTGGCCAATGCTTTCGGGATTTCTAAGGATAAAAGCGATCACAGAATGCTTAGAAGGTCAATACTAGCTTCTTTGCAATTTGAATCAAATATATCTTTTGGGCCTGCGTAAGAGCCGGACGGGAGCGGTGGACGAAATAATAACCGGCGGCACCGGTAGCACCAGCGGTCGTACCAAAACAATTGTCTGGGGCCACGGAGGATAAATGGCAAAACGGCGGATGATAGGGGCGAGGCGGTACAGAGGCGGCTAACAGCGGCAAAACCCAAGAAGGGACGAATCGGTCTTAGAAACCAAGCTTGTAAATTTATGGGCAGAGATTATCAAGCTAGCTTCTGGAGTCAACCTGGCTTACGGCGAGCATTCTCCGGTCGTTAACACGAGAATTTCAAATTCCTTCTCGTCGTACTCGTCGGCGAGTTTGAAAAGCCCAGCTGCCCGTGCGAATTTGGCGCACCGTCCATAGGCAGCGCCCAATTCCTCAACAAGGCCTTCTGCTTGCAGCAGCGCCGCGCTCTCCTCGGCTAGTCTCAGGGCCTCTTCATCCGTCTTGGGCATCTCGGCAAAGACTGGCCTCTCCTTTCCGCTCTTTCTTTTGTGGGCGTCGTAGAGGTTCAGAATCTCGTTGATCCGCCAGACCTGGCGCCTCCGAGTCTCGTGCTCCTCGGCGTCGGGCCCTTCGCAGACCAGACACTCGCACTGGAAGCCCCAGTTGGCCAGCTCCTTGAGTCTACGAGCACGCGGCCGCGCCAGCTCCGTGTATGCATCCGTCAGCTCCTCGCCATGCCTGATTTCGCGCGAGGCGTAGACTTGCATGGTCCCCGAAACCTCGTCGTACCCCCAGCTCGTGTTGGGCATGCACGAGTGATTCATGCGGCAAAAGGTAGGAAAGAGGCCAGCATCCAAGTCGCCCGTCGTAATGGTTGCGGCATTGGTATAGAATTTGGCCAGGGCGACGGCCGAGTCTATGTGGGGAGCGCCGGGACACGGCCGACCCTGGAATTCCGCAAACTCGCGCAGTTTCGACGGGTTGTGGTACAAGTCCATCATCCGGCTCTGGTCCTCTGCCGTCAAGAGCCCCGTCTTTGCGGGAATCCCAATGTGCTCAGATCCCGACTGGGCTTCCTCGCGCGAGACCGTCAGTAAAGGCGCTTCTTGGATGATCAAAAGCCCTGGTTTGATGTCGGCTGCGGCGAATAGACCATGGCCATTCGCCGCCTCCTTGACCGTCCACAGACGCTGCAGTTCATCCATGTCGCGGCTGGGCCTGCATTGTAACCCCAAGACGGCTTTTCAGCATGCTTTGGCGAATCAGACATTGATATTTCGTCTGCGATCACCGAAAAAAGTCTGTTATAAAGACTTGGCTGGAAAGGGCTTAAATGTGGCTGGTCGGTTCGTTTTGCCCAATCAAGTTCCTCAATGCATCAGCCACAGCAATTACGGGGAGCTCAGACTGGGTGTTAATTGAGTAATGCACGGCCTACGTCTCCACTTTTGACAACTACCATTTCCCCTCGAACCACAAACGGCCCAAAGATGCCTCGTCCTCTTCAGACGAATACCCATAGTCATGATACCCAATATCAGTCCAAGGAAATGGATACGGCTTCGACTTATCCTCCTGCTCCATCCATAATGTCTTCAAGTCAAATCCCGGTTCCAAGGTCAGGGGGTAGAAATACATGTAGGTATGATATGGGTATCGCATCTGGGAAAACAAATATCAGCGCGTAGTCAAAGGAAGCTTGAAGCTTTGCATTCACGTACCCTTATGCGACCTTGGTAGCCATCTTCGTCGTGGATACCATCTACGCCCGGTGGTGGCGCCCACTCTGCATCGTAGATCCAAACCTCGGGGAAAATGGCTCGGTGGCGGAAAATGACATGCTTGATGGGTGGAAATCCTTCCTTATCCATGACAAGGAAATATCTTGGATGAATACCATTTTCCCAACCCGCTCGAGCCAACCGGTGATGATTTTTGAATGCAGCAGCATCAGCGGCAGGGGCCTCCAGATCACCGGTGGTCCAAACCATGTTTTCCCGTTCCAGATCGGCCTGGTTAGTGCCTCGAAGCAGCAGGTTGATGTAGCGGATCTCTCCCGACTGCCCAAATACTCTTTGATTCATGAAATACTTCCACAACTCCTGAAACGTGTCGACCGTTGCCATGGTAAGGATTCGCGAAGACGGCCGCTTCCTCTCCGCCGCGAGAAACTCGTCGTACAAAACTGGTACTTCAGCAGTCTTGTAAATGTTGAATCCAAACGTTGCATCTTCGCGTTTCAGCTGTCTGATCCACTCTGGCGTAGTAATGAGACAGTGCATGCCATGTTCTCGGGATCGCTCATAAGCCCTCTTGTCTTCGACCTGGTTCTCGAGATCCGTCACTTTCTCCTTGGCACCCGTCCAAATCGGATCTGGACGTGTCAGCAGGTCTTGCTGGCGGCGCGCCTTCATATATACAAAAAAATCGTCCTTCTTTTGTACCAGCCTGTCGGCTGTCCTCTGATCGTAAGGAAATTCCCAAAAGTCCAAGCGCGGCAGGCGTGGCCGCACGTTGAACCGATTAACGATCAGTTCGGCTTGAGCGCGCGTCCGGAGCCAGCCCGGGTCAGCCGCCGTCTGGGCGAGGATTTGGTCTGGGTCCATGTCACCAAGGCCGACGCCTGCAATGTTGGCCCGGCGCTGCTGCTCGGGCGGCCAGTCCATGGCCAGGCAGCGTTCCTCCTCGGTCAGCGACGATGGATCCGCCAGTGTTTTCACAATAATCGGCGAAGACATGGCCGGCATGGCTCTGATCTGGTCGCGCTCCTCGTCGGTGAGCTCATGGTTGCTTCTACCAGCTTTTTCGACCAGGAGCCGGTCTGCCTCGCTATGGTTGAGTTCCCACGATCCTGGGTGATACGGGCGGCCTGTCTCTGGATGCTTGACGGCGACCTTGAAGGCCGGCGGCCAATGTTTCCTATGGACCACCACCATTTTGCTGAAGGTCGGCACAGTTGAATAAAAGTATCATGTGCTATGAAATAGTTGGGAATTTTTCAGAAATCTCGTGTCTAATCTAATTGACCAGATGGACAAGCTTGTACTTTGATGACTCGAGCAAATATTGAGTGGGCCTCTGCTGCCTACCTTAGTGATAGACTATCAACATGGTGGCCAATCATGTTACACGCTACCCGCCAGCCAAGGCAGGCGGATCTATTTCTAGTGCACGATACCTCGATGGTAATCGTCGTGCTTCATTTGTTGTAAATGTGACAACGTCTCTTTTCATACAGGCCGAAACCTCCTTGATTGGATGATACACGTCGTACTGCTTTGGGCGTCGAGTTTTTTTTTCTTTTTAGTTTTTTCTTTTTTTTTAAAAAAAAAAAATCTGCTCCTCTACATTCAGCGTCTCAAATTTAATACGAACTGCAAAGGTTGATCTTATTAATTCGCACATAGTATTAGCTAGGGTACAAACTTCCTCGTTTTTACAGAGTATTTTCAGCACAAGAGTGGTTCCTCAGAATGTGGTTCTGCGCAACACCCATCTTCCAGCACTTGATCTTGGGAGAGTTGACACAGAATCATGTAGCATAAGTACCGATTCTTGGCCCAAAGTACTCTCCCTTTGGCAAGCTCAACCGGGTGCACGCAGTCGATTCGCAGCCAGTATCAGCATTGTTCCCCCACCAATCAATCTCGAGACCATTATATGATACAGCAAAGAAGATGACAACGCCAGCAATGGCAATAGCGGCAGAGAACGCGGCAGATAGAATATAATTGTACTTTGACCAAAATGCCAAGTAACGCTTGCGGAGGTACACCCATGAGATCCACCCGGGGATGATGGCTGGATACCAATACGAAATGTTATACTGAAACAGGAACGAAAAAAGTCAGTCAGCTAAATTTGACAGAGCAGTTCCAAAGGTTAAAGGGACTCAAATATGATGCCGATTCGGTATATCTCTATACGTAAAAAACATGGCGAAGGAAACTTACAGGTGACCAAGCATGCGCACCAGTCAAGAGAAGGACCGGATGTATTTGGCGAAGCCAGTGAGTTGGGGCGACTCTTTTGGTTGAGTAGTAGTAGATGATTGGGATCACAAGTCCGATAGGAAAGGCAGATAAGAGTGGCGTATACAAGCCTCCGGTTCCGAATACCTTTTTCGCTCCGATATAACGGCTATACTACGGGTTTCTAGAATAAACCTAAAGTATAAAAGGTGTTAGGGTTTATGCTAATAGGGAACGGTAATTTTAAAAAAAGGTATTAAATAATAAATATTTAAAGATAAGGGTAATTAAACTAATTTATAAATATAATCGTTAAAACGTATTAAATATTTTACTTATAAATAAAATAAATGCTTAAATTAATTATTAAAATAATAATTATCTATATAGGAAATTTTTTTATAATATATATTTATTTATTTTTTTACTAATATTTTTTAAATTATAATACTAAGCCGATTTTATAATTTTAAAATTAAAAGAGTTTAATAATTTTAATAATTTAACCGTTTAGATTATTATTAAAATTATAATTTTATTAGGCAGCTGGCTAGCAGTTACTAAAGATAGTGGTTCCTGTTTTAATTTATTTCCGGCTTTTAGTGCTAAACCCTTTTTTTTTTAAGCGTTAATATATTTATTTATTTTTATATAAAGGTATATATTTGTAATATTAGCTTTTTTTTTTATATTTTTTATCTTTAAAAGATTTTAGGCCGCTTAAATAAATCGTAATACCTATATACCGTAATTATTTTTTTTTTTATTATTCCTTTTTGCTTTATTTATAATATATATTTATTATATTAGAATTTTTATCGGAAATAATAAAAAAACGAAAAGCTTATAAACGAATTAAGTTTTTTAATTTTATTAAATTAAACGGTTATATTATAAATATATTATATACGCTTTATTTTAAAAATAAGCGTTTTTACTAAATAACGGATAAAAAATCGATTCGTTATTTAAAATATATTACGCATTTTTTTCGGAAATATAATAATATTTTAATAGCTTTTACGCTTCGGAAGGTTTTGGATTAATAGCGGAAATTAAAAACTAAAAAAAAGGAGGTAAGCGATAATTTTTTAGAATTTTATAAAAAAATAGCTAAATTTTAATTTTTTTTAACGGCCGTTATTAATCGGTTATTTCGGATTCGGAAAATTAAAATACGAATAAAGGCTTATAATTCCGAATTATTTATTTATAATATAAAAAAATTAAATAAGGAAAATAGGGTTTTTTTTGCTTTTAAAAATTATAAATATTTTATAATAAATAATTTTTAATCGTTAAATATTTTTAATAAGCCTAATTAATCGGTATTCGGTTTTAAAAATAATTTTGTAAATTTTGGTCCTTTTATTAAAATTAAAAGTATTAATTAAAAGCGATATAATTTTTAATATATTTTTTAGGTTTTTAAATATTTTTTTTAAATAAGTAATTTTTTTATTTAACGTAAAATTAGTATTCGCGTTCGATTTTTTTATAATTAATAATTTTTTTAACGATATATTTTTGCTAATTTAGTTTTATTTTTAATATTTCGTTAATTTTAGCGTTTTTTAATGCTAGTTCAAATAATAAAATATAAAAGGTTTTGTGGTTTTTTATAATTTTTAGTAGCTTAAATCGGTAATTAATATTCGAAATTTTTTTATCGATTTTAAATAATCCGAGTTTTTTAAAATCGAGTTTATCGCTTAATTATTTTATTTTAATATTTTTGCGTAAAAAATAAATTTTATCCTTTTTTTTAAAAATTAGTCCTTTAATTTTTTTTATCGTATTAAAATTTTATTTTTTATTAAATAGCGATAAAGGTTTTTTAAAATTCCGTTTATAGATTTTTAAGTTATTTAACGCGTAAAATAGCGTATAATATAAGTTCCTTTTTTTTAATAATTTTTTAGTAATATCGGGTTTATACCCGTAATTAGCGTAAAATAATAATATTTTGGTAGGTTTTCGTATTATATTATTATATATAAATTATGCGAATAGCAATAATATAATTTAATTATTTTATTTATAGTTAATATAGCATTTAAAGTATTTTTCGAATATTTAATTTGCTTATTTTATTTATCCGTTAATTTGCGGATAAAAAGCTATTAAAAGCTTATAATCGCATTTTAGCTAGCTAATAAATAATTTTTAAAATTTCGATATAAAAAGCTTATTTTTGTTTAAAATAATTTTATTTAATAATCCGTATTAATTAGCTATAATTCGGAGGAACGTATAGGCTAATTTTTTTATATTATTGGCTTTTTTATATAAAAAAAAAATAAGCGTATTTTGTGAATTATTTTATAAATATTAGGATATTATCGTAAAAGGTTTTAGTTAAAGGTTTTTTCGAAAATAGTAATTTTATAATAAAATCTAATATAATAGATTTTTATATTTTATTTAGCGGTAATATAAGTTATAGCTTTTTATATTATTTATATTATATTAATTTTATTTTATTATATAAATTATATTTTTTAATAATATTACTAACAATTTATTAAAGGTTCGGGTAATTAAATTTTTATTAAATTCGTTTAAAAATTTTAAAAACTTTTTAATATTTATAAATTAGTAATTTATAATAATTTTTAATAAGGTTTTTTCGGAATTTATCCGGTATTTATAGTTTGCTTTAGTATTTAATAATATTTTTAAATTTTTTTATTTTTAATATTAGGTTATAAAATAGGTTTTGGAGTAATGGTCGTATTATATCGATAATTTTTTTTATTTAGCTGTTATCGTTAGTTACTTTTATAATTGCGTATAAAATTATAATTAGTATTAGGTTTCCTTCGTTATTTATTAAAAGGATAATATTAGTTTTTTTTAATATTTTTTGGAAATAATCCGGTTTTCGGCTAAAGGTATTAGCTCTGCCGTTTTCTGATTTTTTGCAATAAATAATTTTAAAATTAAAATTTATTAGGAATTCTACCTATTTAATTTATTATTTATTAAATTTTTTATTAGTAGTAAATAAGGCTAGATTTTTATAATTAGTATAAATTTTAATTTAATATTTAATTCCGCTAAAATAGTGTTTTTATTTTTAAAATATTTCGATAATAGCTATAAATTTTTTATTATAAATTTAGTAGTTTAATTATTTTTTTGTGAATTTTTTGCTATAAAATGCAATCGGGTGTGGTTTTCCGTTATTATCCTTTTATATAAATTATTTGTTTATAGCGTAATTTAAGGCATTTGTTTCGATTTTAAATTCCCGTTTTAAGTTTATTATGCGTATTATAAGTTTATCCGTAATTCGTTTTTTAACTATTTCGAAGGCTTTTTGTGTTTTAAATATTTAGTTAAAAAGTATATTTTTTTTATTAGGTGCGTAAGCGGTATAGCGATACCTCCGAATCCTTAAACGAATATTCGGTAAAAGTTTATAAATCCTAAAAAAAATCTAATTTTTATTATTAAGGTTAGGGTAAGCTAATTTTTTATTATTAAGATTTTAAATGGTTTTATTTTAATTTTTTCGGGGGATATTATATATCTTATAAAGGTAATTTTTTTTTTATAAAATTCGCTTTTTTTGGGTTAATTAGCAGGTTCGCGTTTTATAGTTTTTATAATATTATTTTAATATATTATTAATGTTCGTTAAAATTTTTGGAGTAAATAAATATATCGTCGAGGTATATTACTACGAATTTATTTATAATAACCTCCTATATAAGCATTGCGCAGCGGTGCCGCACCGCTATTATAACGCTAACGCTATAGCTAAATATAATTAACGTAATATAATCGCATTAAATTTTTGCTTTTGCAAAAATTAATTTATATAACAATATATAATATATTAATTATTACCTAACGTTTTATTAATAAACCGTTATAATTTTAATTTTTTTTTATACGTTATTTAATAAAAAATATTTTTAGTAATAAAATCGAGCGTAACGCGCGAAAAAAGCGTAACG